CAAGGTCCAGACAGTCCAAATTCCCAATGGCGCGAAGTGTGAACTGGCTCGACGTATTTGGTCTGAGTCGCTCTTTGATTTGGCTGTTTTCTTTGGAAACGACACCGACAATGATCCAATCCGAAAGATTGACACCCTGGCTCGATCTGTATCGTGGACGGTTCCAAGCAAGTGTATCATGGATGTGTTATCACGCCAGTTGGGGACTGTTCCGATGGATGATTCTATTCAAGGAGCGGCAGTTGCAGCACAATCTGCAGATAGCATGGCGGCGTTTTTGTGCTCGTTCGATGAAGATCTACTTCTGGAACGATACGCATTGGCCGTCATGTACCAATCATGGTTCTTGCTGGAAGCTGATTTTAACGAGCACCAGTGCAATTCGTTCGGTTTCGCTGTGGATGGCTCGACCATCACATGTAACTCAGAAGATAAAGTTGCGGATTTTGTCAAGGGCAGCAACAGGTTGGATTCCACTATCCCACCTGAAATCTTTCTGCTCTCCGATTTAGGTCAGTTGGGCACTTGTTTTTGCCGCTTACTACTCTGATCTACTGTTTCTCACTCCATCGCCTTGTACTATCGCCTTGTAGAAAGCCTAGTGTTTGCAAGCCACAATGTTGTTGGAACCTTACCCACAGAGCTTGGGCTGCTGACAAAGCTTAGTGAGTAATGTTGGGTCACATGAGATATTTGCTCATCTGTACTTGATATGTCGCGCTCTCACTGACTATTAACTCAACTGCCGCTTCAGCACATATCGATGCCTTTGGCAATCGGTTGGTAGGACAGATTCCTAGCGAAATCGGTCTCTTGACAAATCTTGGTATGCATCATGGCAATGTTTGGTCGTTTTGTACCTCGTCACCTTTTTCGTCCTCATCGCAAATATTTCCTGCTCTCATTATACAGTCACACTGAATCTTGGATACAACAGCTTTACTGGATCGTTACCAGCTGAACTGAGCAATCTACAGAATCTAAACAATTGTACAATAGGTGAGTCAGTATGGTTGCTACGTATACCGCTGGTAGGGTCTCCTTCTAATTGTCTTGTTCTGTTCGCACAGTGGGCAACAACCTTACGTGGACCAACGAAGTCGCAGTTTGTCAGTAATTGGAATGCTTGTCGAGCCAGCCAATATGGCTATTACCTGGATCCAAAGTGGGCTAGGAGATACTGTAGGTTGCAATTCTGCTGTACATACTACCACTTTCGACCACAGCTGCAATAGCTTGTGCTCTGGACATGATGTTGGTCTTTAATGCAAAGAGGCTCTTGGAGAAAATTCCCAGCTCCAAAAGGGCAGCATCTGATAAAAGTCATCTTTTTAGGTGACGAGGATATTGCGTCAACAAATGACAGGTGAATGTTGGGCGTTGCAGACTGGTATGCCACACAATGGTTTGGGTTTCGCATTGCGCACTAAATCGATCATGAAAATCGCTCCATTGCAACACCAATGCAACGAGCGAAGAGTGAAGCCACCAACCTTTCAAGCAAAAGTGTATTCTATTTCCGTTCAAGTAGAGTGTTGCATTGCATTACAAATTAGAAAAAGATTATTAAAGCCGAATGAATCAATCAATCAATCAATGAATCAATCAGATACTACAGTAGATCTAATGAGCCAACTTCTTCTTGATTTGTGCAATGGCCTTTCCAGGGTTTAAATGCTTTGGGCAAACCTTGGTACAGTTCATGATAGTGTGACATCTGTATAGCTTGAATGCGTCATCCAACTCTTCCAAACGCTTGGCAGTGCTACCATCTCGAGAATCTTCAATCCAGCGATAGGCTTGCATCAACACGGCAGGTCCAAGGTACTTGTCCGAGTTCCACCAATAACTTGGACAAGCAGTAGAGCAGCATGCACAAAGGATGCACTCGTACATACCATCCAACTTGGCACGATCTTCTTTGGTTTGAAGGAATTCGGCTTGGCCTTCCTTCTTTTCCTCACTGGGCTGCAACCATGGTTCAATGGAACGGTATTGTTCGTAAAAGTTTCCCATATCTGGAACAAGATCTTTGACAACATACATGTGCGGCAACGGATAAATCTTTGTAGCCTTGGCGGTGTCATCCTCAATGTACGCCAAGCAGGCCAATGTATTGGTACCGTTAATGTTCATGGCACAGGATCCACAAATACCTTCACGGCACGATCGGCGAAAAGTAAGAGTAGGGTCTTGCTCATTCTTAATTTTGATGAGAGCATCTAGAATCATGGGTCCACAATCATTGAGGTCAATTGGATAAGTGCTCAGGTAGGGCTTTTGGTTCTGTTCGGGATCCCATCGGTAGACCTTGAAATATTTGATCTTCTCTGGCTTGGACAAAGCCTCGGCTGCTCCTGTCTTGAGAGAAGCTTCGGATGTACTGAGACTACGAGCAGCCTGGGACAGGAACTATAAAAGAAGTGATGAATATACGACATGTAAGCAATCGGAGGTTTCAGAACGACGTGACTAACAACAAACAGGACAACCACATTCTTCATTACTTACACTTTGAGATAAGGCTCGGTTTTGAAGGGCAGGTTTGAACATGGTTTCGATTGCACTGAACAATAAGACTGATCAAACGGTGTCAATGGTGGTGACTGATGTTACTATTGTTTGATAAAGATTGTTGAAGCTGTTGATGTCTCCAACGATTGCAGTGGCGAAGAAGAGCTTCAAACCGAAGGAAGATCGAACCCATCTTGCTCAGAGAGAAGAGAGAAGCCCGTTATTTCCCGCGTATGTACCGAAGTACCGGCAGTAGAAACAGTTCGCTTTGGATTTTAACGGACGTTGGACAGAAGAAATGAATCTACGACTGACTCATCCGATTGTTTTTTCGCCCCCGCCGCCCTTCCATCGCTCGTGATAAGGCCTTTTCGATGGAGTTCCTAACGCCCTTGTTGCGACGACGACAAATGGCCACGCATAAAAGCTGACAAAACCCATCTCAGTCGTACACACCCGTACATCACAATCTACAGTACAGTAATACCCAAGATCAATCATCAACAATGACAACCGCAACCGACAGCAACGATCTAACCCCCATGACGGTCATCACCGGATTCTTAGGAGCCGGAAAGACAACCTTTGTCAATTACATTCTCAAGGAGCAAAACGAGTGGAAAATTTGCGTCCTCGAAAATGAATTTGGAGAAGTTTCCATTGACGATGGACTAGGTGAGTGATCGAGTGCGGAGAAACGAAATGAATCTATCAGCTATCGAGAATTGTTCAAGATCAACTGTGGCTTGAATGGTGGTTGGAACGCACGATAGAATTAAACTTTTGACGACTTGTGCAAACATAAAACTCACTTTACATTTTTTTTACGTTGTGAAGTCGCCGAATCCTTGGACTCCCCAGAAGATATCATTACAATGGACAATGGCTGCGTTTGCTGTTCGGTTCGTGGAGATTTGGTTCGAACTTTGGGACAAATGGCCAAGCGTCGCAAGGAGTTTGATGCCATTTTGCTCGAGACAACTGGTTTGGCGGATCCATCGGCCATTATTTACACCATCCAAACCAACCCAAAGTTGAGCGACAACTATTTCATTGATAGTATCGTTTGTTTGGCAGATGCAAAACACTTGAATCAGCATTTGGATGAAAAGAAGCCAGAAGGGGCAATCAACGAGGCCTTGCAACAAGTTGCCTTTGCCGACAAAATTCTTTTGAACAAGACTGATTTGGTGACAAAGGAAGAGAAGGATACGCTGAAACAAAGATTGGCCAAAATCAACCAATTTGCCACAGTGATTGAAACGGAACGGTCGCGTGCGCCATTGGATAAGATTTTGGGCCTAAACTCCTTCAACATGGAATCCATTCTTAACTTCGACAAGGACTTTTTTGAAAATCAAGAAGTGTCGAAGCATCAACCTGAATTGGTAGAATCTGTCGGAATCCAGTTCGAGGGAGAACTTCATGCTCAATACTTCAACATGTTCATGATGGACTTGTTGCGAGAAAGAGCTACAGATATGTACCGTACAAAGGGTTTGCTGGCCTTTCATGGACAAGGAGATGTCAAGTTTGTGTTCCAAGGTGTCCATGAGCAGAGTAAGTTGTTTTGAAGCAGCCATTGGGATCTAGATGCGCTCTGTTGCAGTACCTGACTGACATTTCCCGCTTATTTTACTTTCTTTGCAGTCAATTTTGGACCTGCCAAGGAGCCATGGGCTGCCGGAGAGAAGAGAATGAACAAGTTTGTGTTCATTGGCAAGAATTTGAACAGAAAAGAGCTTACTGATAGCCTGATGAACTGTCTCTACAAAGAGGAAAGTTCCGAATAAGGCACATGATTGGCGATAGTAGCTTCTTTGACCTCGATTACGTGTAGGTCGATATTAGAATACGTAACTTCTTGTTTTCATTTTTTATCAAATTGAAAATCGCTCGTCGTTTTCAACAAGGAACCCGGTTGTTCAGAAATTATTTCCTTTCATTTTTGTTTCTCACCAGTCGAATTTTGAAACAAACGTAAGATGCGAGCTACTTCAATCCTAATCGGACTCTTTCCTTTCAGTTCTGCGCTGGTGGTGCCTCAGGCTTCTTGTAGGCAAAATCCTGGGCTATCCATGGGATTGTATGACGATCCATTGCCACCCAAACAAAGTGATGACGATGAAGTTGCTGAAATCCCCCTATCGGCGAGACGATTGTTCAATTTCAAACTGGATGGCACGGAATCGAGAGGTTTGTTGCCACCTTTGTCGCGTAGTCTGGATTCTGGCATTGGATGTTCTTTCACACCATCGGGTCCAGAGGTCCAAGATTTGGTCGAAACGACAGATTGCAATGCCTTAGATGCTGCCTGGGCACTGGATGCTTGCAAAGGAGATGCCGTCCAGGCAGAAAATTGTATCGAAGCAGCGCGATCGAAATTCATGAACGACGAACCAAGTACATCATCATCATCTTCTTCTTCCCAAGGTTTTGACCTTCGAAAAGCAGAACGACTCAAGAAACAAGCGGCCAAAAAAGGCAGAATCATCATAGGACCTCCAGAGACTGGTGAACAAGATTGGTTGCCAATCAAGAACCCAGCACCAGTTGATGATGAGCCATGGTTCACAGGGTGAACATCATTAGCGAAAATGTTTGAAATGTTACAATGAACGCAAGCAGGAGATCTAATGCATTTAGCTGCTCACTCGGCTTTGCTCGGTATTTGCGCCAAGTAACCGTTGTGGCTCTCATGATGTTTCTTCTTTGTTTGCGAGAAGCGAACGTGTACCGGACGAATGAATCTTAGCACTACCCCGAGCTTTCAATCTTGTTTCATTATGGCGTTATGAATGGTTATAAAATATTATAAAAGCATCATCATCTTCAGTTTCTGTCCTCTGCATCTGTGAATGTAAAATTCATTTCAATTCCGACCCGTCTAGGCGCTGACAACGTTGACGCGACTACTTCGCCGCGGAGGCACCACTATTTGAGTGACTGGGAGCTCTGGTTCCTTGGGCGGACAGCCAATAGACTCAAGTTGCTTTTCAAGTAATCTTTGCACAGGCTGACTGGACAACAAGCTTTGTCCCACTAATTCAATTTGATGTGCACTGTACTTGGCCGGGATAGCCATAAGCGGTTTGCCTTCGTCAAGTGACCTTCGAATGACATCCTTTGGTAACATGCGGAGAGAGCAATGCTCGCCTCCGTATGCTAGTCCCACATATAGTTGTTTCTTGAGGCGATGATCGGTAGCGTTTTTGGTGCATCTTCCCAATATTGCAGCAACGGTATCTTTCTTTGGCGCGTACAGCACCGGTACCATCTCGAAAATTCGTTGCATTGGGTCGGTCAAAAGAATGAGACACTTTGACATTGGTTCCCAAACTGTACCGCTAGTTTCTGTGGATTGGGATTTTTGCAGTTGAAGAGCAGCGTCGCGTTCAAAAGAGTCGCGATGCTCTGCAATATTGAGTATATCGTCCATGAACATGCTATTCGATGATTCCTGCTTCTTTCCCATGTCCAGAGCCAAAAAGTACTCCAAAGGAACGTCCCGGCCTCTAGCTCCAGCTCCAGATAAGCTGGAAACATCCGAGGAACCCGAGTTTCGACGTTGCAGTTTCATGATTTCCATAAGCGGAGGAGGGCATACTTTCTTATTCCTCGAAGCTGTATTGTCAGCGTCCAAGATTATTGGAAAGGTTCCCATTTCGTTTCCTGCGGCAGGTTCTTTTGGTTTCTCCCCGTTGTCATCATTCGAAATCTGGCCATCTTCGCAAGCTCCAGGAGTATCTTCAGAAAGCTGTGGATTTCCAGAGGAACTAGACTCTTCAGTGCTCGCATTTTTATTTCTATTCCGCTGACGATCAGGGGAGGCATTCAAAATATCTTCATACACTACAGTGCTGTCTGTTTGAAGATTCGGTTGTGAAGAGACTTCTATGCAGTTGCCCTTCTTTTTCTGAAACAATTTGGATCTTGCAAACAGAAACCGAGATAGAGATTTCTTCTTTCCGGCTTTTGGACTAAATGATCTAAGGGCAGCCCCACCTGTATTCCCATTTCGAGCATCGGTATCGCCGATTGGCTCCACTGGAGGAACTGATGGTATCTGTTCCTTCGACTTCAGATGCTGTGGTGAATCCCCATATTGATCCAATTCGCTAGAGGGAACAGTACCTTCCCCGAATGTTTTTTCCTTGCGTGGAAAAGCACCATACTCAGAATTGACAATATCTCGTTCCCAACATTGACACTACGATTGTAAATAGGTACATGTGAGTCAGTATTCTTTTCTTCGATGCGAGAGATACAACACCCTTTCCTAAACGGCACTCACCAATCGTGGTCCTCGTCTCCTTCTCGACTCGTTGCTCTTTAACGTCATGCTATGCTAATGGTCAAGAGATGCGATTAGAGGTTAAGGGGTGCTGCTTCTTGGAGTACATTCACCTCAATGATCGATTTCACGATAGGCTATCATATCCGTTGGGTGGATGTCTTGGATGCAGCGACACAACAGAAAAGAGATGGCTTGCATTCTCCTTAAATGTAGAAAGATTTATTTATGAACATGATCTTTTTGTCAAATAAATAGCTCTGGCGGCAGGACTCGCGGTGTTCGGAGTTGCGTTTCGATTTATTGTCGTCTGTCACTGTTCGTGTTCGTAGTTCAGATTGAAATTCGTGACTGACAGGCTCACGATTCAGATCGATTAGACGAACGCGTCACATTTTTGTTGACACCTTTTGACTTTCTTTTGACACATCACGTTTGATTTTCTGTTCTCATGTTGTCACTGCAGTGGCAACCACAGTATTCGCACTATTCCATTTGAAGCATAGCATCCCTAACGGATTTCATTCACCATGGCATCCAAGTCTAGCAAATCCAAGAACAATACACTTCAGCATTTGATTGCAGGAGGAGGAGCTGGTTTCGTCGAAAGCAGCATCTGTCATCCGCTTGATACGATCAAGACGCGAATGCAGCTACGAAAAAACACCATCGACACCCAACAGATTCGTCATTCCTTAATGGAGCCAGCCCATCAGATTCGACATTCTCTCATGGAACCTTCTGGACTACTCCGACAAAGCTTCGCTGGTGGATCTGGTCTAAGATCAACTCCGAATCCTGCCGTGTTGGTCAATGCCAATGTCCACGAACCCGCACCGATCGCCCAAAATGTCAGCAAGGCTCCGACAAACTATTCCAAAATCATTGAAAAACCCATCTATAATGGTACTGTCAGAGCATCCCTTGGACCACTTGGGTCGGCGAAACGGATAGTTCAACGTGAGGGTTTTTTCGCCCTCTACAAGGGATTGACGGCTGTGTATGCCGGAATTGTGCCAAAAATGGCCATTCGCTTTGTCACTTTTGAGAAATACAAGGAATATCTTGCAGATCACACATCGCTCGGCAGATCCAATCAAGCCACCTTTCTCGCTGGCCTTGGGTCCGGCCTGACCGAAGCCATTATGGTGGTCACTCCCGCTGAAGTTTGCAAGATTCGCATGCAAGGTCAATATCACTCCTTGGTCGATCCAGCCCAAAGAGAACACCGCAAGTACCGTAATGTGATTCAGACAGCAATTCTAATCGCAAGGGAAGAAGGAATTGGGGCTCTGTATAAGGGGCTCTTTCCGACCATGTTGCGACAAGGATGCAATCAAGCAGTCAATTTCACTGCATATAGCTACTTCAAGAAGAAGACGATGGAACTGCAGCATACTAGTGAACTTGCTTCGTGGCAATCCTTGCTGATTGGAGGCTTTAGTGGTGGTATGGGACCCCTGGTGAACAATCCGGTAAGTTCATTTCTGGTGGTTGATTGATGTCCTTTGTGATTTGTCTCCGCCGACCCTCATCTCACCTTGACAAATGCGCTTCAGCTGGATGTGGTTAAGACGCGTTTGCAGAAACAGGTTGTTCAAGAGGGAAGAGCTCCAAAATACACTGGGTTGGTGCAGGCATGCTTTCTGATAGCCAAGGAAGAGAGTGCCTTCGCTCTTTGGAAAGGCATCACTCCACGTCTACTTCGAATCATGCCTGGACAAGCAATCACATTCATGACCTACGAAGCAATCTCGTCTATGATGAAGAAGCATGGTGCTTTGTGAGATATATGTTCTGCGCTTTAGTGCTAGTAGACAACATTTAGATGAATGAATGAATAGAATTAACATATATTACATTTAGCTCTGTGTGAGAATGGGTTTGTGTGAATGTGCGTAGATTTTTTGAACATGTGATAAGCATTTTGCCAGTGCCACCTCTTTATCGAATGCTGCTTTCTTTGCTTTCGTTGCTTTCGTTGCTATCGTTGCTTTCGTTGCTTTCGCTTTTACTTTTACTTTTACTTTTACTCTTGATCTTCAGCTTTTTCTCAATTCCCTTTTCGCCAAATTTCTTGGACTCTTTCTTTGTTGACTTGGAAGTAGTCTTGATCGAGCCATTGGACCCTTTGCCTTTTGTAGACACTACGGATTGTACAGCTTCAATGGGCGCTGATGAAGGAGCACTCGTGAAGGTACCCTTGAAGCTACCCTTGTATGATCTTCTTGTACTAGGTGCAGATGTGGGTCCTTTGGCAGCTGAAGTGTCTGGTGTGATTGGCGACAACGTCGTCGGAGATGGTTCCGAAACAGGTGATAGAGTATCTCGTGTAGGGGACAACGTTGTAAGAGATGGTTCCGAAACAGGTGATAACGTGCCTCTTGTAGGGGACAACGTCGGTGAAGATGGTTGTGCAACAGGGGGTAAGGAACCTCGTGTCGGGGACAACGTCGGATGAGAAGCAGTTGGTGATCCCGTCGCTGCCTGTTTCGAGCCGTCTTCAGGGGTTGGCGCTGATGATACCGCTTGTATTGGTGGATCTGATGGGGCATCTGTGGGTTGGGGCTGTTTTGTTTTTGGTCCCTTGGTTGGTGCTCCTGTAGGTTCGATGGTGGGAGCTGCTGTTGGATAATCTGTACTCCCAACGCACTCGCAAAGGTTGTTGGCAAGTAGTACTTGGCGAAACTCCATACACAATGATTGCTCGGAAAAGAATTGAAGCAAGCCTTGGTCAACTTCTTCACATGTGTAGCCTGGCACGACACTCTTTCCTGTGGGGTTCACTAGTACTCCATTAGGACAAAGCTCACATACTTTGGGTGCCTCCGTAGCTTCACACGAGCAGAATGATGAAACATCAAAGGACCCAGCTCTTTGTTGCAAGCTAGGGCATTCTTCTGCAGAAAGTTGCGACGCCAAAAATTCATAGTCAAGGCATGATGTATCTGGGAATAAGGGCGATCGTAGGTCAGGAGTTGGAGACGAGTCTCCTTTTTCACACAGGAAGCATTCTTGTGGTGCACTCGGACAGCCACACCAGGATGCTGTTTTGCGAAACTGACTGCATTCTTCAGAATCTTCAGGGATATTAAGGAAGGAGCTTTCGTCGCAGGTTCTCCCACGTCCTGGAATTATTTTGTCTGGGAAACCTGGATTCTCTCCAAAGGGACAAAGGCTGCATGTATCTTGCGCCGACACGGAGCCAGAATATAGCGTGATTGCCAAGAAAAGTATTGATAGTTTAGTTGGTGTCATCGTGAATTTAAGACAGGATAATGTAAAGTGCGAACGAATGACCGAGTTTGGGAATTCAGAGATTTCATTTGGACGAAATTTGTGAAACAAATGGATAAAAATATGTAGCCGCCTCACCAATAATTGGATGTTCCAAACCTAGCAAAATGAAAAAATGGTGCGCGCGCGTCGAGCCCGACGAATAATCAAATCATTGTTGATGTAAATGGCATGACTCAGGTCACACTTCATTAGCCGTGACTTCATCCTCGCAGCCAAGGACAACAACCAGCTATGATAGCGCTTGCTTTGAGAAAACTTGTACCGTGTTGAAGACGGTGGGCAAATCCAAGAGAGGTTACACTCGGAGATCGAATAGTTGGCCATGACTTCCATATATATGATTGATTTTTTCATACAAATCCATATGCTTGATTTTTATACAAATCCATATGCTTGGTTTTATACAAATTCTCATGCTACAGTACTGTAGGTTTCGCAAATGTGAGATTTAAGTACAACAGCCGTGAATCGAACAAGCAGCCTATTGTAATGGGGTGCGCCCCTAGTATATTACAGTAGACAAATGCAAAAGTAGAACAAGACAAATTTGATAATGAGTGGCAAGCAAAAGGAAAGTGCACCAGCCGAGAATCGAACTCGGGGCCCAACGATGGCAACGTTGGATTTTACCACTAAACCACTGGTGCGTTCAAAATTCAAGAATATTTGGTCTATTTATAAATTATGTGGCATTGCTTGTATTCTCTCGTGGCTAACGGAGATATGAGTGAGGAGTACTAGTTTCTACTAATAATGTTCTCGACAATGTGCTAAGAGCTAAGACAACTTCTTGGCCGAAGTCCTCCCTTTTGCACAGGCTTTATTGTTGCACTAACTGCTGTACTCTCCTGTTGTCACTTCTTACTGGCTGTGCTGTACTATCACTACACGGCAATGAGCTGATATGCTGATTATCAGCACAGAGAAGAAACAAAGGTTCCAGAGATTGGTGAGACCTCCACAGAGAACAAGACCACCGATGCTGTTTCTCTTGAGATGCTTTTTCAAAAAGGCCGAGAATGCTGGGGCAAACAAAACTGTCCATGGAGCAAACAGACAATTGGTAAACAAGCAACAATAGATAAAGGACAGTGACCCCAGAGCTCCTGGAATTGCACACCACTTGTAGATGTACTTGAGGTAGGTCCGATGAATGTCCACCAGTTCCTCCAGTCCCCTGCCGTTGTCATTCTCTTTTTTCGCCTTGGCAATCTGCTGCGATAAGAACGAGGTATAAGCAAAGAGTGCATGATATACCGCTGCTACTGTCATGAGAAAGGTAAAGCCCAAGCTGGAAGTGAGTGGCATTATCCAGCCGCCGCCATCGGAAGAATACAATCCACAAAAAAGGCCCACAAATCCCACCCCATACAGCACTGCCGACACTGGTCCCAAGACTCCTCCCAACATGACACGTTCGCGAGAAATCATCTTCATGCTTGAATCAGCTAGAAAACTACCACCGGGATCAATCTTGTCAAAGTAGGACTTGGCGGTGCGGTCTTGAGGGTTGAATGGATAGTACAAAATTAGGTCTGCAACAAAAAGAAGAATTGCGCCCAGAGCTCCAACAACCAGCAAGATTCGAATGACGTATGGATCCAATAGTGGCGTCATTATGGTAGGAAACTCAGTCAGTGGGAGGAATGGAAAGCAAGCCGCAGTCAACGAGTGAAAATACTACAACAAGCCATTAGGCATCATGAAGCACACGAATGATTTTTTCAAATTTCAATTTTCCTGTCAACATCTGTCCTTCGCCCGTCATTTGTGAGAACTCTGCGAAGACATCATCTTTCTCCATTTTTGCAAAGATTCCCAAAACATCAAAGAAGATGAGATCAACCTTGGCATCACTCGCAACCAGGCGATTGGCCTGCAGAAGTGGTGCTCTGAATAGGCACAATGGCGGCACCTTTGCTGCTTTTCGGAGTCATTACAGTTACGCCAACCCCGGTAAATGGCAATCCGACAGGAAGGACTATCATCGCCACGACTTTGAGGATCGCGGCTACACGGTTGGGATTGGCGGACCAGTTGGCAGTGGAAAGACTGCACTTGTATTAGCATTGACCAAACGATTGGCCAAAAAGGTCCCTCTAGGTGTGGTCACCAATGACATCTTTACGCAGGAAGATGCCGAATTTCTGACTCGCAACAAAGCCTTGCCCTCTCAGTTTATTCGCGCCGTTGAGACGGGTGGGTGTCCTCACGCTGCCATTCGGGAGGACGTCAGCGCTAATTTGACTGCGTGTGAAGACCTGACTGAAGTGTTGAAGAAGGAAAATGCTGCTCAGTCGGCCCTCATTCTCTGTGAAAGTGGTGGTGATAACCTTGCTGCCAACTTTTCAAGGGAACTTGCCGATTTGACCTTGTATGTCATTGATGTTGCAGGAGGAGACAAGATTCCTCGCAAGGGTGGACCTGGTATCACACAGTCGGATGTATTGATTATTAACAAGATTGACTTGGCGGAAGCAGTGGGCGCTGATTTGGAAGTCATGAAAACAGATGCCGATGTCATGCGATCCAATGATTCAGGGTCGGGTCCTACCATTTTTGCTTCGGTCCGCAACGATATTTCAGTAGAGGACATTGAGAATTTCATCATGGAAAATTACGCTGCTGCCACTAAGGGTAATGCTGGAAATCAATAGGAGGCCTAATCTTTTGTCCCATTGTCCACCATGAAACACAAAAATGAAGAAGATTTTTAAAACTACAAAAGATGATCTGTAGATACAACACACTGTAGCGCTAGTACTGTAGATCCCTATCATTCGAATTTCTTTTTATCCTCCTCTCGAATGTCTTCCACGTTGCCTCCATTTGCGATTTGTTTCTTCACTGCCTTGATCAATAGCGTCAACCAAAATGTTTGTATGGCAGCCAACATGACCAGCAGTATTCGCGCTGTCGCACCGCTCGATGTGTCTGGAAGATCCCTGAGTGCCGTGTACACCACAAAGTTGAACATGCAGTTGCGAGTCAAAAAATAAGTTATCGCAAACAGCTCAAATAGTCGGTTGGCAACATAATTGTAAAAGTCCTTGGGTTCGACGGACAGATACTTGGAGGCTTTCGCGCATTGTAATGGAATGTCGGCCCAGTCGAAGAAGAACATGATGACGCCGCCAAACCGCGTGTATCTAGCGTTTATGGAACACACTACCAATCCTATTGTGACTGTGAGTGAGAACGGGAGAAAACGAGTGGCGGTTGAGTGGATGAAAAAATGAAACAGAAGTGGGTGAATATCAGATCAATGAAATCAGCATCCAACACTTTGCACTAATTAACTTACCAGCATGATGATATACCATTTGCAAGAATTGGTCCTATGCATAAATTGAGAAAAATGGCAAACTTGTGAGACACACTCTACATCCGCACTTCTAACAAAATTCCAATGTTGAATTGAATCTAAAGCAATGCACCGACCTTCCTTCTTTCTTCGAACAGTATTGATACGGAATCGGAGCAGTACCGAGCGAGGTATAGCAGGTAGTAAAATTTCAAGTCCGCATCAATCGTATCATCGTCAATATTGTCAACCCAGCAAGAGGGCTTGTATAACCATTCCGTTGGGACAAGAATTCTGAATACAAAGAATGCGGAACATACGTGCACAATTATCGACGTCAATGTAACCCCAAATCGCTTCTTCACTGAAGGGTCAAAGTGTTTCTTTGAGCCACTGATTCTCAGATCTGCGAGTGGTTCCCAAATAAACCATCTCCCCCACCATGTAAGAACAAAAATGACCACAGACATCATAAAAACCAGAATAAAGTCGGCTCCAGCACATTCTTTGTCTTCAAATGGATCCAGGAAGAACTGCACCTGATTTGATCCAGGTTCCCCACACGTTAATGATGACGGAGGCTGTGTTCCAAATACTGAGGCAGAGAACGTGGCGGTCAAGTCACTGGCAGCTCGAATCGCTACATGCAACGTATTTGTCTGCTGCAACATTGTTGTTGTTTGGACCAAAAAAGACTATACCGCCTGTACGAAACGATTGCGGTGAAAGCAATTGATAGAGGGTAGTTGCAATTATTGCTTCGGTAGTAGGTGTGCTGATTGATAGTCTAAAATAAAAGAACAATGGGTAGGAAAGAGGATCCCGTTGCGGTTTTCCCATTGCCGAAAGCCAAGTTCCCAAGTAGGTGCGCCCGTCTTCAGCATTGCTTGCTAAAAAAGTCGAAGTCGTGACGTAAGAAGAGACTAAGTTAGTGTATTAAAATAGTATTGTACCTATTATACCTCTTATTATTATTTACATCATTAGAAACCACATTCTCGAATTGGTTCATCATAACCTCGGAATTTACCGCTACGTGTGTTGCATTGAAAATTCAAGTCCAAGGAAACGATGAAGTGGAACCAATGTTGGGGTAGATAGAGGACGTCTCCCGCTTGCAATATAACTTCGTTGGACCGTGCCGTTTGGAACAGAGGGTACTCGTCTAGGTCTGGGTTATTCCAATCTATTTGAGAATGACGCGCGGATGGATGGCCCTTGGGGTACAAATAAAGGTTTTCACAGTCTTGAGGATGAGTCAAGACATATCGCCTCCTTCCTCCTAGGACGACAATCATGTTTCGTGATCCGTCGAAATGGTTTTCAGCCTACAATTGATTGGGATTTTGTAGATGAACGGTGGGGGTTAGAATGGGGTATTCCATTACACGCGTGTCCTCAGCCAGCAATCTCTTCATTCATTTTTTAAAAACTTACAGTCACACCAGTCATTCCAAACCGACAGTGAATTCCACGTTGTTTCTCGGGTTCCACCATGTACAAACTGGTACGTGGCTGGAAGAAAGTCAATTCATCAAAGAGAAATTCAGATGAAGCATCGTCACAGCCACCGTGTGGATCAATTTCTCCGCAACCAATGAGACGGAAGTAGTAATGCGGTTGATCCGGTGCCAGTTTGGATGCATCAGTAATGTTGGCGTTCTTGAGCCACTCATCGAAAGTTATTCGTAACATCTTGGTGGGCTTTTTCCATCCCGGTGGAGGCTTGTCTTTATTGCGATTGATCCAGTACATGAACTGGTTGGTTTCTGAATACTCGCAACGGTGTTTTGCATCCCCTAGGAGCTTGGATATGTAGTCGTCCGTGTGCCATCGTTCAATGGTTTGGGCCACTTCGGGATCGCCTCGGACTACAAATGGGACTTCAGCTTTTCGATAGTTCAATGCCTTGACATAGTCTTTTCGATAGTCGAACACGCAAATCCCCTGATGTATTTGAGAAGGAGGGTTCACGTCATTGGGCTTCCAATCTGTTATTACATCGAATGTTTTCCACTGATAAGGATAGCCTTCTGGAGGTTTCTTTGGGCAGTTGTAAACATTATAGGATAGCGGATTTTCAAAGGGCTCCACGTCGGGCTTTCGAAAGTTTTTTACAAATGCAACGGATCGTTCGGGGTCGTACGTTAGTCGAGCATCGAAATCTTTTCGCAATAGTGCGTATTCGTCCGATTTGTCGCCAATGTGAGACATACTGTGTGGAATATTGTATAGCAAGGATTCTAATAGTGGCTCCTTGTTGTGCTGTGGAGGAGTTGGAACTTGGACGGGATTCAAAAAGTATTCTTTGACAGAAGGCCACATTTTCAAATGAAAGAGCTTGGCCACAATTCCCAACATGACAACGATCAGAATAACGATTATCACTGCCAAACCCTTGAGAATATACACCATTGGATCGTCTTCCTCATTTTTTATTCTTTTCTTGCGTGTTCGTTTGGCTCGCACTTTCGATGATTGATCCTCGTCACCACCATTCAATGCGCAGTCATCTGTCCTTGACTTTGAAGAATACTGTCCGTCACTGACAGCTCTACTTTGAGGACGACGGTGCATCTTTCTTGTAGAAGAGGAGCTCTTCCCCTAACCTCTGAAATGCGGCTTTTTACCAGCGCTGATCGAGAATAGCAAGACTCCTTTGCCAGCGTCTTCGTTTTGTGTTGAAATTCAAAAGCATATTTCGGTCGAATTGATCAAAAAGAGCTTAAATACTCAAAAAGAGCTTAAATACTCATAGTAATTAAGAAAAGCAATGCACCAGCCGAGAATCGAACTCGGGGCCCAACGACAACGTTGGATTTTACCACTAAACCAAAAAGAGCTTAAAGACTCGTAGTAATTACGAAAAGCAATGCACCAGCCGAGAATCGAACTCGGGGCCCAACGATGGCAACGTTGGATTTTACCACTAAACCACTGGTGCTGTCAGGTAAGGGCGAAAAACTTTGAATGAATATCTATTAAAACAAAATGGACACGACGAAATTGACGTGTTTCAGTCGTCATCCAACAGAATGAATTCGACAAGAAACACTCATCATTCACATTCAGAAGACAACAATTTACAAACCCAATCATGAGGCTTTCTTCCTTGCTGATAGGGGCAACATCTGCTAGTGCATTTATTGCACCACGTACCTTACACCTAGCTGGATCGAATAACGTCCACAAGACACACACCATTCACAGACTTTCCTTGGATGAAGGACTTTCTGCAGTTGATGCCGCGACGTCAAAAGTCGCAACGATTGGAGAAAACAGTTTTGCTTCTATTATAGAGAAATTGGATGATTTGAATCAGTTTATTGATTCGAATTACCACAAGGATTTGAATGCTGTATTGAGCGAATTCCAAGCCGTGTTCAAGGAATCAAATCTCGTTGAGTCAGAGGTCGCCACTTATCTATCGAACATCTCTCGCGAGGTTGATCAGTGGCTCTTGAATCAAAATCCAGGTGTTGAATCCCTATACAACAAAATACTGACTCAGATTACAAGCCTCAAGTTGGATACACCAGAGGTGCTGATTGTATCATCATTCCTTACCTACACCATTGTCAACAGCATCCTCACTTGGGACCAGCCTCCACCTCCTTCGAAGCCATATCCTTTGAAACGGTACGATCCGATTGGCGCCCAGGTATATTTCAACGGGAAACCATTTCAAGCAATTTCCAGAGGGGTCGAAATATCTCTGAAGTCGCTGCGGTTTGCACTCTCATTGTTGCAGGACAAAGTCCAGTAAGTTCCGACTTGAAACGACAATTTTTGTTCTCATGAGCTTGAATCTAACTCTATCACACACATAGGGACAAATGGGACGAGAATCAGGAAAAGCGAGGAATGCAGCTGGCAGAATTGTTGACAGAATTGGGTCCTACTTTCATCAAGAGTAAGTAATGCGCCATCCACAACTGTGTACGTGACGTTAGATGATTGATCCACTTGATTGCTTACATGGTGCCTCTAGTTGGTCAGTCTTTGTCGATACGAACTGACATTCTCAGCCCGGCTTACATTCGAGGCTTGGCGTCTCTACAAGACAAAGTTCCTGCCTTCGACACGAAGGTAGCTAAGCAAATTCTGGAAGAGGAGTGGGGTCGACCCGTGGATTCAGTCTTGAGCAAGATTAGCAGCGAACCCGTAGCTGCAGCGTCGTTGGGTCAAGTATACAAAGCAACAATGAAAGACGGGACGGAAGTAGCCATCAAAGTTCAACGACCAAACATTTCGGATCAAATTGCTCTTGATATGCATCTCTTGCGTGAATTCGCACCATTCGCCAAACGAACCTTCAACATGAACACAGATACTACTGGAACTGTTGACGCTTGGGGTTCTGGATTTGTGGACGAGCTAGACTACCTCCAGGAAGCTGAAAATGGAAAGTACTTCTTGCAAAAGATTCAAGAAACCCCTTTAAAGGATGTTGTAATTGCTCCTACCGTGGTTGATGAGTTGTCAACAGCATCCGTGCTTGTAACTGAATGGATCGATGGTCAACGGTTGGACCAGAGCAGTAGCGAGGATATCACCGTCTTGTGTAGCATCTGCATGAACACTTACTTGACCATGCTTTTGGAGCTTGGGTTGTTGCGTACGTGAAAAACACTTGTCACTGATTCGACAGCTGAACGATGAACTAACTTTTTTGAATGGCTTGCTACTCGTACAGATTGTGATCCACATCCAGGAAGTGAGTACTCTGAAAGATTTTTGGAAATGTCTGACACTTTGTACAACTCTGGTCACTAATCCTTCTTCTACGTTGCTAAAAGACTTGTTGCGAACAAATGATGGAAAACTATGTATTTTGGACTGGGGAATGGTCACTCGTCTGCCGCCAGAACTACAACTAACGTTGATTGAGCACATGGCTCACTTGACTTCCTCTGATTACGCTGAAATTCCTCGAGATTTGCTATTGCTTGGTTTCATTCCCGAAGATAAGGCTGATCTGATTGGTGACAGCGGAATCGTTAATGTTTTGGCAGATATCTATGGGGCTTGGACATCGGGTGGCGGTGTTGCTGCAATCAATGTTAACCAAGTTGTCAACCAGTTGCAAGATTTGACCGCAAAAAAAGGAAATCTTTTCCAGGTAGAGTATGAACGTGTTTGAAATGAGTGCTGTTCTGCCTTTGAAACTGCTCACAATCTTTTTCTGGTCATGTAGATTCCGCCTTACTTCGCTTACATTGCAAAGTCATTTTCAGTTCTTGAAGGAATAGGCCTTTCGAATGATGCCAAATATAGTATCATTAATGAATGCTTACCATACGTCAGTAACAGACTCCTTACAGACAAGGAGAGCATGGGGCCTGCCCTTTCTACATTTATCTTCGGTCCCGAAAAGGGCAACATCGACACAAGAATCGTTGACTACCGACGCGTTGAACAACTCATTGAAGGATTCGGAAACTTCTCCACCTCTTCGTCAGGGGCACTTTTAGGTAAAGAGGAACTCTCTCGCGGAGAAGTGTTAGAGGCAGCAGCTGATCAAGTGTTGGATATTATCGTCACCGATGAAGAGAGCCCATTTCAAGATATCTTGTTGGAGCAGCTTGCAAAAATCGTTGCTGCCAATTCCAGGTCAATATGGACTGAAGCGAGGGAACGATCAGGGACTCTTCCGTCCGGCCGAAGTGTATTGGGTACCATCGTCGACCCTCTTGGTCTTTTCCAATCGTCGCCGATAGTGAATACATGCGATAGGGATGAAAAAATTGTCGAAACCACTCAAAAGCTTGTTGAGTTGTTGCGAAGGCAGGCGTCTGCATCAAGCACGACCGGTTTGGTAGACTTTTCTGATCTTCAGCAAGATGAAATAGTTGAGCTTTCTGCTATTTTGGCAAGGAAAGTGTGGTCCCGCCGCATAAGTTTCCTGAGGACAGGCAGTAGATTTGCAACCAAGCTCCTGGAACAGACTGCAGGTAGGTTGGAGAGTGGCGAAAGAATCCGTCGACCAAGTAGAAAACCATCAGATCAGGAGGATACGCAGGATATTCAGGAACCACCAGAAACAGGCGCCGCTAGCATTGCTAGTATACCGATTGCCAAGAAGGACGATAAAGTGGTGTCGCAAAGACTCATGGACGCAAGAAATCGTCTGAAACGTCTGGAACAAGTGGATGAAGCCGAAGGTGCCGCAAAAGAAGCCGTAGTATGATGACCTTCTATCTCTAAGCTATATAGATCTATTGAAATCAATGTCGTGCTTTACAAAGCCTAGGACTAGCCTACCAAACTTAACTATCACGTTTCAAACCCCCGTAGATGATCATAAAGTACATTACATAATAAGACAGCTGACTGCTTCTAGCGGCTCATGCTCCCTGTACAACGAAACAGGAAGGCTTGACACTATGCCACGAGCTGTTCAGCGCGGTTGTTCTCTATCAATATTTTACACAGCACAATGGCAAGGGAATCGGCGCTACATTGCCACGAGGAGACTCATCAGCAGTGGTTTTGCCAGGAAAGCTCGTCCAGGATGAGCTCCAGAGTCTTCCAATATTGTCTCGCGTTCCGTTGCAGCTGCAACTGCCACCAATAGACCTTCGTGCCTCGCCATAAATGGCCTATTCGAATGCTCCGTTGCAAGCCTTTCAATAGCCCGAACAGCAGAATCCATAATTTCTTCCATTCCTGGCGCCCAACTGTTTGCACCAGCCACTAACGCATCGAGAATCTTTTTGGTGCACATCACAGTTCGATTTTTGCTCTCATTTGTAAGGTGCATGATTGCTCGCATGGCATTATCTTTGTCTTTGATTTGAGTTCTAGGATCCACGCTAATATCTGCCAATGTGTCGAGTATACCTCTATGTCTCACCATACTTGCCCTGTTTTCTGGGTCTCTGGCCTTGACTCGCAAAACGGCAGAGACACTGTTCACAGAACTACTCAGCGATGCAACCACTAAAGCATCAAGAAGAGTCTCGTAGCAAGGCATATGTATTGAGATATTTGCTGCAAGCTTTGTCAACGCCATTGCTGCTCGCGTTTGCACTTCCGAATTTTCATCTCTCGTTGATACGATTGCAAGAGTATCAAGCAGTCCTTTGTGACAACCCATCACCTTCGATGTGGTCTGACATGCAAGATTTGTCAATGCACCTGCAGCGCGCCTTCGCGCCTTGACATTTTTGTCCCCACTCAGAGCTTTTTTGAGAGCTTCGAGAACGATGCCCTCCTTAAAGCTAGCTAGTTTGAGCCTATTTTCTTTGGTGAATGCAAGATTCTGCAACGCTGTGATTGCTGCTTCTCTAGTTCCTGGTCCTTTTTCAACTAGTACCATCTTGACAAGAGTTCCTAGCACCTTTTCATTCTTGACCATTGGAATTTGGTTGCAAGGAGCAGAGGCCATGTCCATCAAGGCCATCCCAGCAAATTCACGGGCGGAATCAGATAGATCCAAATGTGCGATACGTAATAGACTATCAAGGAGCCCGTCGTGTTGCAAAACCAAGCCTTTGTTATCATCACAGTTTGCCAAGTTCGCAATGACTCGTACTCGCGCCACTCGACATTCTGGATTCAGAATGGAGGTCGCGACTCGACGCATTGCGTCCATCATCCCTGCATGCCGTGCGAGGTTGTACCGGAGCTCATTGATTCGTGACACATAGAGGAGTGTCTTTGTAATGTTAAGAATGCTTACATCAGCATGTTTCATGCTTCCATTTTCTGCCCGTTCCAAAAGTCTTAATAAAATAGGGACCATCGTTGTTCCACATTTGTCAAAAGCAACGTGCACGTATGGTCCCTGTGCTCGAAATACCATTTCTATGGCAGCACATACCATGCGAATTTCGTCGTCATCATCTGTCGTGCTCAAAGATTTTGCTAGGACCTGTGCAGCTCCATTTTGAAGCTCCGTGTTATGCTTCAAGTCATCGTCATGGTCGAATTCTGCACAGGCATTGGTTATCGCAACGATGCGTCGATCCAGGTTGAATGATTCCGAAGCTTTGTGCAACTCTTTGGACATCAAAAATTGTTCGATTGGGAAGATTGGTGAGAGATGAGTGTTCCGTAGTAAGGTCTTCCATGCACATACCTTCTATGAGCTTTCTTGTAGCCTTTGTTGCCTTGATTGATTTTTCAGATGGCGATCTTCGGCTGTTGACAGGTGATTGATCTCTGAAAACTCTTTTTGGTGGAGCAGGTCTGGAATTCGTTGGCTCTCGAATCTCACGCGAATGATGGGAATTGAAACTTGGAGCGGAAATGATAGATCCATTTTCGTAGGCGGTGCTAGATTGCCGAGTTGTCGAAATGCCCGACAGGCTACCATGACTTGGTCGTTTATGTTGTGGGATACTTATTGGCTGTGGCGGAAATCGTTGTGCACTCGAAGATCTTCTCGATGTTGTCGATGGCGGTGCACTTATAACTGATTGATCGAAACTTTGGGCCCGGTGGGTGTGGCTCAGTGGAGACGGTGGGCCCGCCTTTGGTGATTGACGAGATTTGCTTTTTCCACTGATTGATGATCTACTTTCATATTGTGGGACTGTCGGCCTTGTAGATCGCGTAGCACTTCGGCTTCTATGTTGCTGATACCGCCGCGATGTTGGAGGTTGAGACATGGTATCAGAGTCAATGATCTTCGGCACCTTTCGATGAAGAGTATAAAATCTTGACAATTTACGACGTTACTTTGCAAGAAGTTTCTTCTACCGTTTGTTTTGTGCGACGAATTTCGCCCATCAACGTTTAGCCTGCACGCGCGTGTACTAGAGTTCGTCTCATGATCATAGTTGTTTTCAATGCGCCGGGCGGGCCAAGTTTCGAGCAGCGTTATTTCAACAATATATTTTTTATAATGAAAAACAAGAAGTCTCTGTCGCGTACCATCCTTGTACAGACAATGGAAACCAAATAATCGAAGCACCCCCTCCCCTATCTGCCAATTACAAATTGAATTGAATATTGCTGATCATTCCGACTGAGGCGTTGCTAAGGAGACATTAGAACAATACTTTACAAAAATACATTATGATTTAAGTTTGCGCTGCTTTGTATGCTCCCAAATTGCGAGAGCACCGCTCACGTGCACATTTAGAGACCTGATAACTCCCATCTGAGGAATTTCAACACACTGGTCAACAGCTTGTAGATATTCCACCGGGATACCCTCCTTTTCCTTTCCCAAGAGCAAAACGGTTGGTTGATCAGGGAACTTCATATCGGTGAGCGACATACTAGATGATGTCTGCTCCAGCCCAAAGACAAAGTATCCTTTCGACTTTTTTGCCAAAAGCCACGACAGCAAGTCCTACAGCAGAAAGCAAAATCGTTAGTTGAACAACGGGAGAAGTAAAAGCGAAGCCGAGAACAGTAAATTATTTGCCAGAATTTTCAATTTCATCATGTTTGGTCACTGTATCGTCAGAATGTGCTCTGAACAGATCTTGGTTTATAGACATTGTAATCAAGTGAAATTGAAGATTCTGCACTCTTGTGCGTCTCGAGCATTGTGACCTACCTCTTCCTTCACCTCCTCGATATCAATCCATTCCCCTGCACCGACACTCAGACTCTTGAAGTTGTCCATCTTAGTAACTGAGATGTCAGGGACAACCAAGCGATCGGCAGCAAAGATCTCCGATGTCCTTGCCAAACCCCCAAGGTTAGGAACTTTATCGACAAGTGAAGCACAAACTATAAGTTGTTGTTTTGGATTTCCGACGGTATTTCGAATTCGCTTTTGGCGCACGTCTTCCATGGCAAGATTCAAAGAATCCAATGGAATGATCTTTCTTTGAAAGTTGACTTCTGTGTCATTCTCTCCTTCTGTTGATTGTTCGGCCTTCACGATGTTCTCAATTTGCTTCCATGCTGGAGCATCGTCCGCATGAGCTTCAGAATAAATATTCTTTAGGATATCCTTCATCGCATCTACAAGATGGAGCGGGTCGGCCTCGTCTCCTTCGTCCACAGGAATCCCAAGAACCCCTTCAGGAGTGCACATTTCCTCGACACTGTAACGTTCGAAAAATCCGCCTTGCTTCTTCCTCAATCGCTGCATCTCACGATTCTCATCAAGAAAGCGGTAGATTAACCTTGGGAACCAATCTTCATCAGATGTTGTTATCGATTCCATATTCGACACATCGACACACAGTGGAGTCAACTTGTGAACTAGCAACTGAGCAATGGCGCGGCTAAACCCTTGAGTGCTACTCAACCAAGGAATGATGGCAGCAAGCAATTCTTGCAATCGTTGTCTGTTTTCATGCTTGAGATCGAAATAGTCAATCTTGTACCGCCCAACAACCCAGTTCCCAGCAATGATCATCTGGTGCGACGAGAAACAAAGTTAGGTAAGTCTTCTGGTCTTTCATGATCAAGCGTTGTACTTACCAATGATGACACATGCTGCAGTGTGAGATCACGACGCGAGATCTCCTTCAAAAAGGTAGAACCAAAAACATACGGATGCGATTTTGCGCATTGAATAGTAAATATTTCAATGAAGTATCGGACTTGACCATGAATATGTTCTGGCATCATCCCGTACACCTTTTGGCTAACTTCTGACGCAATCTCCTCGGTTACAAATCGAGAGAGGTTACAAAGCGCTTGCCACCCTCGCATCTTGAGGCAGTATGCTGTTGTTCCTTTCATTATCAGATTTTTTGCCGAAGATTTTGTTGGCGCAGTCTCTTTCAGAAGTTCCAAAATGATGGGATGCAATAGCTCATGTAAGACCCTTTTGTCCAGGCCATTGTCTACACTTGGTAATTTCGAAAGAAACACAAGTATGAAAGCCCGCCCTACGCTCAATTCATTCGTTGCGGCAGGGATCGTCATAACTCCGTCTGTATTAGTAACCATGCTTTGATTTTTTGCCGACTCTTCAATTTTTTGTTCTTTGTGAAGCAGGAGCTTGACAATGTCTTCACGGTAGGGGATTGCGTTTTGTCCAAGGCGAGTCTCGTCCGTTCCTAACCACGAGACAGTAATCCTACAGAGAGCTGCTTTCAAAATATGGGAGCGCATCGTGCCTGCCATCTTCACAAGTTTCCGGAAAGCATCACGAACTGGGGTGGGACAGCGCGCGCTCTTTTGGATCCTACTTTCCTCCTCGTTGAGTAGCTTAGGGTGGAAAATGAATGCGCAGGTTTCGTTCAGCATGTCCATGGTTTCTTGGCTTGTATGAGACTTTTTCATCAACGCCAGAAGTGCGTCAACAATACGCTTCAGTTTCTCGACATAAAGTTTCTCCGCTTCCTCGCTCTCAGCAGCGCGATTATTGACCCAATTCTTCGAAGCCAAAAGGATGGAATTGAAAAGTGGGAGGCAAGCATAAGTTGCTGTTCTCGGAGCGGCTGCAAATGCTGCTTCAAGTATATCATGAAGAAGAGCCTGAGCTTCTTCACAAGTTTCGCTCGATGCATTTTCCATCGAAGCTTGTAGGAGAGGCAATATGCACGAAATTGACGCCCATTTTGCATACTGCATTATCGCCTGAGCAATATAAGTCCATTCGCCAGTTGCACCCTCGGTAAGCTCTTGCGAAAGAAGTAATCGACAAAGACTAATGTACTCGTTGTGGCCAGGATCAACCCCCGTTGACAACGCTGCGTAGATAGAAGCGCACAACATGGAACGCTGAATGTCGTTTCCGCTTGTTTGGTTCAACTCCTTGTGACTTGTCGCGAAACTATCGTTGACAGCATTTGGAATCACGTTGCTGGACATGTATGACTGATTCAAAACCCTCATTTGGCTGACAAGTGAAATACAAGTCGAAAGAACTCGTTTTGGCTTGATTGGTTCACTAGGATCACAAAGAGCCTCAGCAGAAAGCAATACTCGAAGATGATGCGAGATGAAGTCAACCGCAAACGAAAGCAACTTCTCAATGTTCGCTGGAGGAGGCATCAGCTGTTGGGTGGTACTATCGACAACCAGATCCCCGTTTCCCGTTCCCGATATTTCACGAAGTCGACATCCATACTCCAGCAAAATCAAGGCCCGAGACACGTCTCTCGCCTTTACGTGACCTTTCGTCAAGATCGCTTCGCTTGTACTACTCAGACCTTTGTTGATTGCTGGCCAAAGTAGCTGTCCCGTTGTTGAGCTTTTGGAGTTCTTTGCAGCTAGAGTGCACAGCAGCGTGATTGCCCATCCAAGTTCTCGCTCTTCTGTTGTTGAACCAAAAGTAGGATCCCAGCTTTCTTTCACATTCATCAAATCTCCCCGAACGAACGCCGAAGCTACTGCTGCGCCGACTGTTGTTATATCAGCATCCAGCTGTAAAATCCATGTTTTGAGGGCTGTCAACAGCTCTTCGTCTTCTATCTTCCAGTCTTCTGTGTCTAATGAGAAATAGTCTACTGAAAACAAAGCAAGTATCTTGAGCATTGTCATCGGGGCGTATTTCTGACTCCTATCATCCGAACTTGTACAATGTGACAACATAGTTGCAAGAGCAAGGAGCAGCCGTTTCTGGTATGTGACTACGCATGCCTGGCGATCAAGATAAGAATAGTGTCAGAACAAGGTTTGAATGATTTGAGTCAGAAGATCTTTTATGTGACATACCCCATCGGCAAACTGAGACAACATGGTCTCTGACAAAGAAAGAAGTGCTTCATTGTCAGCTGGCACAACTAGTGTACTAGTCGAAAGCTTTTTTGCCAACGATTCGTATATCGTAACAATATTCTTGATATGGAAGTTCTTAATCAAAGACCAACTCCAAATACCAGACCAAAATGCTTTTGCGTTTATTGCATCGAGAGTGTCAATATAATCTTGTAGCCAATCTGTCATAAGCGGAATCATATCTTCTTTGTCAACCTTCTTAGACGACGTTCCAAGGTGAACATTGTATCCAACAGATGTCCTCAAACTATTCCATGAGGGAAGAAGAGTTCTGAGAACGAATTCTGGTGTCATTCCAAGCATGGAGCGTCTAATCGACGACTTCCTAACGATAATTTGATGAGACTTCTTCTTTCCTGCTCGCTTCTTGCTCGCTTCAGCAGCTTCATTCTCACTCGGAACTTTGAGAAGTCGATAAAGACCAAGTTTTCGGACAGTCGTTTGATCGGTAGAGAGGGCCCGACTGTAGAGTAGGCTCATCCACCTCCATGAGAGCTCTGTGTATTGACCAGTTTCGTGCGGTTCCTCGATCTTCGCTATCAATTCGTCGACAGTATCCCAAATTTGATCGATCAAGTGTTGTTCAGTCTCCATTTCCAATGTTTCGGCGCACATACAAAATTTCTTCCACGAATCCGATGATGCGATGATATTGAGCAAATATAGAGCACGCTTTCGAAGAACAGAAGAAGATGCAGTGTCACCATCCAAGAGTGATTTGCCTTGCTCAAAACAGGTGTAGACAAGGAACCAGAGCTGTGGCTCGCTAGCAGGTTCTTGCAAGCCCGCATCTCCGCCGATTTTGGGAACTTCACAATTCACGAGGTATGGTAATAGAGGGCAAAGAATCGTTGTAACAACAAGCAGCGTTTGTCGCAATTCCTTGCTGGGCGAAAACTCCACTGCAAACATAGTTTTCCACAAGTCGTTGATCAGTGGTCGATGGAGTGAAGAAAGAACTGTGGGTGTTCCGTCATCCGACGATTCGGTAAGTACAGGCAATAAATCTTTCGATAATGTCGATATCATTGGCGTGCTTTGCTCAGGTGAATGCATCGCTTCCTTCAGCGCGTACAACACCTTTTCATGAAACACTTCAATCAAAGGTACATAATCTCCCCGTTGCTTCAGAAGTGTGACAGCGATGCGCCCAGTTATAGGGTGTGGTACCTTGAGAGCGTCTATCGCGTCGCTAGATATGTCGCTGTCTTCTTCCAAAAGATCCAAAAGCGTGACGACGAGATCCTCAGAGAAATCATTTTTCTCGACGAGGTAAGGGACCAAGACGCATCGAATGAAGTCACCAAAATTAAGATGTAGCTTCAAGAATTGGACAACAAATAGCCGTTCGCAATCCTCGCTACCACTTTCTATAATTTCGCGGCATACTGACCCATCTTCTTCTCCACAAATAGCATCAATGATAGGGCTCAATGATGAAGGTGATTGAATCGATTTCCAACTTTTGGCATCGCGCTTAGCTTCGGAAAATGATGATTCCAGAAGTGTTTGGTGGACTAACTTTAGCTGTCGGAGCGAAAGGCTTCCATTATGAATGTTGGCCTTGCATAAGGCATGGAGGGAAGCCAATGACGGTGGCATACTCCAGGCTGATCCCAAGTTTTGGACACATTGATGGATGATGGATTTCGATGGATTTTTACTTGGTCCAAAAGGACTTTCGTACGACTGACGCACTCGGAGCTCAAGGTTCCAGTTAGTCGAAAACCGATTTTCGTTATTTCGTACGAGTACCTGGTACGGTAAGGAAGCAATCAAATCAAGTAAGTATTCAGAAGTATCAGCTCGTCGGCAGCTTCTCCTCGATGGTTATAATCGACATAGCAGAGCCTTAAAATGCCAATAAAGTAATATTGTGGTCGCGTATGTTTAGTTCGTTCGTTCGGATCAAATCTCCATCGAATGTAGCAATCGATCTGCTGGAAACCTTCTCACAGAATCTTATTGATGATCGCACAAACGCAATCATTTCTAGGTCGAATCATCAAACTGGTGGTGTAGTTCCATGCCTCGCTCACGAGAACATGGCCAGAATTTGCAGCTGACATCCTGCATGACTCATACCACTGAAATTTCATGAGATTGTCGCTATCATATTTTCAGAAGGGATATTCTCACCACATATTGACTGGTTCTGATGCGTCGAAGGGGTGTTGTTGCAACTATGGCCGACCAGAGCACGATGTTTCATCCATCAAGCAGTGCAGGTCCATGCAATAGATCAAAGATCACATCTTGCGGCCCAATTCTCGAACACAGTTGTTCATAACTCAAGCATCGGTTGGTCCTTTCCAAAATATGCGGCCATAGCGACAAGCCAACCGTATTCGTAAGTTTCAAGCATCTACCTCCACTGTTCAATGCAAGATAATATTCTAACAACATGGTAGAATCATTCAACTTCAGCTTCCATATTGATGTGTTGCGTGCCATACCTTTTTCAAGGCTCTTTACTCCTTGCATCGAGTAGGAATTGTTAGATATATCCAGTATGCGCAAGGATCGAGGAAGAACTGGAAGAGAGTCTGACAGGCACATCATTCCTTGATCAGAGATTGAGTTATCGAATAGTAGTAAACGCTGCAGAGTTGTGTTCTTCTCAAGAGCTTTCACTAGCCATTTCATTTGGTCGTCAGCAAGAAAGTTAGAATGGGTGTCGAGTACTTCCAACATGCAATCCTCATGTTCAAGGCCATCGCAAAGATGAATGAAATAATCCCGATCGTCCCACACATCTTGACATGATATGTCGAGATACTTTAAATGTGTCGAAGAGGCCAACAGGGCTCCCACAGCTTTCATGCCCTCGGATAGGCAGTAGTTCACACTAAGATCCAGGTGCTGAAGGGATGGGTGGTCCTTTAGTTCGGTCACAATTGTAGCTATTTCAGTGTCTTCCAAGTGGCATTGACACAACGATACTTCCTTCAATGCCTTGCAATTCTTCAGGCCAATAGCTACATTGCGGACCGCTTCAATGTTTTCAAACGAACATTTCGTCAAGCGAATATACTGAAGTGGGCACAGCGGGCTACTCAGCCCTTCTTTCATACCGTAAGCTTGCGCTGATGCAATTGTTCCACTTATCACTGTAAGAGAATCTACTGTTGCGTAGCCATCAGTGTTGTTAAGTAGTGATGTTCCCAACATTGAAATTACTGCATCACTCGGTTGAACAATAATGAGGCGCTCAACATGTCGCACGTACAGGAATCCATGCAATAGGCGCTGAGTTGCTCTTGAAGCAGTGGTGAGCTCAATCGATTTCCACGAGTCTCTCGATGCTAGAAAATCTTGAATTGCTCCATGCATCGACGCATCAATTGTCTTTCGTCTAACAATTACTTGATTGAGCGAAAAGTCTTTCTGTGCCGAATAGAGTCTCGCGGTTACGGAGGTCGGTGAACCATTTCCAACAAGCATGCAACTTTGCTTGTGTTCCTTCTTTGGAGAAGACTTCTCCTGCTCGAGTAGATCTCTCAGGTTAGTAGCAACTGAAGACGTCATCTTGTTTGCAATGTACAAATGTACAGTAGACCTCGATCACTTGCCAAAGTCTGAAGTGGTTGTTGCGCTCTCTAATCTGCCATGTCGCATAAGACAGATAAGCGCCAATCACAGCCCTTTAATCTGAAAATGGTATTGATTCTACAACAATGGGCTGCTCCAACCAAGAATGCTCCAACGCTACTCTCATTGTGAGAATATGTAGAAATCGATTATGTTACTCGCTGAAAAGTGTCTTGATTAGAGCAAAAAGTACTTCTGGGCAAGCGGAAGCTTGTCCGCTGGTTCGCACGTGAGCACTTCACCATTTGCGCGAACTTCAAAAGTCTCAGGATCCACCTCCATCTCTGGAAGTGCATCATTGAGGATCATGTCGTGCTTGGTTAGGTGGGAACATCCAGTGACACCTTCGACTGATTTGTTCAAACCATACTGACTCTTGACCCCATGCTCTGCAGCGGCCTTGGAAACAAAGGCGTAACTGTTGCTATTCTTGCCACCAAACATAGGTCTCATCTTGACAGGCTGTGGAGTTGGAATGGAGGCATTCGGATCTCCCATTTGGGCCTAATGGAAAAAAACATGACAATTGAGGGAAATGCGGATTGGGCGAAACATTGGTCGTGAACAAATCTATACGTACATATGCAATTGTACCACCCTTGATGATCATCTCAGGCTTTGCACCAAAGTATCCAGGCTTCCATAGTACCATATCCGCAAGCTTGCCCTTTTCAATACTGCCAACCAGATGAGAGATACCATGTGTGATGGCAGGGTTGATGGTATACTTTGCCAGGTAGCGCTTGACTCGGAAGTTGTCATCGACGCCATCACTTTCGAGGGGACCTCGTTGTTTTTTCATCTTGTCGGCAGTCTGCCAGGTGCGGCAAATGACCTCTCCAACTCTTCCCATCGCTTGAGAATCAGATGATATCATAGAAATGGCACCCATATCATGGAGAATATCCTCTGCACTGATAGTTTCAGCGCGGATACGAGACTCGGCAAACGCCACATCCTCAGGAATGGAAGAATCAAGATGATGACAAACCATTAACATATCAAGATGCTCATCCATGGTATTCACAGTGAAGGGCCGAGTTGGATTTGTTGAAGATGGCAAAACATAGGGCTCTTGAACAATCTTGATGATATCTGGTGCATGGCCTCCGCCAGCTCCTTCGGTGTGATACGTATGAATCGTTCTTCCCTTCATTGCGGCAACACTATCATCGATGAAGCCAGACTCATTCAAGGTATCTGTGTGGATGGTACAAGCAACGTCATTTTCCTCACAAAAGGTGAGACAGGCGTCGATAGCGCTTGGTGTCGTTCCCCAATCCTCATGGAGCTTGTATCCACAAGCCCCTGCCAGTAGTGTATCTTGAAGCACCTTAGGATCACTGGTGTTGCCCTTCCCAGAGAATCCAAAGTTCAGGGGCAAATTATCTGTCGCTTGGAGCATCATTTCGAAATGTGCTGGTGCTGGAGTACAGGTCGTTGCACTTGTGCCAGCAGAAGGTCCGGTACCACCGCCCCACATGGTAGTTACACCAGATGCAATGGCATCTTCGATTTGTTGTGGGCTGTGAATTCAACAGGAACAAGTTAGACTAATCTTCAAAACACCGCAATGAAAAAAAGGAGAGTCTTTCGTCCTTACCAAATCCAATGTACATGTGTATCAACACCTCCGGCAGTAATAATCATCTTTTCTCCAGCAATTACATCTGTAGTGGCTCCTACAATCATGCCAGGATCAACCCCTCTCATCATGTCTGGGTTTCCTGCTTTTCCAATACCGACAATCCTGTTTCCCTTGATACCAATGTCGGCCTTGATAATTCCAGTGACCGAATCAAGAATAAGAGCATTGGTGATGACAGTATCGAGCGCATCAGCCGAAGTGACACCGGTGGCTTGTCCCATGCCCTCACGGAGGGATTTGCCTCCACCAAACTTGCATTCGTCTCCATATTCCGTTAGATCATACTCTACACGAATCTTGAGACAGGTATCACCCAAAACTACCATATCGCCTGTAGTAGGTCCATACATGTCAGCATACGAAGACCTCCCGATGACATAGGCGCTACCATCTGGGACTTCAGCGGCTTCAGCATGCTTGAAGCCTCCTTCTGTTACCCGCCCCATGATTTCATCAATTCTATCGTCACTGGCCACACCATTAGTCAACTTGTTTCCTGTGATCACATTCTTGGCTCCTCCAATCTCGACCAACGTGACGGTCTTGGTTTCACCTGGTTCAAAGCGAATACTGGAACCAGAGGGTACGTTCAAACGCTTCCCAATAGAAACTTTGCGGTCGAACTCAAGAGCCTTGTTGGTTTCAACAAAAGCATAGTGACTTCCAACTTGAATTGGCCGATCACCAGTGTTGGTGACAGAAATTTCGCTCAAAGGTAGTCCTTCGTTCAGGACGATGGGTTCGTCTGCAGAAATGATGGCTCCCGGATAGTTTTCATCGTCTTCCATCTCTTTGAACTTGCTCAAGTCTGGAGAGGGGAGGAAAGATCCTTCCAAGGCCAAGTCCATATTACCATCAAGGGCTACGATAGGTGCGTGAACTGTGAGTAATTTTGTTCCATCAGGGAAGGTGGCTTCGACTTGGACATCTTTCACAAGCTTCGAAACGCCGGGAAGAACTTGACGCTGTCCGAGCAACGTCTGGCCAACAGACATGAGGGTGGCGACGTCATCTTCTCCATCACGGATCTTTTCCATCATTTGCATGGTAATGAGAGCCACCGATTCTGGTACATTCAATCGCACCCCACGTGCGAGCCTATACTGGGCCAATCGTCCAGTATTATGGAGCTGCAAGTGATCGATTTCACGTGGGGTCAAGTGCAGCCAGCGACGAGATGGCTGAGCGGAGAACCGCTTCAGGGTTGAAGAGACAGAACGCAGCATCATTGCTTCCTTCCTTGTTAGATTCAAAGAGGTTCTGTTTTGTTGTTGGTGATGAACGTGTTACCTCCTTGATGGCCACGGAAGATTTGTACGTATCTTGTAAGCGCCAGTGATGCCAGCTTTGATTTCTTTTTTTTTCACTACGTAAAAAACGTATTCCAAAGATGTTACTTTACGATATATGTATTTCGCGTCTGCAATAATGATATCTAGGTGAATATATATATAAAATACCCGTACATATTTAAAGAAAAAAGGATTTTCTATTAACAGGACATCCGCCTGTCACGGAAAGACGAGTCACGTGAAAAACCAACTTTCGACCTTAGCCCATTTTTTATGTATGACCATTTTCATCATAACAATCAATCAGACGTCGTCCTATGACCCTTTGGGCCCACTGTATAGGGTCAATTGCTTGGTATGTACCTAGGTTCGATCAGTGGCACCAGAATAGGCTATTGGTAGCACTTAGATGCTAAAAAGTGACTTTTGTGCCATTTTGTTTGGTCTTATTAGAGGACGGCAATGAGTATTGGTGAGCTACAAACCTGCGGCTAGCTCAAAGGTGTCCTATTAGTGATATATATGGGCAGTGGGGACTTTCACACTAGGCTAGAGGGGCATGCCAACTCGAACAGATGCGGTGTATTTTCAATGCAATGTTGATTCTGCATCCAACACAAAACACCTCCATCTAGTATTGCAAGTGGAATGATAGTTATCAACGATTATAAGTTTGTCCTCTAATAGTTAGTAGTACCGATGGTAGTGTTGCTGAAGGGATTGTACAAATGCATGGAAGGTATCAGGATGCATCTGCATCGTGACTTTCTTTTCTTGAACTCTGAGGCCAAACTCTCCAGTGATGCAAATCTGACCTCCTGTATTGTTTCCACCTATGGACACAAATCTATTTGCTTTGATAGTATCTATACGAGCATAAGAGATCATCGTCACCTATCTTGTTGCCATGATAGTCGTCCTTCAATAAGACAACACAAAAATGGCATGAAATTGTATTTTGTTGCTCCCAAACGAAGCCGCCTCTGTTCGAGTTGGCATGCTCCTCTAGCCTTGTGTGAAAGTCCCCACTGCCCATATATATCACTAATAGGACACCTTTGAGCTAGCCGCAGGTTTGTAGCTCACCAATACTCATTGCCGTCCTCTAATAAGACCAAACAAAATGGCACAAAAGTCACTTTTTAGCATCTAAGTGCTACCAATTAGCCTATTATTGTGCCACTGATCGAACCTAGGTACATACCAAGCAATTGACCCTATACAGTGGGCCCAAAGGGTCATAGGAAGACATCTGATTGATTGTTATGATGAAAATGGTCATATATTTAAAATGGGCTAAAGTCGAAAGTTGGTGTTTTCACCATTTCTCCACCTTCCATTTCCATGGATGTTCTATATATACGCACTTCTCGAAGGATTGGGCTTGTTTGAATACCGGTAGAAAGTCGATTTGGCAGATAAAGCCAACAATAAATTTCAAACAACATTTTCAGGTATGTTTTCGTAGTAAACACAAGAAAGGAATCCTATTCCGTGCGCTACGGTACCGTAGACTACCAAGGCAGTAGATGAACATAACTAGGACACAATCGATTTTCGAAAACAAGCAAAAATGCCATTTCGGTAACCTCAGGGCATATTTCGCGACATATTTTTGACATGCTGAACCAACGTATGAGTATTAGGCAACGGTGTCGCCCCGATTTTGGAATTATTTGAGCACGATAACGATGGTGAGGTTGATCTCGTCCTATAACTCGACGGGAAAATCATTTTCGACCCACCAACAAACAAATTCTGCTGCTAACATACACATACTTTATGGCACGATATCTACAGAGTGAGTTTAAATTTCGCTATTTTCGGAGAAGCGTGGGTGCCATTTCTACTCATTGTGGGAATACATGGAGCAAGTTGATTATGTTACTCGCTGAAAAGTGTCTTGATTAGAACAAAAAGTACTTCTGGGCAAGCGGAAGCTTGTCCACTGGTTCGCACGTGAGCACTTCACCATTTGCGCGAACTTCAAAAGTCTCAGGATCCACCTCCATCTCTGGAAGTGCATCATTGAGGATCATGTCGTGCTTGGTTAGGTGGGAACATCCAGTGACACCTTCGACTGATTTGTTCAAACCATACTGACTCTTGACCCCATGCTCTGCAGCGGCCTTGGAAACAAAGGCGTAACTGTTGCTATTCTTGCCACCAAACATAGGTCTCATCTTGACAGGCTGTGGAGTTGGAATGGAGGCATTCGGATCTCCCATTTGGGCCTAATGGAAAAAAACATGACAATTGAGGGAAATGCGGATTGGGCGAAACATTGGTCGTGAACAAATCTATACGTACATATGCAATTGTACCACCCTTGATGATCATCTCAGGCTTTGCACCAAAGTATCCAGGCTTCCATAGTACCATATCCGCAAGCTTGCCCTTTTCAATACTGCCAACCAGATGAGAGATACCATGTGTGATGGCAGGGTTGATGGTATACTTTGCCAGGTAGCGCTTGACTCGGAAGTTGTCATCGACGCCATCACTTTCGAGGGGACCTCGTTGTTTTTTCATCTTGTCGGCAGTCTGCCAGGTGCGGCAAATGACCTCTCCAACTCTTCCCATCGCTTGAGAATCAGATGATATCATAGAAATGGCACCCATATCATGGAGAATATCCTCTGCACTGATAGTTTCAGCGCGGATACGAGACTCGGCAAACGCCACATCCTCAGGAATGGAAGAATCAAGATGATGACAAACCATTAACATATCAAGATGCTCATCCATGGTATTCACAGTGAAGGGCCGAGTTGGATTTGTTGAAGATGGCAAAACATAGGGCTCTTGAACAATCTTGATGATATCTGGTGCATGGCCTCCGCCAGCTCCTTCGGTGTGATACGTATGAATCGTTCTTCCCTTCATTGCGGCAACACTATCATCGATGAAGCCAGACTCATTCAAGGTATCTGTGTGGATGGTACAAGCAACGTCATTTTCCTCACAAAAGGTGAGACAGGCGTCGATAGCGCTTGGTGTCGTTCCCCAATCCTCATGGAGCTTGTATCCACAAGCCCCTGCCAGTAGTGTATCTTGAAGCACCTTAGGATCACTGGTGTTGCCCTTCCCAGAGAATCCAAAGTTCAGGGGCAAATTATCTGTCGCTTGGAGCATCATTTCGAAATGTGCTGGTGCTGGAGTACAGGTCGTTGCACTTGTGCCAGCAGAAGGTCCGGTACCACCGCCCCACATGGTAGTTACACCAGATGCAATGGCATCTTCGATTTGTTGTGGGCTGTGAATTCAACAGGAACAAGTTAGACTAATCTTCAAAACACCGCAATGAAAAAAAGGAGAGTCTTTCGTCCTTACCAAATCCAATGTACATGTGTATCAACACCTCCGGCAGTAATAATCATCTTTTCTCCAGCAATTACATCTGTAGTGGCTCCTACAATCATGCCAGGATCAACCCCTCTCATCATGTCTGGGTTTCCTGCTTTTCCAATACCGACAATCCTGTTTCCCTTGATACCAATGTCGGCCTTGATAATTCCAGTGACCGAATCAAGAATAAGAGCATTGGTGATGACAGTATCGAGCGCATCAGCCGAAGTGACACCGGTGGCTTGTCCCATGCCCTCACGGAGGGATTTGCCTCCACCAAACTTGCATTCGTCTCCATATTCCGTTAGATCATACTCTACACGAATCTTGAGACAGGTATCACCCAAAACTACCATATCGCCTGTAGTAGGTCCATACATGTCAGCATACGAAGACCTCCCGATGACATAGGCGCTACCATCTGGGACTTCAGCGGCTTCAGCATGCTTGAAGCCTCCTTCTGTTACCCGCCCCATGATTTCATCAATTCTATCGTCACTGGCCACACCATTAGTCAACTTGTTTCCTGTGATCACATTCTTGGCTCCTCCAATCTCGACCAACGTGACGGTCTTGGTTTCACCTGGTTCAAAGCGAATACTGGAACCAGAGGGTACGTTCAAACGCTTCCCAATAGAAACTTTGCGGTCGAACTCAAGAGCCTTGTTGGTTTCAACAAAAGCATAGTGACTTCCAACTTGAATTGGCCGATCACCAGTGTTGGTGACAGAAATTTCGCTCAAAGGTAGTCCTTCGTTCAGGACGATGGGTTCGTCTGCAGAAATGATGGCTCCCGGATAGTTTTCATCGTCTTCCATCTCTTTGAACTTGCTCAAGTCTGGAGAGGGGAGGAAAGATCCTTCCAAGGCCAAGTCCATATTACCATCAAGGGCTACGATAGGTGCGTGAACTGTGAGTAATTTTGTTCCATCAGGGAAGGTGGCTTCGACTTGGACATCTTTCACAAGCTTCGAAACGCCGGGAAGAACTTGACGCTGTCCGAGCAACGTCTGGCCAACAGACATGAGGGTGGCGACGTCATCTTCTCCATCACGGATCTTTTCCATCATTTGCATGGTAATGAGAGCCACCGATTCTGGTACATTCAATCGCACCCCACGTGCGAGCCTATACTGGGCCAATCGTCCAGTATTATGGAGCTGCAAGTGATCGATTTCACGTGGGGTCAAGTGCAGCCAGCGACGAGATGGCTGAGCGGAGAACCGCTTCAGGGTTGAAGAGACAGAACGCAGCATCATTGCTTCCTTCCTTCCTTCCTTGTTAGATTCAAAGAGGTTCTGTTTTGTTGTTGGTGATGAACGTGTTACCTCCTTGATGGCCACGGAAGATTTGTATCTTGTAAGCGCCAGTGATGCCAAGTTTGATTTGGTCTCAATAAGTAAAAAAACCCTTTTCGAAAGATCCTTTCAATTCGAAACTTTTTCAGACCTATCTAAACCTTCTCCTTCGTGTGTCACTCACCAAAAACACGGACTCGGTCCTAGACATAAGTGTGCAACTGCCACACTGTTTTCATATCTTTCTACTTGTCAAGTATATGTATCTCATGATATAGGTCCTACAGCACCAAGGCCTTCGGTTGACATTTTTTACATTTTTATCACAGCTGTGAAACGATTTACGACCATTCCTTCTTCACGTTAAAATACTCCTGAATACGATAGCTTCCATACTTTAGGTAATCAAACTCCTCGCAACCTTCGGTGGCTGCTTGATTGATGCCCCAGAGCCCCCACACAAGATGGTTTGCCAAGACAAATCCTTTGATTTCTTTCAAGAGAGCGTCGACTACATCGGCCGATGGTGCCGACCCACCACTAGTTGTAGTCAAGTACTCTACCACAAACGCTCGTTGCAACTCTATGGATGGGAACTTGCTGTAATCTGGAGTGGCATCACCATCTGTGCCTCCAGCAAACTCATTGAAATGATTTGCTATATCGTAGGAAAGATAGCTAATCCCTCCATATTCGAAATCAATCAGTTGGATCTTTTTCGTTTCCGCATCCCACATGATATTCGCGGCTAGCAAATCATTGTGACAAAATCCAACTTTGCAGTCCTTTGATATGACGCTCGTTTGCAACCATTCTAGTTCCGCATTTAGCTTTGGCAAGTCAAGGTTCTTTGCTCGTCGGGTGTCACCATCATTCTGAAACTTGGACTTGAGAGCTTGATCCAACCAGCTTGTCAGTTGTGTCCATAACGTCGGTGGTTTGCTGGGATCGTGATGCTCACGAAGACCCTCTGGAACTGAGAAATTGGAATGCATCTGTGCTGTACTCTTGGCAATGCCAATGGATATCTCTGGATTTCCCATTTCATCTACGCCAAGGCTGCGCATATGCTCACACCATTCTTCCAATCGACCATTTTGAAAACGACCGAAGTATCCCAGAGCAATTCCTTGGTTCGCCAACGCGGCATAGGTTGCATTTTCAATGTCACGGTCGATCATTCCTTCCCCTCCAAATATACGAACCAATACTGCCTTTGGAATCTTGTCGTGACCACTCTTGTTGTCACCACTCTGGTGCAATCCCGAGACCTTGAATAACTTGTTGGTAATACCACCAGTCACGGATGTTACTTGAAAACTTTGCCATTCGGCAATTCCAAAGACTTTTGCCACCACCATTTTCACGGAATCCAAATCGGTTGGATCGGCAGAGAGGAAGGGCAAATATGGTTCCCCATCTATCGTCACTTTGCTCTCATTAGTGTTGCCACGAGCGTTAATGTAGTCTTTGGGTGCCATGGTTGGTTTGCGTTATGGTTGCACTTATCGAAACGGTGTTGCTACAGTATGTAGAGCAAATGACCGACCAATGATGCTCAAATGACGATCATTCATTTATTTCCTGGTGTGAGAAAGATGGAGAATTTTCAATTTGTTTTCCGAATTCAAAGTTGCGCCTGTACGCCGACAGGCTACTTCGCCTTGGACTCTTGAAACACTTACATTACCGTACGAGTACCAGGTACTCTTGCTTGAAAGGTGCACTCTACAGTATTCTATTGTATACTCGTAGATATGTATTATAGGTATAATAATAATACGAACTACTATAATATTTTTTAAAAATATATGAACTCTATTACCAATTCTAAATTTGACCTAAACCCGTTGCTATATCAGCAGCAGCATTGCTTCGTTCTTTTGTTCTGTTCTTTTCGGAACTCAAACATCAATAGAAGCAGCGGCTGCCACTGCATCGTCATCCACTCCGCTGCTGGCAGCCGCTGCCAACCGGGCAGCAGCATCTAACGCACCAGCAGTCGTTGTCACGGTGTCCAATGGATTGTGAACCACATTATAAGGACTCTTGGCATAGCTATCGGCAACGCCCATTGCTGCTTCCACTGCGGCCGACACTTCTTCGTAATCCCCCTTTTTGCTCCCATCCGCACTCTCCAGGGCGGCTTCGACACTAGCCTGAGTGACAGCATCGGCAGCAAGGATGGAATGGGTTGTCAATAGAGCCTCATCGACAATATGCGACGCCAAACCTGGGGCAGTATCGTTCTGCTCGAGAAACGCATGCACAATCTTTTTGTTTTCTCTTCGGTATCGCATCCGACGCCAAATGTTCTTCTTGAGCAACCAATCGTGACCTTCTCTCCCCTTTATGTATTTCTGATTGTAGACAAATTCTGCTCCGTCCGGTAGATCTAGCCATGTTCGATAAGAGCGTGTTGCCTCGACCGCAGCAATGTCCATCTCTTTGGCCACATAGGAATCGGAAAAGAGTGTGGCTGGTCGTCGCTTCCGACTGCTTTCTTGGACTAGATGATGATGATTATCCATGGATGATTCCATGCTGCTTTTTCCAAATGAATGGTGATGATCATCATGATGATCGTGATGATCATGATGATCGTGGTTGTGATCCAATTTGGCAACCTTTTCCAGTGGTACCGGCACGCCGTCCAATGGATTGGTTTGAGCAATCTGCCGGGCTCGTTTCAACACTTGATGATCTCGAATGTTGTTGCGTCTGGCAATCATGATTCGTCGCATCAAGCGTTCTTCGTCATCCCCGTGTCCCTTGATGAAATCCCGACAGGCATATCGGAGCTTTTGGCCATTTTCCAAATTTAACCATCGGCTAAAAGTGGGAGACTGCTTCACGAGGGCTTCGTCAAAGTCGGGAGGGCGAGGGCCCATTTTCGGTCCTGGCATCGTTCCGTTGTCCTTCATTTTCAGAATAGCAAGCAAGCGTTAGCATTGTTGTTGTGAAACAAACACGTCTATATAAATACTGTATATATACTGTATATATACTATCCAAGATGAGCATGGTATCTTACAAAAGATCTTCGAAGATCGAAGCGAGGTTATCAGCTGGGTTATGTTGCTTCCTGTGTCAAGCAAACAGGAAATGAGCTGGTGGCTTGGGAGCTGCCTGGCGGTGGGCTGTTTTTCTTCAAAGGGCTGCCGTAGTCCTTTCTCAATCGTGACGGAGGAAGGACCGACGTCAATGAAGAATGACGACAACATCCTATCCATCATCAATAATCTGAAATCATCAATCACATCTTCCGAAGCCAAGTGTCAAAAGAACATGTTTTGAAACTGTATTGTACAGTATTGCGTGACATCTCCTTGAATCATATTTACAATCAACCAAACGAAAATTACTGAACAACAACAACAACAACAACAACAACAACAACAAATAATATCTACAAAATATTAACATCAAAGATGATCTTCAATCCAGTCGAATTCCTCCGAATCCGTCGCTTCAATCTACGAGAACACACCGACGAGGAACTGGAAGAATTTTTGCAACTCTACCTCCGCAACGAAATTCCGGATTATCAAATGGCAGCCTGGCTCATGGCAGTCTGCTGTCAGGGCTTGTCAAAGAGAGAAACGGCAACCTTGACACGGTGCATGGTGGAATCGGGAGAACAATTGATATGGAACACGCCGACGTCTTACAGAGTGGACAAACATAGCACGGGAGGTGTGGGAGATAAAATTTCCATTGTCTTGGCTCCTCTTGTGGCTACTTTGGGCTTACAAGTACCAATGATGGCGGGAAGGGGTTTGGGTCATACTGGTGGAACGATTGACAAGCTTGAGAGCATTCCGGGATTTCGAACGGATTGGTCCGTGGCAGAATTTCAAACGATTTGTCAAGAAACGGGATCCATCATCAATACCACTGGCCCGAGCTTGTGTCCAGCGGACGCAAGACTGTATGCCCTTCGAGATGTAACTGGAACCGTTTGGTCCATTCCATTGATTACGGGAAGTATCATGTCCAAAAAGATTGCCGAACGACCCGATTCCTTGGTGCTGGATGTGAAATATGGCTGTGGCGCCTTTTCTCCCAGTCGAGAAGCGGCACAAGAACTAGCCGAAAGTTTGGTTGCCACTGGAGAAGCCAATGGATTGACACCTACCACTGCATTTCTGACACGCATGGAACAGCCGATTGGTTGGGCAGTTGGGAATTTTTTGGAGGTACAAGAGTGCACACAATTACTAAAGGGTTGGGAAAATGACAAAGACTTTCACAAAAGTCGAGATTTGATAGATCTGATTGTCCATCAAGCAGGGCAAATGCTGCAACATCAAGATCCGACAAAATCTCTGGCCGACTGCGTCCAGAAAGCATATACACAACTAAAGTCTGGTGCAGCCTATGCGAAATGGGTCGAAATGGTGAAAGCTCAGGGTGGCGATGCCGAGGCGGCCGTCGACAATTGTGATACCTTTATGGAAACTCATGCTACAAACACTAAAACATTCGAGTTGAAAGCTCGCAAGGCCGGTTTTGTCTCGGACATTAATGCCATGACGATTGGACTAGTGGCCGTGGATTTGGGTGCTGGACGGAAACAAGCTGGAACTTCCGTTGATCCTTGGGCTGGTATGTCATTCTCGGTCAAGGTAGGAGACCACGTGGAGGAAGGAGATGTTTTGGTGAAAGTCTTTCATGACAAGAGCTTGGATGATACTGCTGCGACAGAATGCTACGAACGCATCTACAAAGCATTTGATTTCTCTTCCGAACCATTGCCACCACTACCACCAATCATTACACACATCATCACAAAAGATGGTGGATGTCAAGAGATGGACATGACTCCCTGTTCCTAATCGAGCAATCATGCATCCATACTCCCACACTGTCATTCAATAAATGAATACTCCCACTCCTTTATTGGAATAGAAACATATTACTACTATAAAAGCAAACCGACAAGCAATACATATCGTATTAATGCCCTTGTCATGATTACCTACAGTAGCTCCTACAGGCTCCTACAGGCCCTGCCATTATATTTCAAAGTGTACTATTTTTTTCATTAAATACAATAGTCTACTCGGATTGCGAAATCTATGGGTTGCGCATTTTCCGATCAAAAACTGGATACCACCCACTTCCAATGCACTTCTTTTACGAAATAAAACAATACTTGGATTTGAATTTGGTCAATTCATCGGACATCTCCGCCTTCTTCCTCTTTCTTACTGTCTTTCTTCTTCTTATCTTTCTTGGTGGTTCCACTCTTCTTCTTAGTGTCTTCTTTGGTCTTGGCATCGTTTTTCTTGATTCCATTCTTATTTGTTCCAGTAACACTCTTCTTCTTCTTCTTGGTTCCATCGCTCTCAGCCTCTGAAGACTCTTTCTTCTTCTTAGTGCCTTCTTTGGTCGTGGCATCTTTTTTCTTGTTGTCAGTCTTAGTAGTTCCAGTGGCACTCTTTTTCTTCTTGGCTCCACTGCTCTCAGCCTCGTCCGCAGCTGTATCTTCGTCATCCGCAGCTGTATCTTCGTCACCATCAGTGTCGGCGTCATCTGCGTCGGCTTTATCTGCGTCAGCGTCACTATCGGCGTCGGCTTCGTCAGCGTCGCCTTCATCGGTGTCGGCGCCACCATTCGCAACGGCTTCATCTTCATTACCGTCACCATCTGCGTCGCCTTCATCGGTGTCCACATCACCATCCGCAACGGCTTCATCTCCATCACCGTCACCATCTGCGTCAGCTTGGTCAGCGTTGGTGTCATCATCAGCATCGCCATCTGCTTCATCGGTGTCGGCGCCACCATCCGCAACGGCTTCATCTCCATCACCGTCACCATCTGCGTCGCCTTCATTGGTGTCTCCATCACCATCCGCAACGGCTTCATCTCCATCACCGTCACCATCTGCGTCGCCTTCATTGGTGTCTACATCACCATCCGCAACGGCTTCATCTCCATCACCGTCACCATCTGCGTCAGCTTGGCCAGCGTTGGCGTCACCATCAGCATCGCCATCTGTTTCGGCTTCATCGGTGTCGGCGTCACCATCCGCAACGGCTTCATCTCCATCTCCATCACCGTCACCATCTGCGTCAGCTTGGCCAGCGTTGGCGTCACCATCAGCATCGCCATCTGTTTCGGCTTCATCGGTGTCGGCGTCACCATCCGCAACGGCTTCATCTCCATCACCGTCACCATCTTCGTCGCCTTCATCTGAATCAGTGTCCCTATCGGCTTCATTCTTGTCGGCACCACCATCTGCGCTGGCTTCATCTGCATCAGCGACACTATCTGCGTCGCCTTCATCAGCGTCAGCGTCACCATCTGCGTCGCCTTCGTTAGCGTCAACGTCGGCGTCGCCACCAGCATCAACATCGCCATCAGCAGCGTCGGTGTCGGCATCACCATCTGCCTCGGCTTCATTTGCACCCGCATCGGCGTCATCTCCATCTGCACTACCGTCAGCATCACCGTCGGCATCAGCATCAGCTTCGTCGCCGTCGGCATCGCCATCTACATCGGCGTCATCACCGTCGGCTTCGTCTGAATCTGAATCTGGATCACCACCTGCGTCAGCTTCATCAGCATCAGCATCGGCTTCATTTCCATCGGCATCGCCAGCTGCATCGTCGTCATCACCGTCGGCGTCAGTATCAGCATCGCTATCCTCATCCTCGTCATCTTCATCAGAATCTAGATCCTCTTCATCAGAATCTGACTCGTCATCTTCATCATCTTCATCGTCTCCGTCGTTATTGTCAAAACCAGTATAGTCGCCGTGTTCACCCGGGAAGTCTTCAAAGATTCCGTCGAGCTCTGCTTCTTCAGGCGTCCATTTTTCAAATCCAAATTCTCCTTCCAGCTCCCAGTCTAGGTTTCCGTTCACATGTCCAAGAAACTCAACAGTCATATCGGATCTGAGCCTCTTCGTTGGAAAGATTTTATTCGTATCACAAACATGCTCCCACCCAGTCTTGGCATCAATCTTATTCAGCAAATCCTCATATTCCGTCGATAGATCGTCATATTTGACAATAAAATGACCCTTGACTGTTTCCCATTCCTGTGTCGCTCGATGATTCATTAACTTGGCGCTACGCAATTGCATAATTGATTGAAAGGAACTTGAATCTTCATTAAGTTCGTAGATTGGATTTTTCAGTCCTAGCCCTTCTCCTTCGACACAGCTGACAACTTGGTTGTAGCGGAATGACATTTGACACACAGGACCTGTAGAATCTTCGAAGTCCAAGTCACGCTCTGGTCGCTTTGTGGTCCACTCCTTCATGAGGAAGTCATCCCATGGAAGAGGAGAACCGTCTTCTCCTTGATGCTCTGGCATATATACAGGATTATGCCGCATTTGCTCCAACCAATCGTAAGGATTCAAGACCAGTTGCACGACAACGGAATTGTGCTTCTGGGAGCTTGGGTCATCCTGAAAAAATATTCCGATTCGTTCCAGGCTCAACGATACCTGTGCATTGGGGTAGCATTCTTTCAGCGCGGACTCAAGCTGAGGAACTCCAGAGTGACGTTCTCCTAGAATCGCCAAATGAGTAATGTCGTCACGTGGAACTTGTGCAACATTATTGCTCACATCCGAGCTCCAGGTGCTGTCACCATCGTCGTTATCATTTCCACCTGACATCATCATGAGAATGAAAACGGCGAGACCTCCAACAAATGCAAACTTTGCGTATTTGGGAATTGAAAAAGATTCTTCTTGCACCGGCTTGGAGGGCTTTCGTATTGGCGGTGGTTTGTACGCTGATTTGCTTGGTGTTGAGGCGCCGTTGCCATGGTTATATTTGTTGGAGACTAGGCTCTGCTGTTCTTCCTCATCGTCACCCCAGTCGTCCCAACCGTCATTGAGGTCGTCGTTATTGGAAATGTAGAAAGGGTTTGCTGACTTGTTGGGCGTTGCCATAGTTGAGTTCTATTGAAAATAATGCGACGTTTGGTTAGTGGGAATGACGTTGATGCACACTCCATTTACATCCTTTCATTCGTGACTCGTCCAAGTTCCGTCACACGACACGTTGCGTACCTGGTGCGTCTACCGTTACAGGCACGAATGACCGGCATCATACCAGTACAGTGCAAGTACTCAAGCGTATCAGACAGTCTAAATGTCGAAGTCTAAATGCCAAAATGATTATTTTAATATTATTCAACTTTAATCCAAAGCCATGACGATGATTTGATCTTCGCGAGACCAAATCTGTTTGTCAGCTTTATCCGGTGGGTTTAGGATAACCTTAAAGCCATCCTCTTTTCGCTTAAAGCCCAAAGCGACTTGTCCCATACATCGTGCTCGCACCGCAATGTTCCAAAAGGATTCTCTGTCATCCTTTTTGAAATCCATGTAGCAGGTGGCTTTTCGAAGATATATCTCGCTTCCTTCTGCACAGAGCAAGTGCGACAAGACGAAATTCAGGTCTCTCTCTTCCGCTACTTGGGCAATCAAGGAACTGATAATCTGATTGGACATGACGTAGCTTGTGCAGTTTGCCACGGACAGCAAACTGCGTGTTCGGGTGTCGAGGATCTCGCTGATTGGAGAACAAAGCGGTCTGGTCGACTTTCCTTCCTTCTTGTGCTTCTCGTGCAGTTGCTTCTGTACATCTTGAATGATCAAAACACTTGATAACGAGCGACTATCGGAACTCTGCATATCGGTGCCGTTCTGAACATCTGCTAGGATCAACAGCGAATCAAATCCATCTAGAAATGCCACTTCTCCCGTAGATCCATTTTCATCTGCCGCTTGCAACCGCAATAGATCCCTTCGAACAATTGGATTCCCAACAACATGTTTTATAGTGAGATTGTCTGTTGTCAGCTCCTCCTTGTTACCCTTGTCCAAGAAGAGCTCTCGTCGTTCTTTCGTCGGAACTGCGTTGAACAACCACAGTTCACTTCCTTCTTGCACGTACTCGTCCAATTGTTTGATCATATCTGCCATGTCTCTACGCCATCCGCAAAACAACATTTTCTCCTTTTGGGTGGGTGACGGAGTGCCACTGAACTTTTTGCTTTCGTGGATTGGAAAGGACCCATCGTTGACCTCATACGAGTCATTGTCTTCTGCCAAACACAGGAGCTTGTCTCCCTTCTTTAGAATGTAATCACTTTTGGGGTTGACAATGATATTACCTTTCGAGGTCTTGACACCGGCTGGAATGGCATCATCAAAGCGACATGTCAACTCAAAGAAAGACTTCCCCACAAGTTCTGGCCACTCATCAAAGTAAAATTCGGATCCTTGAAATCCAATCAACTCTTCAATGACATTCGCAAGTCCAGGTGAGCGAGAGCATTGAATCATGAGTCTTCCAATCACATCGTGTGCTACCACGACTTCGGAAATATTGGGAGCAATCAAGGAAACTAAATTTTGATTGTCCACGTCCTGCATTTCGACGACTACGTGGCACTGAAGCTCCTGAAGAGCCTTTAGTGCTAGAACTTGTCGAATCATTCTTGAGTCCGCCTCGTCGGGATCTAGATCGTCTTGCGACAACGCAATGATGGATCTAGCAGTGGAAGCACTAACTTGATGGAGTGCTTTTTCTGTGCGAGGATTTCCCGATCGGAAGATAACTTTGGATCCGAGCAATTTGAGACCGTGCTCGCGAGCTTCCACGGCCGTAGCTAGTATTTCTTCCAATTCCTCCTTTGGTTCTTCCGCAAGAATGACAATGATTCCCCCGCCTTCACTCTCATTCGCATAGGCAATCTCCTGAACAATGGCAAGTGCCTTGTCGGACCATCCCAGAATGAGAGTATGATCCGCTTCCAACACTCGTGCCTTGCCTTCTTTGAGATGATCCACCTTCTCTCCGATTACTTCCGAAATAATGCCAATCAACAATGCAAAGACAAGCATACCCCCAATTGTAATAACAAAGGAAACTAAGCGATGACCCAAGCCTTCTGCATCTGCGTGTGTTCCTGGATCAGCGACATAGGTCCATGCCAACCAAGCAGACACAGAGACGGGTACATCATCGACTATTGTCAACAAAAGACTTCCAAACACAATCAAAAGAAATGTGAATCCCATCAGCAACCCAGGTTTTGCCAATTGACTCGAGGAAAGGTGGTAATCCAATCGATATTCCACTTGCTCACTCCATGTGAAATGTACTTTATCAGCAAACCGTTGTTTCGACTTTGCCAATGAATATTCGTCCCACAAGAATTTCAATATGGGAAGGAAGCCCCCTGCTAATATTAAATAGGACCAGGCGTCGCTTTCAGAAAACATGGGCCAAACGCCACTTTCGGAATCCATTGTAAGGGAGACCTCAGCGCGCTGGTTTCGACAGTTTTTCGCTTCAGTTCACGCCGCTGATGGTGACTGATCCTGTTTTCAACGATCGAGTAAGGACTCTCGAGATTTACCGTAGGACGAAGACTCTTGTGCAATTCCAACAAGAGTCTTTTTGATGTCCCCGTTGATATTCACTCAACGAAAATAACCGCAGTTTCACACACACCACCAAAAAACGAGCGAAGACAGACGAATAATTGACTACTTCGACTTTTTCACTTTCAATCAGTGCTGTGCATATTCTGAAATCTGTCACTATCAAAACTCAACTCAAACCGCAATCCAACATTGGAAGGCAAATCTTGTGACTTTTCCAAGCGCACCAAATGCAAATCTTTTGGAAATCATGCTTCTTGGTGATCTTACTGATAGCAAATACTAAGGCTCTTCCGGATGTTGCGGCAAAAAGTCGGCTGTCGAGGAAGCCAAAGACGAAAAAAAATCAGTTCAAAAAGTACAAATCAAAGGTGCAACCGATTGACAATGTATCTGAAAAGGCAATCGATTTGGAGAAAAATGAATTACCGATATCAGTGGAATCTATCCTTCTTCCTAGAGGAATCAAACGCAAGCTTCTAATACAGATTATTTGTGCATTCATTGGCATGCGATCGTTGGTGTTGTCCTTACGAACAGCAGGCTATCCACATGTACACACGATATGGAGGATAGTCAACGGAAATAACAACATGCCACCAGAATATCTTCCATCTATGTTGGATATCAAACTTGCACATGCTCTGGCAGCTCAATCCAAAGACATGATTCCACCCATAGGCTTGCCGGCAACGGGTGCGCTTCTTGGATTAGTCCTTTCGTCCTTGGCGTTTATGGCAACCATATTACTTCCTCGATGGTTTCCTCAAGTGCAAGTTGCCTCAGATTTCTATGAATCGGATAATGTAAGCTACGAAAAGGGGGCAAGTGTACTGATAAAGATTCGGAACAAGGGGCTGCAACAAGGAACCTTTGATCCAGAGGCGGACGGGAAGAACCTTCAAATCTGCAAGCTACAGGAGTCTTCGCAGACGATACGAAAAGCTACGAGGGAAAATCTTTTAGGATTAGGAAAGAGCCATCCGTCACTCTACTTTTTCGAATTTGCTCAGTCTCGGTATTATTTTTGTCCAGAATCCATGGAATGCTCCAGTGGTGGACCAGCACTTCACAAAGCCCCTATTGCTTCCCTTTACGAGTTAATGAAAAGCGGCATGTCCAAGAAACAACGGACAGTGGCCAATGAACGATATGGGCCTTACAATGAACCAAAACTGTCCATATCAACTGTCCAAGAAGCCCTTGTCGCACGGGTATCCTCGCCCCTTGTAGTGATTCAATCCCTTGGGAAATTGCTCGCGTGTCTGGAGGATGGAATGCGGGCAGTCTTCCAACTACTAATGGAGCTGGCACAACATGCCCACAATGCTCGACAAGCCGTTCTGTCAGCCAAGCAACTTGCGTCCGATGTCAAGACGAGTTTTCGGGATACTTCCTTGTTAAAAGTGCAAAGGCTGGTGCGTGGGGCGAAAAAGCCATGGCAGAAAATCTCAGCCAATGAGTTGCTTCCAGGGGATGTGTTCTTGATACCGCAAGATCAAAATCAAACCGAGTTTGTCATGCCCGTTGATGCTCTGGTTTTGGACGGCCAATGCTTGGCGAATGAGGCTGTTCTCACTGGCGAAAGTGTCCCACAGAGCAAACGAGCCATGGATTTTGATGAAGAGCTCTTGCAAAAGGAGGCCTGTCTAGATCTTGATGAACATAAAAACTCTATTGTCTTTGCTGGAACTACCATGCTGCACTCGGGAACAGCAGGCTCGCAGAAGTCCTTTCCACGCTCCAAGCAAAAGGGCGTCGTACTTCTAGCATTACGAACTGGCATATACTCATCCCAAGGTCAACTTCTTGGTGCTTTGAAGGGCAGTGCTAATTTGGGTGCGATCTCGAACCCAGACTCCGAGCGAGACGCGCTCCGATTAGTAGTTGGTCTGTCGGTCTTTGCGGTTGCATCCTGTGTCTCCCTCTTTGTGCAAAGAGAGAATGGCAAAGCAGTTCCTGCCTACCGTCGTGTGATTCAATGTACTCGAATCATCTGTGCTAGTATTCCATCCGATCTTCCACTGTCGTTGGCAAGGGTGGCCAAAGCGTCCTCACAAAAGCTTCGTCAAGAATCCGATGTTGTGTGTTCCGAGCCTGGTGCTCTTCTGACGGCAGCCAACGTCGATACAATAGTGTTCGACAAGACGGGAACTCTGACTGCGTAAGTTTGTACTTCCGTTCGATGAAATGAGTCCCTTCGATTTCTAATACGTTCCACACTTTCGTGTACAATCCACAGAGACACTCAAGCTCTTTCTCGACTCGTACCATCAACTCTTGGTTGCGAATCCAATACGACTTCAACCTTCCAAAAATTCGCACTAGCTGGATGTCATTCGTTAGTCAATTTGCCATCTGGTGGAAGCTCAGACGCAACCGAAACAAAACTGGTCGGAGACCCGCTCGATATTGCTGCTTTTACTTTCAGCGAGTGGCAATACAACGTATTCGATGGATCCTACACCACCAGCTCTTCAGCTTTGCTTTCAGACTTCGTTCAACTCTGGCAGATTCGATCGTTTCCCTTTGATTCAACGAAGCGATTATCATCAGCTTTGGTACTTGGTCGACAAGTGAATGGCTCCTGTCGACTAGTTTTCCTGATCAAAGGTTCTCCGGACTCTCTTATTGATTTGTATGCAGGTCGTAATAATGCAAATTTCCGCAACTCCTACGATAGCAAGCTGGGGAACTTAGGAGCACAAGGATGCAGAAGCATCGCCATCGGTTCATTTGATCTCTCAGAAAATTCTCATCTGAGGGACCGACTGTTCCCGAATGGTATATCATGTGACAAGGCATCCATCGAGCAAGCAAAGTCTGCTGGGGCAAGTTTGCGCAGGAGTGACTTTGAATCGATCAACCCAAACGGCACCCTGTCATCTGGTCTTGATTTCTCTGGATTTGCCTGTTTTGATGCTTCTATCCGACCAAGTAGTAAGAGAATCATCGGCGAACTTGAAAGAGGAGGAATCAAGTCAATCATGCTGACTGGAGATGCAATCGACTCTGCACTTTCCGTTGGACGTACTGTTGGCCTGATAAAAGAACAAAGAGTTGCAATCCTTGAGACAACTACACTTAAAGGGACTGCCAAACTGAGATGGAGAATTGTCAAGCAGACCAATAATGTGAATGGGTCATCGGTGGAAGAGACGCAAGAGAAGAAAGTTTCACTGGCATCAGTGAGTCGCATCTTTGAACTCAACCAGAAAAAGAAATGTGCAATAGCTGCAACGGGTTCAGCACTGGAACAAGTCTTTGGGGACGGCTCGAATGAGGCACTCGAGCTCATTGCTGAGAACCTCTCTTGTGTGTCCGTCATTGCGAGAGCAACACCAGGGTTAAAGAAATCAGTAATTTTGTGCCTAAAGAAAAGGTGTGAGAAAACAGTTCTCATGTGTGGTGATGGTGCCAACGATGTGGCTGCAATGAAGGCCGCAGATGTTTCAGTTGCAATGTTGAATGGATTTGGATCAGAAGGCACAAACAGTGATGAAGACGTCGACGACAAGAGGCGTACGCAGAAACTGAAGTCTAAAAATCTCGGCAGCAACAGAAAACAACGCAAAGTGTCAAGGGGGGTTGACTCACAGAATAGAATGAATGAACATATCGAAAAAGTGAGAAAAGAAATTGATGATCGAGTTGCGAAACGAGAAAACAAGGACTATACCATTCAAGATGTCAAAGATATCGTTTCTGCATCACTTGATGCCGCAAAAGCAGAAAAAGATAGAGCCAAAAGGCTTCGACTGGGCGGTGGCGATGCTGCAAAGATTCTGGCATCGGAGCGAAATAATCAAACCCTCTCGGGGGACGAATCTATGGAGTTGCCATCTATCAAACCAGGAGAGGCGTCATTGGTTGCACCATTCTCGTGCCTCCACCCATCAATCGATGGTGTAGATGCTATCCTACGTGCTGGAGTGGCGACTGCAGCGAGTGCTTTATCATCAAAGAAAACGATTGCTCTATATTCACTCATGTCAGGATACCATCTAGCGAGCTTATACAAAGATGGCTTTCGATACGGTATGGGGATCGACTCGTGGGTTGCGTTACTGTGACTTTCTCTCTCCTCACTCGTCCAATCCTCTTCTACTATTTGCAAATCAAAGGAAGAAACATGTGGCCGATTGAGCTATACATGCTAATAGCACTTGACGAATACGGTCACAGATCATCCTGTACATCGCGCCCAAGGTTGCCCTCATCTTGCACCCATCGACCTCCATCCTCTTTGTTTCATCCATCTGCGATTTTCTCGACACTAGCACAGGCAGTTTCTCATCTTGCTTCAATGACAGTAGCTGTCAGGTTCGGTCGCAACCTTGAGGGCAAAGGTACACAAAGGTTAACGTCGAGAATCCGCCAGCATGGCCCGTCGTATCCTGGCAAAACAGGAAGGCTGATGGATGCTCTCGTTGCAAGGGACTGGAGCAGCGAAGAAGTGGAGGATGACGAGCCAAAGCCTAGAGGACTTCTTGCCAGACCGCCATATCACCCAAATCATGAAAGCGATGTTGTTTTTATCTTCTCTCTCTTACAGGGTGCAGTGATTTCTGTCGTCAACCACGAAGGACGACCGTTTCATCGAAGAATCCTCGAAAGCCAGCAATTTTGCTTTTGTCTCTTGCTCAATTTCTTGCTTGTCCTTGGTCTAGCCCTTGAAAGCTTGCCATCGCTGAATAGCATGCTTGAAATGCGGTCAATAGAGTCTTTACGGGATAGATTCAAACTTATTGGCGTTGGGATGCTGAATGCATTGACATGCGTTGGTTTCCAACATTTATCTGAAAAACTCAGTCATCAAGATAGCTGGAAGTGTGCTCCTTTGGCAACCAGAGGAGAACAGTGTGCAGCGGATATCGAAGAAAGGTTGCTTCAAGAAGAGTCAAAGGAAGGTCGAAATCTCGTATTTATGGCTTGTGTTTTCGGTTTGTACCTAGTCATGGACAAGATTGTAACAAGATAAAAAGAGTACTGTACCGCAGGCACTGGTACTTGGTTCTTCGAGTTTGTGAATCACCAGTCGTTCAGTCACGAATGAAGCGAAATCTCACCGCAACTCATGAACAAGTCAAGCAAAAGATCTTTGCAACTACGGACTTGCGATGGTTGTGTCAATTCTACTCCGCACACTGGCAACGGCGTTACTGTTCGCATCTTCTTTGGCCGACGATCCGAAGATAAATGTAACCAAGCTTGATTGTGGGATGCGAAAGTTGGCTTTGCAGTATGCAACGAAAATTAGCCCTGACCCATCACAACTTATTCATGTATTCGAAGCACTTAGATTGAAAGATCTCTGCGGATCTAGCTTCGATGACGCTTCTGAAAGGTCAATTCAGCGACATCGTCAACTTTTCATTGAAAATGAATTCCAAGGCACATACTGTCGTGATGCTTGCGTTTTTGTATCTCCATCAATGGATCAAAAGGTATTTCAAGATGGCTCAATGCAGCACCCTTGGACGTCAATCCATGATGCTTTATCACATGTTCGATCCTTGCGAGTGGAGTCACCAGCACTTGTCCTCCGAGAAGGCGAACATTCGTTGAGCGCAAAGACGGTCGAATTGGGAAATCAAGATAGTGGTTTGAAGATCATCGGATTTCCTGGAGAATCAGTTTGGATTAGTGGTGGAGTTGGCATCGATGCTGCTTTTGAAGACCTATCAGACGGCGTGTTTGTTGCGGACTTAAAAAGCACCTTGGATTCTTTCGACAAGATGCCTTCCATTGTTTCTCTTTTCACTACCAGCCGAAGATATACTCGGGCGAGATATCCAAACTCGGACCCTGAAGTGGACCAATGGGGCTATGCTTCGAGGCACAGATTAGATTATTCCATCTCAGCAGAACATGTGGTGGAATGGCACCGACCAGAGCGAACAACACCTCCAAAGGTAACACTTGTTGACCTATCCAAGAACCCCCCACCCGGCGTTCCTATCAAGAACAATTCGGCACAAGAAGGCTACAATTGGTACACAAGTGGTCATGGGGGCTCATGTAGTGAGGTTTGGGGCCCAGACGCTAATTCTTATTGGTGTTCCGAATCCTGTCAAGGAGGCTGGGCCGAGGTGGACGCTGAAAGTGCCGCAGCGGGATCTCAACAAATCCCGAATGGATTAACATACAATACTACCTCTATTCTAAAGCGCTTCCAGAATGTTTCAATCGCTGGTGGTATCATTCATGCCTGGCATTCGCAGTCATGGGCGATGCACATGTTTCGAATTATCAATCAGACTTCAAAAGGAGAGTTGAAATTTGAGAAAGGAGGAGGTCGCCAAGGTGGCCGCAACTGGTGTAGATGTGATCAGTGCACATATGCTGCTCACTGGTGTGGGCAGCACCAGAAACCTCCATGGAATGATACTCGGATGATTAGTGGCACTTTTATGATTGAAAACCTTCTGTCCGAACTTGATTCCCCCGGAGAATACTTCTTTGACAATCAGGAGAGGCTGTTGTATGTGAAGCCGAACGCCACCGTCGACTTGACTGATTTTAGACTGGGGATGCTAGAGGCTTTTATTGATATCCGCAACACGCATGACATTCTCATTGAGAATATTGGTTTCCGAGATATGGTTCCGACGTACATGGAGGAATGGTCACCTCCTAGTGGAGGCGACTGGTCTTTGCATCGGGGTGGCGCTGTTTTCATACAAAATGTTTCAAGCATTGGAATCCACAACTGCACGTTCCGGAGGTTGGATGGAAACGCCATCTTTTTGTCACGAAGGACTCGCAATGTGACTATTGGAGGAAATAGGTTTGAATGGCTTGGAGAGAATGCAATTGCAACATGGGGTGATACTGATACATTTGATGCCACTGCTGAAAACTTCCCGATGTATACAGCAATTGAAAGGAATATTTTTCGCGAGCTAGGCATCTTCCAGAAGCAGTCATCCGCCGTCGGACATTGCAAAGCAGCATTTACCACCATCCGAGAGAACATCATGTTCAATACGCCCAGAGCAGCAATCAATTTTAATGATATGGTTGGAGGAGGCGAGATTGTTGAGAGCAATGTACGTGTCATCCATCGTAATCTCGAAGTGATATCTATTATTGTTGTCTAACCCCACCCAACTTCTATTGCAGCTCATTTTCAATTCGTGCAGGGAGAGCGGAGACCATGGTCGTAAGTTATCCAAGTACAGTGTGCTTTGCTGCAACTCAATTCTCTAACACCCCTTTTGCTATCAATACATGGGATCGCCAGCCGTTTCTAACAACTCTTCGAGACGGAGTCACCCCAAGCTTTGATCCTGCCCCTCGCACCATTCGCAATAACTTTATTTTTGCAAACTATGGGGCGTCACAAGGTGTCGACAATGACGATGGATCATCATGGCACCATATCCACAATAATGTGTGGTACGCGTCCCAAGGCTTCAAAATGGACTATGGTGGCCATGATTCTGTCTATGAGGACAATCTTGTTCTCTCCTATCCGTACGATGCCCAGGATTGCTTCGATTTCGCTAACTTTATACAGGGCCATGGGCATATTGCGCGGAGGAATAGGTGTCTCGTCGGTCTTGGACACAAAATGGACAGTGGTTGCGGAGATCCTTCTTGTGCGGTGCCTTTTCCGGAAACAAAGGATACAAATGAACTGATTGGGACCTTTTACAGCTCATGTGGTGACAAAACCCTACAATTGGAGTCGAATAAATATTACACACCAGATGGCAAGGCTACGATTCGATTCGAGGATGCATTATTTTCATTACAGGAGGTGCAAGAGAAATGCGGGCTAGAAAAGGGTTCAACTAGTCAGAAGCTACCTGACGAAGAAACGATGATTGAGTGGGCTTCACAGGTTTTGGGCATGAGCAGCATCGGGTCCATACAAGCAGAAGAATAAAGCGACATTGGCGACATGTCTCTTCTTAGATGCATTGTACAATACTGTACAAGAATGTGTGCACTACAGATATCCACCAGCAGCTGCCAGACTCACGAAAGCGAAATAAATCGCCTTATTCGTGTCATCTTTCAGTACACTTGGATTTTTCTTATAAAAATCAACTCGCTTTTTTTCGATCAGGCCTTCTTTCTCCATCTCGATCACAGCTCTCTCAGGGTTTGAAAACAGAATCTCGACGGCTTTCAATTCGTGCAAGTTTGCTTTCAGCCCATTGACAATCTCGATTGGCGTCGAGCTTGCTTTCAATTCCTGCACGGCTTCCTTCGGCATTTGCGACAACAATACAGCAGTTTCGGCATCTATTTTCGCTTCCTCCAAAAGAATAGCGATATGAAGAGCATCTTCTGCACTTATTGGAGCAGCAGATTGCAACTCCCTGGCAAGGCTTTCATACTTTGCATCGACGGTTCCATCAACGCCTATTGACGCTTCCTGAAGATTGTCTTCGACTTTCGCACCGTCATTCCTGTTCAACATTCCGAACTGACCGTTTACATTGCAGAGAAAGAGGGCGAGACAAAAGGTTACAAGCTTCATGGTTCTTGGACGGGTGGCATGGACTATGATTTCTTCTTTCGTGTCATCAAAATGTGATGACTGACGTTCAGTGTTCGGACGGCGCCCAGACAGAGGAGCTACTGTAGTCCGTGCAACTGACAACGACACTCACTCACAACTTCCACACACCGACGAAACCCTCACTGATCACCACTTCGTTATACTGTAGTATCTCGGTCTCCATTTCCAAAACCAACAACCACGTAATGTAATAACGTGCATTATAATAACAATTTGCTGCCTACGCTGCAATACTAGTCCTATCCAACTAGACGATGTGCCATGTAGGTGACCCCGTACAAATGTACAAATTCATCATCTTCCGTTCCAGATTGAACAGCAATTTGAGTGGAGCCTTCGTTGAGTTTCAAAGCAGAACCAAAGTAGGCAGCGTTGTCCTGGAGAGGCGCTCCACCGAGTGTTTCCCAGTTACCATCATCTGCACCCGCTGGAAACCTATACCAGTCCACGACACCAGTCAAGCCAGGTGTTACGCTTCCGACCACCATGGTGCGGCCATCTGTGCTGAGCGCGATCGAAGTAATGTTGTTATTGCCATTTGCCGTGATCTCTTGGCCTAAGGTTCGGCCACTGTAGGTGAATGCTTGGGCACTTTTTTCACTTGATACTGCATATCCTCCGTTAGATATCGCAAGATCAACCTTGCTTGAGGGGATGGTGGTAGTGCGATCTGCTTTGAGCCATTCAAAAGTATTGTTGCCTAGTGCCTCGGATCGGTAACCATTCAAAGTTGTATTGCCATCGTTTTCTGCTGCAATCATCAATCCAGAACCATCTGGTGACACACCGAACCAATTCATACCAAAGATCTTGATCAATGGGTCACCGTGAACCAACCAGGAAGTTCCGTCAAATTTGTAGGTTGTGATAATTCCTTCGCCCACCTTCTGGCTGAATTGTGTGATTGATCCTTGCCCATAAGTTCCAACGCACAGGAGCGAAAAGTCACCGCTCAAACTAATGTCATCACCTCCCAAAAAGGGAGCATTTTCAGTGTCGATCCAATCCCTCATTACTTCATCATACTCTTCGAATACGAGTCGCTTAGTTCTTGGATTGACGTAGGCCAATCGTTTGCCATCCCCCGACACTTCAACACGCCCTTGAGAACGAAATTGCTGTCCGATTGGTTGCCACCTTGGGTTTGCATTTGGGTCGAGACGGTAGACTTGATTCACTCCCAAGTCATCTTCAAGGACCGCAACAAAGCCATCCTGCGACAGGTAAACAAGCTTTCCAAACACGACACTTTGCTTGTCGAATTCCGTTTCAATGCTGCCATCTCCCCAACCAGTAACAATAGTGATCGTAACTACGACAATGCATGCAATAATTAAGAGTGAAATGGCAGCGCATTTGGCGATTTGTACCTTTCGTTGCTTTGCGGTAACTGGTTTTGCCTGCTTTTCCTGTTCCATCCTCCGCGCTGAAATATTTTCGAATGCCGTATTGCTATTTGCCAATCCAGGACGTGCTGCAGCCGGAGCCGGAGCCGACGTAGTACTCTTATCGTCTACCCTCGAGCTCTTTTTTTCACTCCAAGGATGTTTCACCGATCCATGAACTCTTCCTTCGCTGCCTCTTCTTGCCTTTGCCTCACCCCCATCATCGGGAGTTTTACCGAAACTGACTTTACTCCCAGCATCGCCACCACCAGTTGTCACAGAGCCAGTTCCATCCACCCTGCTTGGCCCATCATTCTTCTTCGCCCAGGGAGCGGGAGTAGGAGCAGCCTTTGGTTTGTTATCGATCCCAGTCAAGTCTCTATTTTGTTTAAACGACTTGTTCGCGTTGCTGACTTTTCCCTTTTCAAAGGCTGCCACACGGTTTGACATGGGTGTGTCCTTCTTAGCGGCACCGCCTTTTTCAAAGGCTGCCATTCTGTCTGCCAACGCTGACGACACCATATTGGATCTTGATTTTCTTGTGTGGCCTTGTGTCGAAGACTGTTTGGAAAGAGAGGTGCGATCAAATGAAGCGTTGTAGAAGGATAGCTGACACAAATCAGGTTCCGATCTTGCGTATCATAATGACTGTCGGTTGGAGCTTGCTTGCGCGTCGTCGAGGCGCACGGCGGGATGAAAAAAGATGGAAAAAAACAATGGGTGCGAGTAAAATATACCGGTATATGATGATATATAAGGTTTCTTATTTGTAATTGGTGCATCAAAAGATATACAGTAGCCCGAAACTAGTCTCTCGGCATGCGTGCGAATAATGCACTAGATTGTGGCAAGAAAAAACGCCATTAGACTGATACTGGATTACGAGAAGACGTCTCCATCATGGAACAGTCATCTACCAGCTGAATGTGCCGATGGTGACGAGATCGACGGTTTCGAGACCAAACGAGAAAAGACACAGCTCCTCCAAAAACACTTGCCACACAAGCCCCAATGGTCCATGGTGATACTTGCAATTTCACATTTCTGGCATTCAGGCCCTCATTGTCTCCGTTGTTATTATTGGGATCTTCATTCACTTGGGGTGGAGCCGGAAGGGGAAGTGGACTCTTATAGATCAGCTTGAGGACGGTTGGAATCTTTCCAATATATTCATCGTCGGTCATCTTGTCCCGAATGGCCGAGTATCCAGAAAATTCAGCCGTGTCTGGATCAACTTCCCCTTTCAAGAAAAATACAAGATCTGTCTCTATAGTAGTGCAAGATACTGCTCCGTCGACAGTTGTATTACAGGGAACAGAATCTTGTGATATAAAGGGAGAGAAAGGAGCCAGTTAGTCAATCAATGATTTTTCTTCGACTATTCTGATCCAAGCATAGGATATTCATTCATTCGTACCGATAATTGTGCTCTGTTTGAGCAGGTTTCTGTTACGAGCCTCCATCAAATTACGCCGTCGGAGATCGGGCCGATTGCATCCCAACGCGGCAGCCACTGCAGTTAGAAGTAAACTCTGTTCCAATTCTGCCAGATAGTCATCTGTCGAATTGCTACTACTCTCGACATGATATCCAACAAAGAGATTAATAAGTGTTGTATTCACATCAGAAGCGTCGCCAAGACTGAGAATGTCATTGTCCAAGCAATCAAAGGCAACTGTCGGTGTTGTTTGACTTTGACTCGATGGGGCAAAGGTCTCGACCAGAGAGGGATCAAGGATAGTGGGAATCAAGGTAGGAGCCGCAGATGTAGTGGGTGCTGACGATTCGCTCGGTCGACCTGATGGCATGCCTGACGAAGATGGGCTTTGTGATAGTGTTGGAAACATAGACACGGATGGTTTTGGCGATGGTGCCATGGACGGCGACAGAGTTGGTGCTTGGGATGTGCTTGGTGGACTTGACGGATTGGAGGATGCCGAAGGTCTTGGCGATTCCGTCGGAGACGAAGAAATGGAAGGCTTCTGAGATGGTGTCAAGGAAGGTGACAACGTTGGCGCTGGAGACGCAGTTGGCACAGCAGTTGTAGGGGCTACTGTTGGCGACCGTGTTGAAGTTGGTATTGGTGTCACAGTAGGCTCCATAGATACCTCTCCCGTTGGACTCTGAGATGCTCCTGGTAGAAGAGCAGTGGGCTGCGTGGGAAATTCGGTAGGCTCGTCAGTTGGGACGGCTGTGGGAAGAATGAGAGGAGGAGGCTCAGTGTGCACGGGGCTGTTGGTGGGCTCATCACTTGGAACTTTAGTTGGAATCGTGGTGGGTCCTGAGGATGATGGCGGGGCCGCTAAAGTAGGTGATGACGTTGGAAGGATGAGAGGAGGAGGCTCAGTATGTACAGGACTCGTAGTGGGCTCATCGCTCAGGACTGCAGTCGGAATCGCAGTGGGTCCTGATGATGAGACGACTATAGTAGGTGATACAGTTGGAATTACGAGCTGAGGAGGCTCAGTATGCACAGGGCTGTTGGTGGGCTCATCGCTTGGGACTGTAGTGGGAATCACAGTGGGTCCTGATGATGGGACCGCTACAGTAGGTGAAGCAGTTGGAATTACGAATGGAGGAGGCTCCAAATGAACGGGACTTGCAGTTGGTCTTGATGATGTTATCATTGACATAGAGATCGAGAACGATACCATGTCAAGGAGGCTTTCGTACTGGAGTCTGAAATTTAGCTATAATGGTTAGAAGAGTCGTGAGAATGCTGTCGATACTACACCTTTAAACTTACGATTCTTCAAACACAAGGTCCTCTCTGATTCTGTAAATCCTTTGCGGGCGCTGCCGTGCTTCATCCCAAATGCTAGACTTTCGTCGCCTTAGATTGGTCGATAGCTGTGTATCGACTGTGGTTCTTTGGCCGAATTCGTTCCATCCACAAACATGAACGATTGCAGTGGAAAATAGAATAAAGGCAAATTTGATTGTCATTTTCCAAGCTTGTCAAAACTCATCAATCCTTCTGATGGAAAGAAGAATAAGCTGATGATTGGAGAGGTTTCGCAAAGCCTTGGCAATCTTTTCATTTCAGTCGTCGCATGAATGAATTTTGCGATACTCATCGAACTGCTTGTTGTTTGGAGACATGGCTGAAACTGCTCTCAATGCCGTTGAGCGGCAAAATGACATCTTCTCCGACAATAATCCTCGTTGATGATTTTGAAATTTGAAATCATCCAGTTCAAGTCACGAATAAGTTCTTTCCCGCGAAAAGGCTTTTCTTAGGCCCCAAATAAGCGATTGATTCCGAGAGGTGAGACTAGATTGAAGATGTGGTATCAACCATGCATCATTGATAGCCATACCGTTCACAATGTCAACTAGAACCATTCAAACCTCCGCCTATGGTGGCATGAATCGTAAGCTTCGTTTCAATGGGAAAATGAAGTCGCGAGAAATCATCGAGTGGTTACGGGAAGCCAAACAAGAACGATACTATACGATTCTCAAATTTGACGAAGTGATATTGAATTCCGCCATCATTGCCGAAGTCCTGGACCTACTACGAATAAGTTCTCGACACGGGAGAGTATGGGAACGAGTAAGCTTGGAGTTCTGCGAAGGCCCAGTTGACCTTGTCGTGTCGTCGCTGGTTCTGATGGATTGTGTTAGGCACCTTTTTCTGGCATCTGACAAGATACAAGACGATTTGATGGATCGCCTCTCAACCGCCTTGAGAATCAGCACCAGCTTAAAGTCGCTTTGGCTATTGATTCCAATGACAGAAGTCTCTGCTACACACCTTGGAAGTGCCATGAAATATAACCGTAGCATTGACAAATTGAGCTTGAGTGGAAGCAATTGGGAGAATAGTGATGATAGTGACAGTGACAGTGACGACGATACAAACGATGGAAGCAAAAGTCTCAGGCCCAAACTATTTGGGAAACAAAATGCTGGAAATTCCCCTGTGGAAAATCAAATGTCTCCAAGAGATGCAGCAATGTCGCTTGCTCTCGGATTGAAGTATAACGACGGCATCCAAAGTTTGGACATTAGCTGTTGCGATTTACCAGACGAAGCCATGGCACCAATCATTGACGGACTAGTTGGACACCCTTATCTTGAAGCATTGAATATTTCCAGGAACCGGTGCAGAATACAGTCCGTAGAGGCGCTTGGGAGGGTTGTCGAGGATGATGATTGCCTTATCCGATCACTGGACTTGAGAGAGCAGTCCCCACACGATGCACTGGAAATCTCGCCTCTTTCCTTCGCCTTACGACAAAATCGTTCTTTAGAGGCGCTGCGAATCAGTCACAACGAGCTGGTGGACTCACAAGTGCTCGAATTGGTGGACTCCTTCCGCGGAAACGCATCTATCAAGGAACTGGATCTTGAGCATAATAATATTACGGAAAAAGGTATCCCCGACTTGACAAAGTACATCAAGGAATTACCTTCCCTCACAAAGCTTTTGTTGGGAGGCAATGCAATTGGAGAAGAGGGATTCAATTTCCTCGAAAGCTTGGAGGATGACGATGACAGTATCTGCACCATTACAGAAGAAGACTTGAGACCGGCGAAACCACGAAGCACAAAGACGGCCAAAACATCGAAGAGTACTGCTGCAGCCGCAGTTTCCAACAACGTATCCTTCCTCACGGGCATTGCTGAATAGGGGAGTCGGGTCTACATCCAACAACAAACTATAACCTCAGATTATGAGCCTGGCAACATTCAGAGTGAATACGGTATGATTACGGAACTTTGTGTTCATCATTGTTCTATTTATTTTGGATGGTAAAGATACCGTCGAATATTTATGAGGATTCAACCCCTCCCTTGGTACAGAATTCGGCCAACCACTCCTTACTTGGGCCAGTTGGTCCATAGAATTGCTTTCCAGTTCCTCGGAAAAGAGTAATCTTCACTTTTTCCTCAGGAGCATCGATGATAGCACCAAGGGCGTCATCAAAATCCAGACCACTGACATTTTTTGTGCCGACGATCACCAACTGGTCGCCACTCTTCAATTTCCCACTCTCTTCAGCGGCGCCGCCTTCTTTCAGTGATTGCACAAAGATTCCTCCGAATTCCGCATCGTTCTCCTCAAAAATAATTCCCATAGGCTTTGTCAATTCAACAGATACGTAGTTGCTTGCGTCCATGGAGTCGAGGAAATCTGAAAATACAAATATAATAGAAATGAGAATCCAATCAGTATTTCAGAGCCAATTGCGGCATATAATGCCAAGGAACTTACCAGATGGGGTAGCGGCATCAACTTCCTGTTCTTGGGCAACTACACTCCATCCCATCCATCTGTCAATTGGCGTCTCACGTTCTGAGTCAATTTCCGAGGGTGGCGCCGAAAAAGCATCTTTGACACCATCAAAGAGTCCATTGAGGGAGGTGGACGGTCTAACGTTGTTGGGTTGCACAGAGAATCCAGAAACTGTGGCAGTGGTCAATAGGACGATTGTGGAAGTCTTCATTTTTAATGGTATGTACAAACTCGATTTATGACAAATGGTATGCAAAGTCCTTTGTCTATTGTTTACGACAAGGTCGAGAGGAGCTGCGTAAGATTTTCTACGTGTTTGGTTTCGAATGAGCAATGTGACCGCTGACGTGTGTACCGTGTGCATGATGTACGGTGACGGCAAATCGCGGGATTGATTCAGCTCACGAATGAGGGATTGAAGTCTTACGGTACAACTCCATGGCCGCCTTCATGCAAAATATAACTGGGTCTGAAGAGGAACCTTCTCAATACGACCGTTGTCAGTTGGAACCATATTGTTCTGTCACAAAGTCGACATATTAAATATTTAGGGTGTTTCCATATTCATGAATCTTCATCATAATGATCTTCTTCTTCGTGACTAGGTGCAGCAGTCGGTCGTGAGATACCTCCAGTTGTGTATGAGCTTGCCCCAGTCAGTTGAACACTTTTGAAGAGTGTGCTAAATTCCCAACCTTCCAAAAATACATCCAGTATATGAGATATCAAATCGGAATCTGACTCGTCGTCTTTTAGATAAACTACCAGTGTTGACTGAATCGGAAAGCAGTTTTCAGTTGTGACAGATGCACAAACGGAGTTGCCCAAGACAACCGTTTCAAAGATGGCGTTCCCTACCACGAATCGGTCCAAACGTTTTAATTTTCGGCCGTCGTTAAAGCACTGAGCTATCTCTGGAGCAATTTCTTGTTGCAGTAGGTCGATTTTGAGGACTTCCAAGAATGGAGAGATGTCTTGGATCCCATCAACTGCGATGACATCCAAATCCAGAGTGAACCTCCTGAGAGTCATTAACTCCTGACCGTCCACGTCAATGCCCTCAGAAACAGTTTCGCAGGTTACAATGTTTGGTGGATTAAATTCAAATGTCGGTGATGGACTTGGGGCAGAAGAGATTGCCACTTGAGTTGGAGAACTAGTTGTGATCTGCGGGCTGGTTGTAAGGGAAGGATCATCAGAAGTGCTGTTCAACCCGATTGCAAAACCTACTCCTAGCCCGATTGCCAATATAATCAAAAATAGTATAAAACACATCGTTTTCGTATCCTTCCAAAAAGGCTCTGGTTTCTCTTCGTCTCCCATCGGCTGCGCCTTCACTGTGGGTTTTCCATGTGTAGGCAGTGCCTGATTCACCCGATGAACTTGAGCGGAAGGTGCTTCATGAGCTCCCTCAGGAATTGTAAGAACCGATGCTGTGATAGGTCCTTGGGAGCTTCTATTTTGCACAGGTGTTGCGGATGTCATTTCATAAGGGAGGGTAGAATGAGTGGAAACAATACTTTCTCCAGACCCCTCTCCAACGACAACGGTACTATCGTCGTTCGCTGCCGTATCCCCCGGAACGCGTTGAGCACCAGGAGCAGCCCTCAAATAGTTAGCTCGCTCGAGCGCCGTTGCTCCAGGAGGTGTCGGCATAGAACTCATGGTGCTTGAAGATGTCACGGATCTCGCATCTACAGTTCCCCCGGCACTGGGTGGTGGAAGCTTCAAACCACCAATCGGTGGCGGCAGAGATCCCATAGTGCTTGATGACGATGTAGATCTAGAAGCGACCGTTCCTCCGCCATCATGACCGTGATTCAAACCACCAGACCTGATAGAAGAGCTTTTCGCTGGGACCTGTTTATGTTTATTGGATTTCATTATTGCTCCGTACTGCTCTACTTGTTGGCTGTATTTCAATGAAATGCGAACAATAAGCTGAAGACTGCAATCGATCAATCGGTTACGATGCAAAGGATGGTGGTATTGCTTGATACTGGTCACGGCACGGTTGCGAAAAGAAGAAAATCGACTGAAATGACTACAAGCACGCCGACCAATATTTATCCCAGTTAAAAAAATGCTCCCTCGATGGTGCAGACAACAGCATCTGTACCGAAACTAGAACACCATTTCTGAAGGATGTCCTACTATATTAGCTGGGATAGTTTGACAACACGTAGAATGTGATATGAAGCGTTGCTGAGGCGTGGTAGAAGACCCTTTAGTTCTTGATGTATGCGTCACCAAGTTTAGATGCAGCAGCTTGGTCCATCACCCAAGTTGCGACCTCACGCAATCCAACAGCTGGAAAGGTTTCGAGACTTTCATCTTCTGCCGCAACCGCTCTACGCATACCCTCCGATTTCCCTTGTGGATATTTTTCAGAGACCCCGCATGCGGCAACTACCACTTGCTTTGAATTTGCCATGACAGGTAGGGAAAGAGTAATGGATGGCGGGTTCTTCATTGCCACAGGTAGGACCCAAGGACCATCTGCTCCTACAAGAACTTCCTGTCGGCCGGGGTAAAGTGACCTGTAGTCCAAACAAGCCATTTTGATTAGGATCAACGATTTCGTTGATATGCACTTGGGAGCAATCGGCAGTACACTCACCCGATGTGGCCGTCATCGCCAACCCCGATCAACGCAAGATCAAAAACTGGCAATCCGGATTCATCGCGAGGCAGAACTTCCGAGCTCAATTCTTTCATTTTGGCTTCATATGATGCAGCTTCTTGGTCCCCATTATCGGTACCTTCCATGATAATCGTATTCGCGCCCTTCCAATTGTCAAGGAATAGTTTTCGTGCCTTTGCATGTGTAGCAAGATCTCCGTCGCCCATGTCGACGCATTTGTGGTTCACATAGGCAATGGTCGTCTTGGTCGTCCAATCTCCGAGAATATCGTCACCCATCAACATTTTCAAGATGGATCCCCCTGGAATGGCCAAGGCAAAATACCCACGTTCTGCGATTGCGGATTGTGCAGCTTCCAAAACGATGCTTCGTACTTTGTCGCCCACAGCATCGGCATCCGGAAGAACAACAACCTTGTCCACAGGAGTTGACACTACGGTAGCAGCGAATAAACTGGTCTTATCGGTCGACGACAACCCTGCTCCCTGGTGCATGTGTTGAGGAAGGAAAGCTGAAGAAGAGACTGACAAGAGAGCGAGAGCAACGCAGCGAAAGTATGCCATTATGTTTTAGTTGCATCAATATTTTATGTCAGTCTAAAATGAAGATGAAAGATACATGCGTACATGCGTGTTGAAAATCGACTGGACTGACCAAAAATGGCCTTCGTTTTTTTATCCCCAAGGTTCCTTGGGTGGGACAGACTCTAGTTTTTTGTTGCTGATACAATGAAATCTGTAATAGGATACAAACATAATGATAAATGATGTAACACTGTAAGATTCAATATATTAGGTATGAAAAGATAGTAGTAGTGTTAGACCACGATTGTCTAAGAAGAAAGCACGACGACGCTATTGGTGCGAATCGCCTCTGCTAGTATAAATGTCCCCAGTTTAGGTCATTTACTTGAGTTGCTCTTGCAAGATTGGAGTCAAGTATTCGGCAACCTTGAGGGTATCGACGGCAATTTGGACTGTGGCAATTCCCTCAGCAGGAAGTCCATCAACAGTGTGCTTGGCGACACGTTCCTTGACGGTGACGTAATCAGGGTCTTGGGTGAAGAAGTAAGGCATGGCAGTTGGGTACTGAGCTTGCAATTCTTGGACCATTGCCTTATCCTCGTCATCGGGCATGTAGTAACGGAAGACTTCCTCACCGCTTGGGTCAGAGACAAAAGCGTAAGAGTCGGTTCCTCCGCAACGGTCAGCTTGGACAGAAACAGTGTTTCCGTTCTTGGTCTTGATGGTGAACTTGATCTTATCAAAGTCGGTAAAGTCCTTGCCAGAGGGTCCCTTCAATGTTTGCAAGGAAGAGAATTCCTTATCGGCAGTGACTTCGGCAATATTGTCAACGTTGACATCGTAAAAGGAAGCCAAAAGAGCAAGTTCGTGGATGGCCATGTTCTTGAGCATACCTTCGGCGTTACGTTCAAAGCACTCTCCAAGAGATTCAGCAGTTGGCTCGTAGGCATTGTTAGAGACAAAGGTGACGTGCGATCCCTTGACGGTTTCGGCGAATTCGCGAGTCTTGCGAACATATTTGCAGACATTCTTGTTGTATCCCATCAAGACTTCGACTCCAGCAGCTTCAGCCTCGTTCTTCATTTGTTCCAACTCGGCGACAGTGGGGGCTCCTGGCTTCTCCAAGTAGATGCACTTGGATCCCTTTTCGATGCACTCGGTCAACAAGCGTGGATTGTCAGCTGTTCGTCCAGAGATGAGTGCCAATCGTGGGGCCTTGGGTTCTGGAAGGTCGTCCATGGAGCCAATAAAGGCGGTTCCATACTTGCCTTCAGCTTCCTTTTGCCATCCAGCGAATTCAACTCCGGCTTCGGAATCCTTTCCTCCGCCCATGAACCAGGGTTCGACGACGTAGTCTAGAGAGGCGCTTGGGCATCTGTTGTTGGAGCGACGGGATTAGAGAAAAGTAGAAAAAATGGTGAGAGACCGTGTGTCGAATAACATAAGATGCCCACCATCATTTGGTCGTCCAATCGGTGGTTGGCAGTTTGAAATTTCACGTGGAAGCCAGGTGTCAAACACGAACCCTTCGATTCGCAAGTTCAACTTCCAATTGTTCCACCTGAAAGTGACAATGGAAAACGTACCTGTCTTCAAGCATTTGAATGGCGTCTGCATTGATAGGGAAAGAAATTAGGATAACAAAAACGATGGTGAGCAAGGGGCTTGCCAATCGCCAAAACTCCAACCGATACGATTGAATGGGAAGCAATGCCATATCATTTATTGGAAAGGATTCGTTCACGCGCAAATCACCGCTCCAAGACACAACGGGTAATGCGAGCGCTGAACGTGATGGGCCATCCGAAACTCCTCGTTGATACCCATTTCCATTCATCTATCCACCCATTCATTCAATCCCATTCCATCGTGTTCTTTGTTCACTTACGGTACCATCCCATACCCTTGTTGGGTTGTCCACATCCAACAAGGATGACTTCGGCTTGTCCCTCCTTGGCGAGTTGGAGTTGACTGGAGCCATAGGCACGAGTGGCCATGTTGCGCCCTTGACGGGTGACAAAGGCAGATGTCTTGGAAAGAGAATTCAACATGGTAAAAGTGGCAACTGAGAAAATTTGTAACTTCATTGCTTTGCAGAGGGGTGAAGGATGATCTGAAATTTGCGTGCGTATGCAAAATTATCAAAAATGGGTCGTTCGGATTTTTATGGGAAGATTTGTTGTTTTTGCCCCCCTCGAGTGAGTTCTCATCTTATGTCCGTAGAGGCTGGTACAACTTGTACGGGTATTCAATCTGGAGAACAAATTGCCGGCAGAAACCAGAAGGAGAAGGTTGCTTTGGATCCTCTACTCTCTACTAACTGGAACATCTCCTACGAGCTGTAATGCCCGCAGAAGTTGCCCTTCTGTCTCTATTGCCAGAGGATTCTTGAGCAGACTTCTTGCATCATGCATGGAACCTCTTGAACCATGGTGGCATACCTTTCCCCAAAACTGCTCATGACATGATGGGCAGTGATCAATGATCTCTGCACGTGGGAAGACGAATCTTCAATGCACATTGATTTGAAAGAACAAATGTGACGACATGACGAAACAACGACAATTTGATGCTAGAACGACAAATTAATGGGGTAAAGCTGCATTGAACATGGGATCAACAACGCTCGGCGCAGAAATGATACTCAACGACAATACACCTGATTTCATTCATGGTCGATGATTGGCAGGAAGACGATAAGAGGGACAGCGCTACAGAATTCCGTCGACAGATTGAGAAAAATTCTTCCCGATCCATCGTGTCAGTCCGTCCTGACGACAGATACTCGGCTCAAGGGCATGACTACTGTACCTGCCTCCTCCCTCTTCTAAAGATACCATTATCTACAATTTGCTGATAATTGTTTTGCAGTCGAAATAGGTCGAAAACTTGATGCGGCATAGTTTACGTTTACAAATGACGTGAATTCTAGGTCGACGACGACAAGAGGAAAATTGATTCAAATTCTAAAGAAACTATAGATCGTGGACATTTCAACTTAAAGTTTCTCATGTTCGATGCATTCATGCAACAGCACCTTGTTTTGGGTTCATTTCATCAACATCTTTCTCATTCTCATGTCTAGTTGAAATCAATAGTGCGTCTCATGTTCACCTTGATACCTTGATTGACATTGACAAGTCCATCAAGGGGGGCCTTGAAGGTTGTTTGCCATTCACCATCGTCCCAAGTGACGCCAATGGAATCATCAGGAGTCCAAGAAGTGGTCACAGTTCCTTCGGGGAGTGTTCTGCTGTAAGAAAGGCTAAAATCACCACCGGTAGTGACACTAGGAGTGACAGTGTCCTTGCCAAAGCAATGGGCAACGGTAATCTTTTTCGCAGTGGAATCCACTTGGACGCTTGTATTGTCCAAAGAGTATCCAATCTTGGCGCCGACAGCAGACGATGGGACATTGTAGCTGGGGTTCACCTTTAGGCTTCCACCAAGGGCATCTACAGTCTTGGAAACTTGAATCTTGGAAACAGAACCAGTCCTGGATTTCGTGTCTGTAACAAGTAACATGATGTAAAACAAGATGTACCATTCATACATATAATGAGCGCAAATGTTTTCTCAGCAGACTACATTTCAGTAGCATCAGCAACTAGTGTACGTACCGACGCTTCCTTGCACTTGGGCATCGGTTCCATATCCACTAGCGCGGAGTTCCAAGGCAACTTTCTCCATAAAGGCGGAATCAACATCTCCTCGGAGGCTGAGATCACCAATGCCTTCGAAAGATTTCTTGATCTTTCCCCAATAAGATGGGGAAGGGACTTCATCGGTGTTGGTGATATCGGCACTGAAACCTCCCTGAAATAAAATGAATTTTGGAAGATTCAATTGAATTTGAAGTCAGAGCTTGCTTAGTCGACTGTCTTCAATACTTCGCAAAAATCACAATTAAGTAACTTCAAGGGATCCAACAACAATGGTGCGTACCTCGACATCACATCCAGCCACAGTCCCAGTTTGTTGCCATTGGACTCTGGGTTCCAATCCTCCAAGAGGTTTTCCGGCAGCATCTTCTCCGACGTTCAGTCCAACCTAATACAACGTGGAAGATATTGAGAAAGGTGCATACAGCAGTTGTCTGTCTCATTGATTCGAAATCAAAGACTTACCGAAACCTTGGGCATAGACACCTTTGGGGCACCAGCATCGGAAAAGGCGACGATATTGACAAGCAAAAGGGCACTGGAGAACTTCATTTTCGAATCTGACACTTGACACTTGGTGGTGTGATTGATGATGTGAGCAAGCGGGATTTTTCGGAATGATTCCAACACGTTGGTCGAATTGGTCGGAATCGGCATTAGATGACCTGGCCGTCCACCCGTCACTAAAGGATCCTTCGTGTCAACAAGGTTTTCCATTCGCATCATGTTCATAGTGTTCTCTCACAACAAGAAACACTTGTACAGTGTAAATCGTGTCAATGTCAGAGGCCAACAAAAAAACGACAGCAAAGGGGCTCACCCTTAACCTCATTGCAGCGCATGTAGTCGGTCTAGTCACTTTGGCACTCATTATCAAAGAAGCGGCGGCATTTTCCAACGCCACAGAGGCTCTGGCATTCTATGGTGTTTATCACCGAGAACCGGGCAATCAGTTGATTCACTTTTTTGGAGTGCCTGGGATTCTATGGTCTGGACTCATATTTCTGGTATGTCTATAGCTTGGTTGTCACTGGCTTGTTTTGTTTCTATCGTGTTCTAACCGAGAAGATTGGTCTACTTTGCAGGTACATTTGGATGTTCCATTTCTCTCGAATAACAAGACGATACAATATTTACTCCCAGGCAGCCAACAGCTTACCTACGGTCTAATTCTGGCTCTAGTTTACCTAGTCTTCTACTTGAATATTGATCCTATTGGAGGATCACTGTACGCACCAATAATCTACGCCATGTATTCATCAGCATGTTATCTACATGACCAAGATCAAGAAAAGTCGGGATCAAAGTCTTGGGCTGGAACTGGAAAACTACTGAGATATGCACTTTTTATTCATGTGTTTAGCTGGTACACTCAGATTCATTGGGGGCACAAACTGATCGAAGGGGCACAGCCAGCCGTGCTAGAATCTATCGGTGGTGCTTTGACAGTCGCTCCACTCTTTGCCTACTATGAGTTCTTGTGGCTAATCGGCTTGAATCAAGACCTCCAAATGCAGACCCTACAAGCTGTACAGGAAAAAACAATTGAAATCTGCGCTGCTGGAAACACGGCTATGCGAGTCTGCGAAACACTTAAAACCTCATAACGTTCCGCTTGCAAAGGAATTTATTCGTGTATCACCCCGCCACAACCTGTAAACTTAAAATAGAAGAATGAATCAAGCAACGTGAACCATATATTCCTATATTTTGCTGTATGGACTCCCTCACATTGAACTCAACCTGTGGCGATGCCGACGTAAGCCGCCAGCTTGAAGTGACAACCATTATACTACAAGTGAAGGCAATAAGTCATACATAAAAATGCAATAATGAAGATTACATTTCTCTACCTTGCAATAATGATGGTATGAGGGCCTTAAAGTAGCTGAATTGATTCGGGTGTGGTGTGTGAGTGGGCCATCTTGCGGGAGATATGTGCCTTGCGTGGTCCGAGAACTGGACAGGCCTGGAGAGAATGATGAGAGCCTCTTTAGAAGTTGATATCACGCTTGATATGAACATTGGCGCCTTCGATATTGGTTCCGTCAAGGCCACAGTTCACATTCGCGGTCCAGTCGCCATCGTTCCATTCGACATCCAAACTGTCATTGGGCTTCAATGTGGCAGTCAAGGAACTGTCGTCTCCCAAGTTGCGCTCCCAAGCGACAGAGATATCTCCTCTGTTGTTGATGGTTGGAGCAATACTATTGTTGTCATCCAATTGTTGACGGATGGTGACCTCTTGGTTGTCAACAGATGCAGTCAATTTCACGTTGGTCTTGTCCATGGTATGGTCAAGTGTGACTTCTTGATTGTTTGCAGATGCGATGACTCCAAAAATGGTGTCTCCCATACTATGCTTGGCATCGACCTCTTGGTTGTCAGCAGAAGCAGTCAACTTGACATTAGTATTTCCATTGTCGTAAGAAAGAACGACATCGGCTTCTTCAGTGCCAAGGTCATATCTTGGGTTGATAGTGACACGACCACCATCGATATCAAGCCCTTTGGTGGCCTCGACGCGGTTGACACTGAAGCCATTGCCAGCGGAAGCGACAATGCGAAGAGAAAGGTCGGCGTCTTCATTGTCCATGTCGAGCTCGACGCCGGTGTCGGCGCTATCTTGCATGTTGCGCTCGGCACGGGCAGAGACTCCCCATCCAGCGACGTTGGTGCTGGCCTTACCCCAGACATTGCGTGGAAGGGAAGCAATATCAGTAGTTGGGAGAGCAGCGGCTTCAATACCGTAGCTTAGGTCGACATCGCCAGTATTGGAAGCTCCTTCCCATTTGATGGAGGGGTCCAATCCATCAAGGCCGTCGAAATTTCCATCACGAACGGAGATCTAATGAGGATGATTACAAGAAGGCAGAAGGAAAGTTTTAGTATACCGTTGTTGTCGAAAAAACTTTGTCGTAATCGTCGTCGTCGTCATTATCGACAAGTCTTCACGACCAACAACAGAAGGGAGGGTTCTCGTCATTGCTGAAAAGATGCCATGACAACTTACGGATAGCTGGGGCTTTCCTGCGTAAGCACAGGATGCGGCGAGGGCTAGGACTGCAATGGAAAGTTTCATTTTTCTTTATTGGTGTTGGGAGTTATTTTCGAATGCTTTCCTGTTTCGACAAGATATTGTGAGAATGCAGTTTTTCGTGAAGGTGTCAACGAGATTCAAGATGGGAGTTTTTAAATTCCTCGCACGAGGAGGTGTCAAAGATCGTATCTTCCGTTTTTAGCGAGTTGGAAACTTCGAGAAGGTGTCAAAAAATGAGCAAAGAAACCCGGAGTGACGTGTTCGCATTCAAATACTTATGAACATTTTGCTTTCAATCTATCCAGAACCGTAGATGACATAACCAAGATCCAAAAACTGAATCATGGAGGTGTCAAGATCTTGACACCTTTGCATGGATGAAGGCAACTGACGTATGAAGTGCTGTATCCATCATTGAAGCTCGTTAACTAGGTAAGGAAGATCCGGTACGAACTGGCGATAGAAGCCATCAAAGCAGTTTCTCACAATTTCCCAGTTTGCCTCCTTTCTGCACTGCACATCCAAGACACAGACACTATCACAATGAAGTTCTCTCTCTTTGTCCTCACCGCCATCGCTGGAACTGCTGCAGCAGGAAAGCCTCAGCTTTCGGTAAGTGTCCTCGTTCTGATCTCAATGTTCCCATACACCATACATCACGACATTCCCTAACTTTAACTTTGACCGCAGATCTCCGTCCGTGATGGAAACTTCGACGGCCTTGATGGATTGGATCCTTCAATCTCTTGGGAAGGAGCCTCCAACACTGGCGATGTCGACCTAAGCTACGGTATCGAAGCCGCTGCTCGTCCTACCACTGACATTGCTTCCCTTCCACGCAATGTCTGGGGTAAGGCCAGCACCAACGTCGCTGGATGGGGAGTCTCTGCCCGTGCCGAGCGCAACATGCAAGATAGCGCCGATACCGGTGTCGAGCTCGACATGGACAATGAAGACGCCGACCTTTCTCTTCGCATGGTCGCTTCCGCTGGCAATGGCTTCAGTGTCAACCGCGTCGAGGCCACCAAGGGACTTGATGTCGATGGCGCCCGTGTCACTATCAACCCAAGATACGACCTTGGTACTGAAGAAGCCGATGTCGTTCTTTCGTACGACAATGGAAATACTAATGTTAAGTTGACTGCTTCTGCTGACAACCAAGAGGTCGATGCCAAGCATAACATGGGAGACACCATTTTTGGAGTCATCGCATCTGCTGACAACCAAGAAGTCACACTTGACCATACCATGGACAAGACCAACGTGAAATTGACTGCATCTGTTGACAACCAAGAGGTCACCATCCGTCAACAATTGGATGACAATAACAGCGTCGCTCCAACCATCAACAACAGAGGAGATATCTCTGTCGCTTGGGAGCGCAACTTGGGAGACGACAGTTCCTTGACTGCCACATTGAAGCCCAATGACAGTTTGGATGTCGAATGGAATGACGGCGACTGGACCGCCAACGTAAACTGCGGTCTTGACGGAGCCAAAATCGAAGGCGCCAATGTTCATATCAAGCGTGATATCAGCTTCTAGATCTTTAACGCATTATTAGTGCTTGTATTACTACGTTTGCAATCATGATACGTCCCTGATTGATGTCTATACCCTTTGTGCAGAGGAGCCTATTCTCCGAGTACTGGCTTTTGAATGGTCGACTGAGTGAGTCGTTTCTACTTGGAACAGGAGGCAACGCAAGGATTCTTCAGAAGAAAAGCCTTGTCTCTGTTTCATTGAGAACAAACGCGGCTCAATTGTGATGACATGTTCATTATATCACGGCATCCAAGATGTGGCCATTCTTGCGAACTGTATGGGTCGGAAAACATCTTAAATGACTATATTCCATTCCTAGAATGGATAAAGTTTTCATCTATTAGAGCCACAGCCTGGCGTTTATTTCGATCGCTTGTAGATCTTCTTCAACAAGATCTCAAAACATTCCTTTGGCATGCAGTCCACCTTTTGTAGATCAGTCTGGATGATTGCGTAGCTAGCTTCTTCATAGTCGGAAAAGACCTTGGGCAACTCCAAGTCGTTGTATAGTGCCTTGACTTTTGCAACCTTTTTGTCATCCCATTGACCATAGTTTTGTTCCAAGATCTTGCGTTGGTCTTGGGAACAGCGATCGAGGGCTTGGACAACTAACCAGCTGCACTTGTTGTCCTGGATATCAGTTCCAACCTTTCCAATGACCTTTGGATCTCCAAAGCAATCAAGGTAATCATCTTGAATTTGGAAGTATTCACCCATCTTGAGGCAAATTTTCTCAGCCAAATCGAATGCGCTATTGTCCTTGACTCCAGCAGTGATCATACCAATCGCAACGGGTAGGTAAAAGGTGTAGAACGCAGTCTTGTACTTGACAATCATTTGGTATCGCTCCAAAGTGAAACGAGTCAAATCAACAACCCCTGGTGTTTGACTGGTCAGGTCCAACAATTGACCAAACTCAGTGTTTTGTGTAATCTTCAAAAACAAATCTACAAGTTGTTGGTAGTAGGCAGAGGTTCCGAAATGCTTCTTGATAATGGTAAAAACAAAGGATTCCAAAATGAAGGAATCGTTAATGGCAATCAATCCAACCTTCTTGAGCTGATACCAGCAAGGTTGTCCGCGGCGAGTTGGGGATTCATCCATAACATCATCAGCCACCAAGAAAAAGGCTTGAAGGAACTCGACCGCCCATCCTAAAACAGCAGCCTTGGCAATCTCGGTAGAATCGGTAGTCTTGTTCAACAACTCGTAAACAGAGACAACAGTAGTACCACGGTTCAGCTTTCCACCAGGAACGGTGTAGTCCATCATTTCACGAACCCATTCGACAGATTCCCCTGGGAGCTTGTGGGTGTTCATGTGCTCCATCATTTGATCACGAAGCATGGGGTAGACTGCCTTGAAGCGTTCCTTTTCGTTGGAAGCCTTCTCAATATCAGCAATCGGGTAGTTAATGGTTGAACCAACATCATCTGGAACGTAGGAAGTGCCGCTTCCAACCAAAGAGGAAATCAAAAAGACAATGGAAAAGAGAATGCCCAACAAACCAAGTTGCTCTGCCAACTCCAATCCGAAAAAGAAACTGGTCAAAGAATCGGCGATTTCTCCGGCCTTACTAGCCAATGGCAAGGCGGAGACAGCCATGAGCGCTGCCGCAATGTTGATGGAAGACGACGACATGACGTTACAAGTGAGTGAAATGACCACACCTCAGTCGTACTGTTTTGTGGTTTGGTCGTTGTGGATGAGGCAATGACGATTTTCACGCATTACCACGCATGTTATTACGCGGCAAATTCTGTCAGTCGGCCGTTTTCAGCTCATTTTCTGGTTGAGCTCCAACTAGTCGATATTCGGGATTTGGAGATTGACAGAAAAGGAGAATATTCATAAAAACAAATCTGAAATCGGGGTACCAGTAAACACACATTATAACATACTTCTCTGCCAATACAATGAAAAAGCAAAAGCCAAAATCGAAACGAAAGACAAAAAGTAGATCCAAAGAAGGAGGTTCCCGTCATAGCTGGGTGGATGATCTGGATTGGATGCCGGTTGAGACGGGTGATGCCCAGGATGACGAAGATGGCGGTTTCTCCATTATTTCGTGGAATGTTCTTGCAGATTCCTACTGCTCGCCTCGTTCCCATAGATGCCTTCCACAAAAGTCGCAGAATCACATCTTCAATCGCAATCAACGACATCATCATGTGCAAAAGACCCTTTGTCAACTTGTGTCATCACTTGACAGACCAATATTTGCTCTGCAAGAAGTGGATGCACCTCTTGGAGTTCTGACAAAATTTGAGGAGTTGGGTTATGATGGTATTGAAACCCCCACTAGTCCAGGTGGAAAGAATGGTAGAGTTGATGCATGTGGTCTGTATTTCGATCGGGAGGAATGGGTTTGCTTGAAGAGTGAAGCGGTCCCGCTTGACGATTTGGCAACGCTTCGGTCCAAGTCTACGACGGAAGTAACCGTTGGTACCAGAAATAATCTTCAGGGACTACAAGCAAGCTTCTTGCGAAAAAATATGGCTCTGCTGGTCAAGCTAAGAAATGTGAAAGTGAACAAGACTGTTGTGATTGCTGTGCTACATCTGTATTGGAATCGTAAGTATAAAAGCACTAGTGCGAACGCAATGATGTTGGCATTGGCGTATTCACCCCTCACGTATCTGCTCCACACTACACTGTACTTTGCTGAAATATAGCAAACTACGAATATGTCAAGGTGAGATTTCGTCCACTCAAGTGTCACTCCGTGCCGTTTGAAGGGGTAAGCCTGACAATGATCTCTTGCCCTCTGTTGCTTGAACAAATCAGTTATGCCAGACACACCATATAATGAGAAATGCAAAAGATTTCTGCGATGGCGATTCCTCGATTCCACTTGTAGTTTGCGGTGATCTTAATAGGTGAGAAGAATTTGCCCTTGAGATCTAGCAACTCGGCCTGTAAAGGCTCAACTTCCTCTAATTTATCCAATTTTCAAATGCCGCTGACCATCAGTCAACCAGAGTAAGACTTCGTGTGATCCCATTGTATTCTATAACTCGTGAGTTATGATTCTAAACCACGACAAAATTTTAACAGGAGTTATGTGTACAAATATCTGTCTTCTGGGACAATAAATGCAAAGCTGGTCACCCCTTGGTACTCAAGTATCGGCTTTGTAGATCAAATGAAGGAAGAGACGCCTCCACAGACGGACGAAGAGCTGCTCCAATGGGCTCTGTCTCGAAAGTTGAAGATTCAGGACGATTCCTCTCCGGATGGTAGTGATGATGGTGATGATTTGAAGGGTCCGGTGAAACCAATTCGGTATCTGCTGGACTTCACTCTCAACCGCTTTTGCCGGTGGCTACGAATATTGGGGATTGATGCCGTTCTCGAAACGGAGGAAGAAGAAAAGCTCCGGACAAAGGATGGAAATTTGTAAGTACTATGGATGCAGCATGATGACAAAGACATCTTTGATTTTGCACTCATTCCTTCTTTTGTTTCTGCCAACTTTGTCGACACTTCAAGGGTTATTTTCGATCGGTGTCGAACGGAAAAGAGAACCCTAGTATCGACTTCTACTAAACTTTTGCTTCGAAAAGACTGCCCGCCTGGGGCTTACCTCTTGGATACAAAAAGTCTTGCGAATTTGGAGCTCTCTCTGATACATCTCTTGCTCTCTCACGGGGTCAAGCTGCAACCGCGCACGTTTCTGACTCGCTGTGTTGTGTGCAACGGAATGATATGCAAGGTCACAGACGAGAACCAGATCAAACAAATTTTTGAGGCACATAGCGCTCCAGACCAACTTCACAAGGAAATATTTGAAGTGTTTCAGTGCAAGGGCTGCCAACAGGGGTACTGGTGGTGCGAAAAGCCCACTAGCTCTGCATCAAGAGTGAAATCTCAAGCTGCTAGCCTTTTGGAGGCATGCATACGGGGAGGAGTTCCTTTGGATAAGGACATGGCCATGTTTGACTTTGTAGATGTGGAAGAAGTCAAAGCACAGGCATCCTCAAACGCTGAGGATGGTGGTGACGGCGAGGGTCTCAAAGGATGCGCCGAATCGAATCTATTCTTGGAACGATTGGATGTTATCGAATGGCTTCAAGATGAGGGGTTGGCGAACCCCTTTGGCCCGATGAAAAGCGTTTATTCCGAGTACATGGGCGATCAAGAAGGAAAAGATGAGCGATTGAAACCAGCAAATGAAGAAAAGATCCAAGAAATTCCATTGATTCCATTTACCAATGTGACTCACGATTTTGTGGGTCACTTGGATCACATATTCGTCACCCAACAGCAAGCCTCGCCGATGTCAAGTTCTTCTTCCAATCGTACCTGCATCTTGGAAGTGTCACAGCGTCTATATGTACCTACCACCTACAGTGAGCTGAACCCAGAGGGCGAAAGAAATGGCCATCTCTTGCCAAGTACGGCTTGGCCAAGCGATCATTTGGCCGTTGGTGCCAAGTTGACTTGGGGAAGAATTGACGATGAAGACGACGACAAGGAAGCAGTCTTGGAGACAAATACAGCGGGTACTTAACTAGCTCGCTCGAGACTGTTAATAACTGCTATACAATTTTGAAAGCCCAATGCAACGTCAACTTTAGTTGAATTATACATGTATCTGTGCTACGATCCTGCATTCCCTAATCTTCCCCTTCGAAAGAAGAAAGCGAATGCCCGTAATGGGTTGGTTATGCTATGCTATTATTGTAACTATGACATTTCCGATTGGCCTGTAATATGTGTAAGTCTATTATTATGAATAGTATTTATATATGTGGCTGTGGAGACCGGAGGACTAACTGCATTGTTTGGTGTCCCCCTTTCGGTGCTCCTATTGCCTCTAGAAATGTTTTTGAATATATAGTCGTACCATCAGATATATATAAATGTATCATCATGAAATCGAATCAATCCATCTTGGCATCTCGCAACTTTTGGGCCGACAGACCCATCTTGTCCATGCTTTCCTTCAAGGAAGCCATTTGAACCGTCAATGCGTTGTTAGTGGTACTAGCTGATTGAGCAACACCAACAGCCCTGTTGGGTCGTACGCGCTTCCAAACCACAAGTTGTGTTTCTTCATTTCCATCCTTGAGCTTGCGTCTAGCTCGACGATGGTATTGCCGAACCAAACGATTTTCTGCGTCGGTGCGTTCTTCTTTTTGCAAGAGCCGACTGACATAATCTTTGAGAGTTTCCGTAGACAGCTTGTCTTGTTGAATCAATCGCCGCTTTTGATACTTCCATAGAAATTTCTGTTCTTGTTCGGTCCGCTCCGAACCCCTGTCTTCGACCCATCGGGCATACTCGTGCAGCGAGGATTCTGGAATGAAGGATGAGATTCTTGACTTTTGTTTGAGCTTCAGCTTGTTGCGCGTCCGACGAAAGGGAGTTCGCGCCATGCGGCGTGGTGCCATTCTATTGCTGGTGCTGTTGTCCCTACTAATACTACTACTTCCAAACATTGGAGTTGCAAAAGTGCTCATGGAACTATGGGCACCAGCTGGCTGTGTTTGTTGTGGTTGCTGTTGTTGCTGAGGTTGCAGCTGGGACATTTGCTGAAGAGCCTCCATCTTGCCGACAAGAGCGCCTGGATGCATTTCTATTTGGATACAGGACAGGGCAGGACAGGACAAGACGATACTGTAGTGTATGAAGAAGGAGTTACCTTTGGAAGTCTTCAATTGGAGTACCTGATACCGGTAGACCAGAAAGAAGATCGATCGTCAAGCAATCGATCTGCGAGCTCTGGTTCGATTTTTTTGCCGTTACTTCCTATTGGGGGACCACTTTTGAGGGTCATTTTGAAATGTTGGAAGACTAACCTATCCCCTCCCTTTGAATTGAAAGTCTGGCATCGTCCGCGAACGATTGCTCGCCCGGCAAAAAGCAAGAGATTTTCCAGATTTCGCCGCCTGCCAGCGAACACATGTCGTGCGATCCCAACTTGAGGCCAACGTACTGAATATGCTAAGTAGAAAGGTGTACTGTGCGCCGCGTCCGTTGAATATTCAAAAATAAGGAATAGACCAATCATTTTGCAAATCACCCGCGCGTTAGGTCATTTGAACATAGTCGAAAAATTGATCATTTAGCGGGAAAATACGCATTTCGCTTATGCTCTTAATCAGCTTTGAGGATTTGTATAAAAGTGTGGCTTGCGTGCCAAAGGAAAGCCATCGAACCGCTTGTCGAGTTGGTAGTCTTTCGTCGTGCCGGTCCACGCTGGCATGCGTTCAGATAACCACACCATCTCTTGTTACATCAAGGACTTGTGAAGCCTAGTCCATCTCAACCTAGTCAACAGCAGAACAGGAGGTAAACCGAGTCTCGACGATTGGATCGACGAGACGCAAGTTCCGACTCCAGACCGTTGATTTGAGTTGATTCGTCTGTTTTTTATTGAAAAAGGAGAAGAGACACGAGAAGCTTGAAAAGAGATTCTGTTTGTGGAAAACTTTGGATCCAATACCCAGCAGAACCCACGGAATCACTTCTTCGATAAGTATATTGCTTGTGCTGTTATTTGAAAGCAAGAGCCACACAATCTACGGAAATATTTGTGGGTTATCCAAAAAGTACAGTCAGTAGTACCAAGCCTACGTGTGCAGTCGCATCTACCCGAGATTTGTAAACAGGACGCAGTTCAATAAGGAAAAGGCAAGGTTAACACCTCAAGATGAGTGCAGACGAAGAAGATACCGCAAAGCCAGAACACACGGAAGAAGAGCCCAAGCAGGAGCCAGCTGCGGAAGCTCCAATTGCAGCTGAGCAACCTGGAACAGAAGGTTCCAATGGGCCAATGAGTTCATCTCCCGAAGGTGCGGAACATCCGTCTCCCAATAGCGAGCAGCCGGTAGAAGGCGAAATGGGTAATCACGCCATGCCAGAAGGTGGTGTTGCGGCTCCTGTTTCGGAGCAACATGAGCACATGCCTCCACCAGAGAGTGAAGAACATCAAGCACAAGCGACAACTCCAAACCACCCACGGTATCCATATCCTCCAGAGGGATATTATCCGCCGGGTTATCCGCCACCCCATCCTTCGGCCGATGGTGGCCATGGATATCCTCGTGAGGCTTATCCGGGGGGTCCACCACCATATGGAGTGCCACCACACATGGGAGGATACCCAATGTACTCCTACCACCAACCTCCCATGTATCCACATTACCCTGGCTACCCTCCACCTCCCATGTACGGTTACCCACCACCGGAAGGTTATCCAGATCAGCAAGGGGTCGGCGTGAATCCCTATGCTCAACAAATCGATGATGTCCACGGCGAAGACAAAGGCGAGGACAAGAAGGCTCATAACCCAGTGATGCCCTCGGCACTTGGGTCTGCCTCCAGACTCAAGACTTATATCAAGCCAAGGCCTCCATCTTCGCAAGATGTCTTGGATCGTCGTTCCAGAAAGAATGCCCAGTCACGAGCAAGAGCTTCAAAACTCAGGGAGAGAATAGCCATTATTGAAACCAAGCCAGCGTCGGAACGAACAGAAGAAGAGAAAGCTATTTTCGCTACTTTTGAAGCTCGTCGCCAGAGAAAAAATGACAGATCCAGAGAACGTGCGCTGGAAAAGAAGGAGGAGATTGATAGAATTCTTGCAAAGCCAGAGAAGAGGCGGACGAAAATTGAAAAACAATTTTTGGAAGGTGCACTGAATGCGAAGAAACGAAAGAATGAAGGTGATAGACTCCGTAGACAGCGTCTGAAAGAACTGGGTTTGTCATCGAAGACAACTGGCTTGAAGCCCGGTATTTCGGCTCGTGGACCAATTGGAATCTATCGCGGTGGAATGCCACCACATCCACATTATGGTCCGCAAATGGGAGAGATACCCATGTCCCCAATGCCTCCCATGGGTGGCCATCACCATCATCATCAACAGTCACCCGGTGGCTTTGCAGCAGGATCTCCAGGTGGCATGATGCCAGGAATGGGTTTTGCAAGTCCTCAGCACCCTCGAAGATCGGAAGCGGGAGTCTTGGAGACTCCTGGCCGACAACCTGGTCCTGGACACCTGCCCTACATTCCTCCTTCACAATCCTACGATGGACAACCACACCAAGGAGGTGGTTCTCGCGTCGAACAGAGACGCCATGCAGATGGTTCTATGAGCATCTCAATAGGAGGCGAGGGCGGTGGCCCTCAGTACCCTCCCGAAGGAGAACAGGGGACTGACCTGAACGACATGCTCCTCTACAACGATCAAGAAGGTGGGGAATCTGCCAAAGATGTGTAGAGCTAGATAACAAAAATCGGAGTTGCCTGACAGTCGAAACCAGTGGATGGAACGACGAAAACGATGGCTTCTCCCTATGTGTAGTATCTTTCTTTATGTGTACACCATAGCTTTTAATCTTGTTTGAGGCAGTAGTATGATCTCTAGTGATAATGATGATTGATTGATTTGTTACTGTATCGTAGGTTGATTGCAAGAGCGATTGTTGTCTAGAGACTCTCCGTTACCGAAACGATCCATTGTTGCTTCAATGGATACAAAAACTCTTCTTCATCGCGCTTAACAGTCAAGTCAAAGGCTTGCAAATTATGGACTCCAGCACGAGGTATCAATGCCTCCAGTGGAATGGTTTTCTCTTCTTGGGGTTGAAAGGATAATCTCATGACATTGAATCCAATCAATTCAAAGGTTGTGTCATCCTTGACGGACAAGCTGAGATTCACTGCGGATTCCAGCAATTGATTTCGAAGTGTCAATTTGACTGGAAGACCCACTGGTCCGTTTGTAAAGTCATGAGCAACAGAAGGTTGATGCGAGGCTGTTGCCACGATTGGACAGCCATTGAAGAAGGAGATTGGACGAACTGGTATACCTCGAAGGTGGTGTTCGCCACGGATGACTTCTTGTCCAAGAATGGCCCTCCACGAACACATGAGGTGAATTTTCGACAAGCTGTTCTCATGAGTACATAATTGTCCTATTGAGGTTGGATGAGCCTCAAGTGACTTGTCGTCTCCTGTCGTATCATAATCTGATGCTGTGTTTGCTCGGCGAATCGATGCGATCGATCTAGGATGCTGATCTCCGTCGGCAGAGGACTCAGCTTTGGCAATTTCAATTTGGTGGGCTTTCCACGCAGCCTCGAAAGAGTCTCGTGCGTTTTCCAAGCAGAGATAGTCAGTTGCCTTAGAATAGACAGCTTCTATAGTAGTACTCTTTGCCATTTCTGTGAACGAACATTCGCTCAACAGACAAACTTTACTCTCCTCAGCCAATGGAATAACCTTATAGTGGATCGTGACTCTTTCTTGCCAGCCTATTTGTAATACATGGCCATTCTCTTCTCTAGTTATGAATTGACCAGGAATGGCTTCTAGCTTGTAGTGCCGACTTGCGACACTCAATTTATCGAGAGTCACAAAGAGATCAGTAGGTCTATCAGTTCGATTGTTCGTTAGCTGTGGTGTGGTGGTGAGAAGATTGCATTAAAAAGATTGCAACACATAGCGCGCGCCCTTACCTCCACCGAAAGAATCTGTTCCTTTCCATTCCAGAATGCTGCCTTCACCTTTGCACTTAGATCGAGAGAAGGATAGACCTGAAAATAAAAAAGGTGAGTTGAAATTGTTGGCACAGAAAGTGAATATCATTCAATGACGACTGACTTACCGGCACTTCATACATCTGTCGGAGCCATCTGTGTAGCTTAACATCTCCCATTGGACTCCACAAGTCGTAGCGGAAGAGCATGTAGAAGCCTCCCTTGCCAGTTCCTGAGGTTCTCACTTGAATTGGGATATCAACGTGTTCTCCTGGATGCAGTCTCCCAGTCTCTTTGAGTGTCTCACAGTTCATGGGCAATGACATCAGTGTTCCAGTTGGTCCTAAGCATCTTGATGTTGCCTGAGCTTCTTGTTCTTCTGCGGTCAGCAGATGATTTTCAGTGTTGACAACATTGATCCATGGTAGATTTGTCTTCAGCGTGACGTTAGACGCCGGTGCATTTCCGACGTTGCGCAAACGTATTGTCCATGGGCTCACTTGTCCTTCCAATAAAGGGCCACCGTCAGCTGGTATCGTATTAAAGTCATCACTACCTCGCTTAATCAGTTCAGCTGTGAGGCACGGCATTTCCCTTTCTACTTTGGACTTCAAAAGCATTGACTCGCCGCGAACTGTGTAACATAAGAATATCAGAACAAAGCAGGACATTCAAATTTCTAGCTCCAAATGACAAACTTACCTCTCTTTGATATGTTTTCCCTTGTATCTTGAAGTAGTGGACCTTCGATGTCGAATGGATGATAGACCCAGACCTTGTCAAACAACTTGCACCGAACACCCAAAATTTCCAAATCCCCTTCGACTAGAGGACACACTCCAGCCGAAAGTGTAACATCGGCAAGCGGTTCCAATTGCATATCGCGCTTGGTTACAACAAAAAAGGGATTGTCATCGACTGGGAAGCACGACTTCTGACCAGGCTCGGAGAATCGGCAGAAATCGCCAACAGAGAAATCCATGTTGTCGGTACTTGCAAATGTGTACGACTTTGAACTCCCTTCCTTACCCTTGTTAATTACAATGGCATCTTGGTTGGTCATGACACGGCCATTTACATCCACCATCCTTGCTACTAATTGAATGTCAGTCATGAAAATTTCCACTCCAAGCGGATTCTTGAGTTGAAAGTCGCAAAAGAGGGGCTCGCCCTTGGCTCTTTTGGTAGGTTTGGCCTTGATGGAGCCTTTTCGCTTGCTGCGCTCAATCATGCTTCGGTTTTGCTTTTCTTTATCGACCTGTGCAATGACTCTACGATGCTTTAGATCCTTTATCTGGAGGAGTGCTGAGGTAACGGCCTCGTCCAGTACTGGGTTTGAGCTGTCCGAGGCATTTGACTCCGCTTTCGACATAATTTCCAATTCTTGCCATATGGACTCTTTCCCCTTGGACACCGTGCCAAAGAAGTTCGATGCTGATTCCTCTTCGCCTAGTTTGGCATCACGAACAAAGTGATGTTCTGCATGGGTCCAAATGCGGACTGAGGAATCTACTATCAAGGGCAAATTCATGTAGGGCAACTGCAGAACTCGGGAGGCACCCATAGTGAATCGAATGACATGAACGATCCGTTCCAGCTGCTCGTTGCGAAATGCCTCCCGTTCATTGTTGGGAATCTTGGGTGGAACTGCCATTCGATCGGCTCCAGCCAAAGCTGGTTTGGGATGGTTTTCACAAATCTCCAACAAATGCGACAAAAATTTCTGTTGGGATTTTGCCGACACCTTCCCACCACTTGAGGTCCCTACCAGTTTGGCGTAAAGTATCAGCGCAATCGACATGCGCCCCATACTATACAATTGGGCTGCCAGTGCGGATCGCAAATGATTATGCAACTCATTCCAGGAACCATGTCGGTAGACATAGAGAGCAGAGGTGAAACATCGAAATGCGTGATTGTCTTGACCTGCTGTTCGGAACATGTGTCCACTCATGAGCATGTGAAAGGAATACTTTCGAAACATTTCCGCTTGAAAGTAAAAGGCGGACGCCTGCTCCAGCAATACCGCTGCACCCAATGACGATTCATGAGACGACGCACTCGCCAACAAATCGGCCACTTCCAGTTCTCGTCCTCTAGTCAAGGCATCAGATGCAGTTGCTATTAACAGACAGAGTCGAGAAGCCAATCTTGTGGCATGTGGCGCGGCTTGAGGTCTGGTGGAAGGATCGTTTCCCCACTTGGCGCGTTCTCCTTCGGCAGCTCGAGTGTAGCCCAACAATGCCGTTTCAAACTGGGCAAAAATGTCTCTCGAACGCGAATATGGATCTAGATGATATATGGCAAGGCCCATCATTTCTTGCACATTGGCGTAGTGTCCCAAGGCCTTGTCAGACTTGAAATCATCCCGCACCAGCCTATAGGTACTGAGGGCTGCCTCGTAATCCTTCATTAGAAACAGGGTATCCGCCAATAATCGCGCTTGACTTTCAATCGAGTCGTATCGATACTTGGCGGTCGACGCCGACATGTCAATTTTCTTCTGTTCCACTTGTTGTTGTTGCTGTGTTTCTTTGGGTTTTCTCCAAAAGCTCTTGACCAGGTTCCGCATTCCCTTTTTGCGTTCACTGACAGTCGCATTCAAGGTAGCAATCCGGCGTTCCATGGCAGGAAGAACGGCCGACGAAATGAGGGATTGAAAGAACCGTCCAAGCATGGCTCGATCGTTGAAACTGAGACAATTTCCTTTGGTTCCATTGCCACCCCACAAATCACTATCCTCTTGTTCGGAAAGTGCCTTTGCAGTTTCCTTGTTTACACTGTTGATTCGAATGACTGCCGAATTGGATCCAAATTGATTCTGAAGTGTTTGTCGCAAAAACTGTTCTCCAAAATTATTTGGTCCATCCACCGCATCGTGCAGGACCAAACATTCGTATCGAATGGCATTTGGATCGTACAATCCATTTCGAAATCCCTCCGGCAGCACTTGTGGCGACTCGCGCAATTCTTGCAAGACGTCTTGAGGACTCGCCACTTCATTGGAGGTGCAAACCAGTAGCACCACTGGCGGACAGGAGATGAGATCGTGTTCCAAATGGTTGGTGGATTCGTCCAAGGCATATCTGTATCTCAGTAGCCATGGAATATCCAATGGCGATGTCAATCGGTACGCTTCTCTGGTAACTTGCTCCAAAGTATCCTCCGTGTCCCGGTCTTGCAACAATTCGTCCACTCGATCTTCCAACAGTAGTAACTCTTGTGCCACGTTCCCATCCGAGTCTTGCAACTTGGCGTGATCCGAGAGCATATCATGCGCTTCCGTGTACGTGTGCGGTTGCAAGTGTTCCGCCAAATAGAATTGAATCGGCACTTCTTTCAAATTGAGAGATTTGCTGACGGAACGAAAGGGTGGCAACTTCCCACCATCTGGCTTGGAATCATGAACAATCCCCTGAAACATGTCGGTCAATTGCAAATTATTCTTCCAAGCCAATTGATGGGTACTTTCGGTCGCTACCACGACAATGGGAACGTGGGTTTGACGTCTCGCTAGAATATCCAACTTTTTCTCTGCCACAAAGGTCAAAAAGGGAAGATACGGTGGTGGTGCTTCCTTCTCCGTTTTGGGGGTGGTATCATTGTTGGAAGTGACCAAATCGGATAGAGGTATTCGAGTTGGACTATTGATGGCGGAACTTGTTGTCGTGTTGTAAGTCACATTGGGTGGTGGAGGGAGTGACGATAGATTGGTGGATTCGGTACCAGTACTAGTTGTACTGACAGTAGATGCAGAGGATGAGACTGGATTCCGTGGCGGTGATAATGCTCGACGTGCCGGTGGCGGAGGAGGAGGTGGTGGCAATTGATTTATGGTATTCAATATAGCTGTTGCATCCTGTGTCGTAGCGTTGAAATTGGTGGTGGTGGTTGCAATATTTCCGGAAGGAGGTGCTGAATCGAGTTGTGGAATCGAAGCCGTACTTTCATGAGGTCGTGTTTGCTGACTCCTTCTTGGGATGGGTCCTCCGCCACTTTTGGGAGGTGGAGGCGGGGGTGGTGGAGGTGGAGGAGTTCCGCTCATGATTGTATTGTATTCAAATTAATGATGTATTAATCGTTCAATTCAGGTGATGAATTAGTCGTCAAATTTGAAGATAAAGTTGGTCCGTCACGGATGTCAATCAATAGTCTGATTTCTTGGTAGTATAACAATAAAAGATGTCAAGGATTCCTTTGCAACTATCCTAGATGAGACCTCACAATCCCCATGCACTATTTCAATGACTGAGCTCCCATGGGGGTTTTCAAAATCCAAAATGAACATGAATTGCGAAAAGTCCTGTATGTAGAAACCGTACTGAAATTGAATTTTTGGACGACTCCATCGACTAACCCAGACGTTAAAACCAGCGCATCAACCACAGGTTCAAGGTTCAAAACGACAAAAGTTGAAGGAGTGATTATGGAACATTGAAGCATCTACAACACTGGCCTTTTCGTGCTGTACAAAGATAACGACTAAAGAATGAACGTAATAGACTTGTGCGATTCTGATGACGATGAAACGGACTCAAGGGACACGGAGAAGAAACACCAACGTCTCCACATCAACAACCAGAATTCCCAATCTCCTTCCTCAACAGCAGCACCAGCAGTAGCAGTAGCAGTAGCACAACGACCACGGTCAATTTCTTCTGCATCGAATAGCCCTCTTGGAAATAACAGTGATGATGTGGTTTTTCTGTCGGACGATGAAAGTGATGACGAGCAACAGGAAGTCAACAACCTGGTTCATCAGAGAAGAACCACTTTTTCAAAAAAGAAACCAACAGATAAGCCAATGTCGGCTCGAGAAAAAAGTTGGGCACTCATTCAGCAAATGAGACGGGAGGCGGCCAAAGAAAAAGAAAAATCGAAAGCACTATCGAGTACAGCCTCCACAAAGGCGGCGAGGGGTCCACAGAAGAAATCACCTCCCATAACAAAAGTTAATCCTCGTTGGAACGACAAACGAAAACGCAAGCGATCCAATTCCAATTTGGAACATCGAAAGAAGGCACCAACAGCATCATCGACAAATCCGACATCATCAACTTCAACTGCCAATATCAATGACAACGCAGCCCCAAGAATAATACCAAGCTTCCTGGAACAAGGACTAAAAGATGGGACCACAAATCAACAAGGTTCTGGAGGAGAAAACGTTGCGACAGCTTCGTTGCTCTCACCCTTGCAAACGGCGATGGAGGTCCATGATTCATTTGAACAACCTTTCATCGATGATTCCATGAATGCGACAAGTCAAGACAACCCAGCTGCGCACTGCCAGATGGAAACAATAACAGAGCCAACGGCATCAGCTGGTGCCACAATGAATGCTGCCATTGAAATTGATTCTGATGGTGATAGCGTGGTTGATAGATCACCACAAGAGGATACGACGCGATGTGCGACAAATTCGTCAGTAGCAGCTACAGCCACTGATTATCATCCATTACTCCAACTTGCTTCTGCACGCCCACCTGCTGAACAGCGACATGGAGGCGACGACAATCAAGGATCACAGACCTTTCGTGCCCCCCGCGCCCAAGACAACAGCAAGATTCTAAATGATCTCATGGATAGTGGGTCAGTAGCCCATATTCTCGACCATCGCTTTAACAATGGAAAAGTGACATTCGTCGTAAAGGACCACTACGGTGCCGTGCACAAGGGCATTTTACTTGAGGATCTAAAGGTAGATGCCCCGCTGCTATTGTCCAACTACATTTTAAACAAGGCCAGAGGAAAGCTCGCGGGCAAAGGATTTCGCGAGTGGGCAGTCAAGACGAGGAACCAGTTGGCAAAGAAGGCCATGCGTCACATCGCTACACAAGAACGGGTCATGGCTGGTGAAATGAATGATGGACTACCGGAACCAGATACTGGGACCAACCAACCTGGTGCAAAATCGGTAGGAAGATCTAGCCATGTCCCAATAAGCACTCATGATGACGCCGATGATGCAGAGGAAGCAGAATTTGAAATGAACGCTCCTTCTTCCTGCTCAACTCAATCTTTTGAGAGGATCAGTCCAAATCTTCCACCAGTTCCTGATGATCCGGAGACAAGAGATGATCAAATCCAAACTGAGGATTCACCAGAGCAGTCAATCGGTCCAATTGCAACGCCTAACGTTCAAGAAGAGGGTTCCATCTCGGATATGTCTTCTGGAAATGACGATTTCGAAGACACTCTCGACACTGAAAGCAGCAGTGGGAGTCTGCAAATGACAAGCCAAGGAGGTACAAGCGAGAACGATAAGACATCGATGCAAATTGGCCAGACGAAAACTTCAGTTCCCGATTTGGATGAAGAACTTCTCTTGGAACAAGAGGACGACTCTAGCATCCAAACAGAGCCACGTACGTCAGAAGACCCTCTTGTCGGATCACGTCCAGCGTATACTGCTGCTGAAGTGGCTGTCGAGATTGATGAAGAGGAAGAGGACGACGATGATGTGATTGAAGTTGTCGGTGTCAAGGCTCCACCAAGAATCGAGAATCTATCGCCGCCAACACCGCAGCATCGAACAAGTCCCCTTGCAAAAGAAATGCCACTGGACACGGATGACGACAGCGTGTGCTCTGTCCAATCTGCAAGTCCACCACGTTCTAGTTCCACCCGAAAGCCCTTGGTGGGATCCAGTGGTACTCCCATCGACATTGACGATGATCATGGCGTGATACCTATGGGTAAGAAAATGGACACAACCTTGTGTACTATGAGGGACTTTTGTGCTGCTGGGAAACGAAAAAATGGAACAAAGCGCCCAGTTCCGACCAGCTATTCCTATCCGGAACGCCGTTTTGTCTTTCATCAAACACTACCCAAACGACCTCCCCCCAGCGCACGTCGTCCGACCGCTAGTACGTGGGCCTATGGCATCAGTTGTGATGCTGCAATGAAGGAACAAGAACGACTTTTTCAAGCTTCCGCTGCCAAGATGCGATCTCAAACCAAGGCTCCAACGACCGCTCGCGTTACCACCACCACCTCGGTGGCTCGAAACCAAATCGTTAAGTTTCAACAAGTCGTACCAAACATTGCCCAGAAATATCCATTGCACTGGCAATTTTCGAACCATTTTGCAAGACTGGGAGTGCCGGAAGGATCATCTGGAAGCGTCATCAAGAAGCAGTACCGTCGCTTGGCTTTGATTTATCATCCGGACAAGTCGCAGTTGGCCAATACTGCCACAAAATTTCAAAACATTACGGAGGCCTACAGAGCACTATTGAATCTATGATTTGAGATCACATTGTAAGGTTGTCGTTAATAATACACCCTTTTAATTAAAAATAGTAAGCGCAGAAGAAACCACAATGCAGTGATAATAGAAAGCGGTCACTAGTTGTAATATCTGCTGTAAGGGTAGTGATCCAACTACCGGTACTGGTACTAAAAGTAAGGATCCCAATTTCAGTCATTGGAAAATTCTTCTCTTCTTTGTGTACGATGTTTCAAGTAGGGCAAGGTACGAGAAAAATCCTGGCGCGGGGGGCGATTTTGGGGAATCGTGGTCCAACAGTAATCCCAACGGAGAACATGTGAAGTCGATTAGATCAACACAACCAACACTGATATTCATTCATTCGTTCATTCTTCAAACTTTTATAGCTTGTAATTCACAACAAAAGCTCCAATACCGGCACACTCAAACGCACACGCAATAGTACCATCACAATGGCAACCGATCCAGAAGTCATTGACTTGTGCAGCAGCTCCTCGGAGGAAGATGAGAATGATGCAGCTCCTACGGTCGCCACCAAACAAAGAATTCCAACCGGACCCAGCGTACGGCAGACTCCCACGGATGCCCCCGGACACCATCAATCCTTACCATCGCCAATATCCAAGGCTATTCGAAATTCGACCACAACGACATCGAATGGTGGCAGTGCCGTTACTGCCAAGGATATTGCCAACACCAAACCGCACTGGAACACTTTTTCCAACCGACAAAATGGGAGCGAACGAGCCACTGTCGAACCATCCAGTGCTCATTCACAAATCAGCCCCGATGAACAACAGAGCGCCATTCCTAGCGAGCTGCTTCAAGAAAAAATCGCTCGAAACAAAGACTTCTTCAATGATTCGGACGACGAAGAAATCAACCCGTTTGGAAGCGCTCTGGAGCAAGTAAAGATTGATTTCTTCAAAGAACACTGTTTTGCCTGTCAAGTTCCACTCTGTAATCCGTTTCAGCGCAATGTGGAACGGTCGTGCTATGCCCTCCATTCCCATCCAAATTTACGAGTTCCGGTATGCGTTGTCTGCAGTGACGAAATTGCCAATTTGGAATTGACCAAACACGAGGCGGAAGAAGAGGACAATGAAATTTGTGGACTCTGTGGCTCGAATGCCGAGAAAATGTTCTTGTGCGATGGGAGCGAATGTCGTGCGTCTCGAAGTTCCATTTGCGACCAGTGTGTCCAAAATGCCAATCCTACTTTGGATTTGGAAGAACTGGAAGCTTCGGATCAAGACTGGTATTGCCCTTGCTGCAAACCACCAAACGTCATTTCGCAACTCCGAAACTATCTTGAAGAGTTGCAAACGCGACAGCAGTCATCAACGGGATCCAAGGAGACTCGAATAGAATCGCTGCTGGAAGATCTCCAGTTGGTAGAATCCAAAAAAGCTGAGTGCGAAGAAGCACTGGACGATCAAGAAAGCTACAATATTGAGATTGAATTAGAGTTGACTCGTAGTACTGGATTCGCTTCCTGCAAAAACATTAAAGACCAGGTGCAAGGCGAATTCGATTTGTGGCTGGAAGCACAGCACAAGCACCATGCCCGCCTAGTCGACATGATCACCGTTCTGCACGAGGCCTTGGAGCAAGAGGGCCTGGATCTCAAGGAACATTATTTCAAGGAAGATACTGCCGATAGAAACAATAGCGAGGCTGCAGAAGTGGAGGATTGGAAAATTCAGGCTGACATGGAAATCGCAAAAAGGGCAATGGACGAGGGATTGAAAACATCTTTGACACCTCCTCCACCGCCAACAAGGGATGAGGAGAAAGAGAAGGAGGAACTCGCACTCAAGGAAATAGATGACTTGGGCAGCATTTCGGAATCATCTGATGTGGATATGGTAAACCCATGGCGACAGGCTCCATATCGTGTTCCAGATTGGAAGATCCAAGAAGCAATGGAAGCCGAGGACGAAGAGTTTGCGGCAGCAAAGCGAAAGCTACGAATAGTTTCTGAAAAGGACGATGCGAATGCAGCTGTAACGGAGAGCAAGATAAGTGCCGGTGTCCGAAAAGAGGCCTCCATAGTAGTGCACAAGTGCCAACGCCGACGTCGCAAAGCCTACAGGGGCCAACGCCGACGTCGCAAAGAAGCTCGCAAGAGACGTCGTTCGACAGACGCTTCCTCTGGCAAAGTCAATGTATCAACTGTAGCTAGTAGTTTGTCTAAGACACCAAGCGGTAATGGAAGTATTCGACCAAAACAGAATAAAAGAAAAGCAGTGACAAAAGGACTTCTTCCACTCTCGGACTCGGAATCATCTTCCGAAGAGGAAAACCACCAGTTGGAGCCAAAGAAGCAAGGATTTGGTCATTTGTTTGAGAATTCCGATTTCATCCTAACAACCGATCCGCACCAAGATCCCATTCAAGTTGCGGAAGAACTAGCCAAGATTCTCAAACCACATCAGAAGGAAGGTATTCAGTTCATTTTTCAAAACACCTTTCACGATATTGCCTTTCCCAAGGACAAGCTTACCGAAGATATTGAGGAAAAAGTTGGAGGCTGCATTCTTGCACATAACATGGGTCTTGGGAAGTCGCTTTGTTGCGTCACACTGTTGCATACCCTGTTCTTTCACCCTTCGCTTCAAAACGACGTTGGACAACCAAAGATACGATTTGCCATCCTTGTTGCACCAGTCAATACGATCCGCAACTGGGAAAATGAGCTTGGAAAATGGACGGAGAAACTTGGTACACATATCGACGTTCATTGTGTGTCGAGTGGGGGACACCACAAGCAGGTGATCAGGACTTGGGCCAAGACTGGAGGGGTTCTGTTGATGAGTGATGCGCTCTTCCGCAACAATGTCAAGGTCTCGAAAGAGGAGTTGCAAGATCTTGCCGACGTGATTTTCCTAGACGAAGCTCATACAATGTTGAAGAACAAAAGCAACGCTGTTTTCAAGGCACTAATGGGTGTCAAGACCGCTCGTCGCATCTGCCTCACTGGATCTCCCTTCCAGAATAATCTATTTGAGTACTTTCGAATGGCCAGCTACATCCGACCAGGTGTTCTTGGCAATTCTGAACGTGTGTTTGAGAAGAAATATGTGGTTCCCATACAGGAAGGTGTCTCCACTGATGCAACGGGCGAAGCGAAAAAGAAAGCTGACGAATCCATGAACGAAATCCAAGGAATTCTTGAACCATATGTCCACCGCAAGGATGCTGGGGTGTTACTCGAGGAATTGCCGCCAATGCAACAAGGTATATCTTATTCGATCTGTCTCAGCCACCTATCGATTCCAATTCTCACTTGTGATGTTGTGTTGTGTCTATTCATAGTTGTTTTGCACACTCGTCAAACGAAACTCCAACGTCGGCTGAATGGAGCCTACAAGCGATTCCAGAAATCCAGCGATAAAGACGTGAACAACTTTCTTCACATGTACAATTCATTACGTACTGTTCATAATCATCCTGGTACGTTGCTTTTCCGACAAACCAAGACTCGACCAAAAGAGAAAAAGACTACGGATTCAATGCCAGTACTGGCCACCACCTTGAACAATGATGCCAAATCAGGCAACACAAGCTCTTCCACTGGCCTCGATAATGGACCAACCACAAACGTCAACGAGCTTGAAATACCGAAGATGGTGATCAAGATAGAACCTATGGATAGCAGTTCGATTCACCAACCGATGGAAATGGCTGAAAAGAAGGACCCCGATGATATTAGCATTATTGAGTTGCTCAGCGATTCAGAAGAGGAAGAACCTGAGCCGGACGAGGAGGTCCCAAGTGAAATTGAAACAACACCGCAACGTTGGTGGTCTTCAGTTGCGAACAAGATCAACAACGACGAGATGAGAAAGATTGAGAATGGAAACAAAATCGTCTTGTTGTTGCACATTTTGACACATGCGTACCAACTGAACGAGAAGGTAGTCTTGTTTTCCCAGTGTCTCAAGGTATGCATGGTTTCTTCGATTTATTTTGTTATTTTAAATGCATGTCTCATATGATATTGTCTTTCATCCCGTTTCAGACACTGGACTACATTTCTAGTGTGCTCGCAATCAATGATTGGGGCAAACAGGTTCCTTCATTGGGCGATGCTTTTCCAGGTGTATCCATTGGTGGATGGGAACTTGGCAAACAGTTTTTGCGTATCGATGGAACTACCTCAGCCAATGATCGAGGAAACAGGATAGACAGGTTTGAGGAGGACTCTATCCGACTATTCTTGATCTCTTCCCGTGCTGGGGGAATAGGGATCAATCTTTGCTCTGCAAACAGGGTAAGTAATGATGCTGGAGTGTCTGTCTAGCATTCCTGTTTTCCCTTAGATCCTCAATTGCTGCAGGTTGTGATATTCGATAGTCACTTTAATCCAACAATTGATTTACAAGCGGTGAGTTCAGCTGCTGAATGTGACAACCGTCACCATACTTCGCTCAGTGCTTGTTTTTTAGTTGTACCGCTGCTATCGCTATGGGCAGCAGCGCAGTGTTTTTGCATACCGATTTTTGACAGAAGGAACCATAGAAGGAAAGGTTTACTCCAGAGCTGTAAACAAAGCAAGTCTGGGGCTTTCCTTAGTTGATGGCAAATCCTTCCAACGCTTGTTTTCTGCGAAAGAAACAGAAGACTTCGCAAAGACAGACAGTTGGGCGTGCTGTAATAGGTGTGAGAAGGTACGTTTTCTATTTTTTAAACGTGCTGCTTCTGTTCTTGAACTGACCTAACCCCAACCCTAACTCGACAACTCCAAACAAAGTGGCGGATGTTCCCACCTCAGGAAAATGTTGATGTGACAAGTCTTCCAGACAAGGTGAGCTACAGCTGTGCATTCTTGCCTTTCTAGTCCACGCTTTCGCCTAACTCTATAGTCCCGACTACCACCCAAGTGGTATTGTGAGGAAATGAACGATGTTGATAAGAGTACGAAGATCGATTGCACATTCCCAGAAAGGGATGAGATCTGGTATTGGAACCATTATGGGCTTTCAAACGAAACAAAGGAAAACAAGAGCACTACTGGTCCAATCGTTGCAATGTCTGGCAGTGCAAAAGCGTTGTCCGACGATACGAAGGAAGCTTTGGTGGCCCGAGACGAAATCCTCAAGGGTTTGCTAAACGTGACTGGAGGGAAAAAGTCTATTGTTTCTCGCTACTATTTTCATGATGCACTTATTGACCAAGATAATGCAAAGAAAGCTGGGTCCGAATCAGAAGACCGAAGTCCACAACGTATGGATCAAGATGCTATGACCGAAGGAGTCGGACTAAGTGAACAAGCTGACGCAAAGAAAGCCAAGCACGCGGTAGAACTTCAAAGTTCACCACCAATTGGGCAAGATTCCATTTCTAAAAGATCCAAGCCAAATGATCAGAAAACGGCACCAGGGAGTACACCGCGAACAAAAGAGAGGAACAGTTCGGAAGCCACTCCAAACAAGAAGAGATCTTCCCCTCGCTCTTCAAAGACTTCAAATTCGAAAAGACAGAAGAGAAAAGTTGTCTTCAGTTCACTATGGTCAGGCTTTGATTCGGACAGCTAGCGAGTTGATTGATCGCTCTAGCCACGCCCCCTTCTCCGTTCATTCATTCTCCGCATGCATAATTCCCTTGTATTATTACCTCACAGTATCCCATTGCGTAGGAAGTGGTAGAGGACAGCTGGATCTGGCGATGCGTTCCACAAAACTAATGCCCAAAGATTGCGATCTACGGAGTCTTGTTCTTGCAAAAGTCTTCGCCCTGCCTTGTTCACTCGTATCCAATATTGTATTTGCCCACTTAAAGCCGACTGTCCTTGGCAGCTTTTTGGAATGTGAAGATGCCACAAAGAAGTGTTGCGACCACTGATGCATGACAGAAGGTGCCGAAGGCCACAATCGGTGATGCGTTGACAGCCACGCAAATCCAATTCTCGCAGCTTTGTATTCCATGACAATCCACGAGAGATTTGTTGAACCTCGCTGTCTCCAATCAAGTTGAAACTAATGTCTAAGCTATCAAGCTGTAAGTGGGGGAGAAAGGTTTCAATTGCATTGCACTCCAGTATGCAATTGCAACTCAAGTTTAGATGCTTGAGGCCATGACCACAAGCAACCAAGGCACCAAGTATAGCTTCTGCTCCTTTCGAGCCAATTCGGTTCCATTTTAGATCTAGACTTTGCAGATTTGGATTCAAGTGTATCCATTTCGCTAGCTCTAATGCTCCGCCGTCCGCAAAGAATCGAAGAGTAAGGGACGTGAGATGTTTCATAGAACAAAGAATCGGCATCACTGCTTCAACTACATCAAGTTGACTTCGGAGGTCTAAGTCAAGTGATCTTATCGAGCTAGGAAGCGAAGATATTATCGACAGCATGGTTTTGGAATCTTCGAACACAGGACCGATAGAGAGTTCAGTCAACGACGGTGACAGTCCTGTTGACAACCGTCGCGCATGTTCTCGACGCATCGACTTATGTCGTAGGTTCAATCTATTTCTAGGCGATTTGAAGTATGTTTCTTCTGCCTGCGAATAACAACTGTGCTTTGCTTCAGTTGCTGGTAAGTCTAGTGCACATTGCCTAGATATCGTCTTGGGGAGCATCTTCTAATTTTGTGGGTCACTACGACAACATATTCTGTGAACCGATGATTTGATTACTTTCCACAACGTGAAGTCGCGCCAGAAATAGCCGGCAAACGATGCTGTTTCGCTAAGTATTTTTCCGTTGGCCGTCGTGATCGTATCGAACGTTATGGTCACTTAGAAGTCACTGAATTTAGGTCAAATCTTGGATAAACATTAGTGGCGGCAAAAATTCAACAAACGTTATTACTAGTAAAAAGCGAAAATACAGGCCAGCCAATGGCAGACTGAATATAAAAATCAAAGTTTACAAGTGTGCTATAAATTGCATCTGGTAGATACCCAAAACTGATGATTTGTCCCTTCACCACTGTTCAGTGTCATCAGCACCTCGTGATGGGCTCTGCCACCAACTTGGAATGTCTTCTTCTTTTGACCAGCTCCGTCCAGCATTTTCAGATCCAAACATATGACCGATCCGTTGAATGAGCGAAAAGACTGCATCGCCTGGACTTGCGCTCAGCTTCATTCCAGCTGTGTGTAGCAGTCCAAACACGGCTGCTTTCCCCTGCGTATTCCCCTCGTGTCTGTCGACTACAGCCCCAACTTGTTCGTATACAATTTTGCCTTCAGGATTGAATACAACAGAAAATACAGACACTGGGGTCTCCATTTCTTTTCCCGTCGCTGGATAATGTTGTCCAAAAGAGTCCATGTCTCCAGTGTGTGTTGCTCTCCATCGCTGAAAATAGAAGCATCGATATGGGTTCTCTGGATCAATGGTAAATCCAAAGTTTTCTACTTCCAGATCAGGGAAAGCCTCCAAAATGCCCAGTCCGTCTCGATTTCCATCCAAGTCTTGTCTGGTCATGGGTCCAATAACTGGCCCACGAAGAACGTAGTCTGGCGCATACCATCCATCAAGATTGTCCACCTTCCCTTGACTCGCAACGTACTCCTTCGTCGATGCCAAAACATCAAAGGTAGGATTGGAATCAAATTTGAGGTATTCAAACATTGGTGATTTGGATTTTACATTCGTTGATTGTGGCGTTGACGCCGATAAACCAAGCACGACCTGTGCGTACAAAGCGAAAAGCAATGCACCCAACAGCATCCTCTTGCAAGTCTTCATCATTATTATCGCTCGTCTGACAATCGCAATTAAACTTGGTTCAACGAATATTTCAATGAATATATGGGAGGCGATGAAGCGCTTTCGATTATTTGGTTGGTTCGTTGCCTCTTTCTTTCAATGCCCTCAACAATAGCAACCTCTGATTTGGCAAAGACGAAATGAATATTGATATGTGTTTTGTGACTTGCATGACTTGCATCCAGACTTCCCGGAAGATGGACAGACGACAGAAAGAAAATGATGACGAGCGTCAGCGCAGATTCAAGAAGAAAGTTCGTGATGTGGGGGCAATGAAAATTCAAATCGAACAAGATTGGTACTTCATTATTCAAAACTACCTGTTCAAGTTGAGTCGCTCTGCGAGAGTCACATACGAGCTCTTGAAGCTGACCGCATTCACCTTACCGGTACATCACCGAAAATATTACGAGAACAGTGTGTCTGGCATAGCAAAGCTATGATCTCTTTGACTGTTTCAACCTTTGACCATGCTGCTGATGTCAGCGACTATGATGAGAATGCCATTCCAAATGATGAACAACTGGCATCGTCAACTAGGGCTGCTTTGAAAGAGAGCATCATTCAAGTTTCTTTTGCCGAACAAACCGCATCCGAAATGAGGCAAATCTTGAGTGATTGGAATTCGGCAGCGATCATCATTCCAGACAAACGTCATCGACAACCCATGCGTCGAAACTCGCTTGTGCTGATGGACGTAGCGGAAGAAGGGCACAAGGGAAGAAGACTCTCCGTTCCTTCACCGATGAAGGGGAAGACTGACGTTCCGTCTCCCACGTATACCCTACAAACAGAGCTGATGGACAGTGAATCTGAGATGACTGAGGAATCGTACTTGAACGAATCCATACGAGTCGATGACTCATTTGTTTGCGATGAAGATGATTCGCCCCAAATATCCTTTCTCCCGAGTTCGGATGTGTTGCAACAGAGCGCAGCAGTCGTGTCCATAGTTCGAAACACTAAGAGGCAAATCTCGGAAGTGGACCGAACAATGCATGCAACAAGATACGATCCAGTTATGGTTGAATTGCAAAGCAGCCATTTATTGCTGAAAATCAACGATGATTTCAGCAAACAAGATAAAGTTTCGCAGCATCATTATCAGGCACGGGAGAGCCTACCGTCACCCACAAACCAAACGGCAATCGAGAATCAAAGAGCTGGAACAAAAAAGGAGAAACGCCGAAGAAGACAACATCTTTTGACCTACGTTGTCATCCCAATTGCACTCTCAGTTGTGGCCGCCAAGCTATTGATGGCATATTCTGAAGCCGAGGAGGAAGGTCAATGACTGGGTTCTGGATAACCATTCTCTCTTTCCTTTGTCTTTGGAACGACCAATAAAGAACTTTCGTAATGTATATTTAGAGCAATTATGTTGCATTTTATGAATGCACTTTTTATCTAGTTCTACCTGTAAAATGGGTAATTAGCATGCCATCGTCTCGCGTGAGAGATGGCACACCGCAAAGTAAACTTTTAGTTGAACCACTCGTATGCTCCTCCCATGTAGTTGACAAGTTTGGTATATCCATGTTGGGCTGCGAAGCGGGCTGCATGAACACCTGAAAGAACAAACACCAGAATGATATCAGTCAAAGAACAATAAAAACATGTCGGTGTAACTGTAAAAATGTGTCACTTACTGCGGATTCCTGCCGCACAAGAAAAGACAAGAGCTACAAATGGTGGAAAAAAGGAATTTGGAAGGAACAAATGTTGTGAGTGGTTTGTGACGACTGATTCGTCTCAGAAAAGTCATAACCGGGTACGATACGCCAGCCTCCTCCTTGTATGAAATCAAACAAAATTTCACTACCGTACTCACTTTCATCTGGAGTTGGCTTCTGGAATCCATAGATTTCTTCAAATTCGAATTCGTCTAGTGAGAAAGCATCATATTGCGCAACCTTTTGAAGTGGAAATGTGATTGTGTTTGGCGAAAGCTTCCCGGTGGACGCAATCTCATGTTCTTCTCTCACATCCATGATAAGGTACCCAGATTCTTCTCTTCCACCCTTTTCATAATCTTCAACGATCTCCTCCATCTCGTCCTTATCAATATTTGTAAGCGTGGGTCCACCTCCTACTGCACTAGAAAATAGTCTCGTGGAGGATGATCGAGACCGACTGCTGACGTTTCTAATGGCAGCAGGAGTTTCTTGACCAAGGAGTGAGGACGCAGGTTGTCGCGAAACGCAAGCTGGGGCCTTTGTTGAGAAAGCGCTGCCTCGCACAATGATTTGGCTGCCAAGAAATGCAAGTTTCGAAAGCTTCATACTATGGTCTATTGTCGTGCTGAGAGAACTAATTGCTTGCATCAACTTTGTGTGATGATGTGAACGGTCTGAACCTTATTCGAACCAGTCGATTAGACAGGTCCAGTACTTCCATCGACGTAGCAAATGATGTAGAAATGCCAGATCGCACAAGATGCTTCGACCATGGTCAGATTTGTGAATGCTACAGTCCAAACAACAAGGCCCACAATATAGAACGACATAATGTCAAAAGCAACGAGCAACGGTCAACAGCTATGGAACAAAGTCCCAAAGGCAAATGCAGAACTATTTGCCTTGACGTACGGCGCGCTGGTCACAGAAGTGGTTCGAGATGCAGATGAAAACCTGGCAACCGTGAATGAAAAGCTTGAGAAGATTGGATACTCGATCGGGATTCGGTGTGTGGACGAATTCTTGGCCAAGTCAAATTCACCTTACTGTAAAACACTGGCCGAAACTGCTGAAGTGTTGGGGAAGACAGCATTTCGAATGTTTTTGGGTATTGTTGTGGATGTGGTGCAACACTCTCCCTCCAGTTTTTCTCTGAATTTCCAAGACAATCCCCTGAGTCTGTTTGTCGAGCTACCAGAAAACTACAAGGAATTGGAATACAGTATTCTGTACTGTGGGGTTATTCGAGGGGCTCTGGAAATGCTGAATTACAAGGTCGACTGCCAGTTTGTCAAGTCGCCTTTGAAGGGAGATGATACCCATGAAATCAAGGTCGATGTGAAGCAAGTAATGTCAGACGGAGCTGGTGAAGATTACCAAGAAGAATAGGCACAACCGTAGAACTTGGACCAATGTAAATAGATACTGAATAACTTTTGATCATAGATCATAGGCCAATCCAGATTTCTCGTGGATGCCTAAGTAGTGGGGGGGGGGGGGTTGCCATAGCATTGTCTACCATAGTATCTTCATCCAACAGTAACTCCTATGTCTCGGTTGCCCAGTATTAATTTATGATAAGGGTGTGTTATTGAAATTACAGAAAGCCCGCCGACAGTGCCTGGTACTCCTCGACTCAAAGCTGAGTAGGAAGTGGCGAAACAGAGAATCGGATGTTAACCATCTATTTTTGACTCCTGACAAACGACACATCTACACACTACCGGTACACACAACAACAAAGTCCACACGATGGATTCCTCATCACTTTCACAGAATAAGCCACTCCTGAACATGACGCTATGTCACGATAAATGCTCCACAGAATGCAAGACTTACCTGACTCCCGTTAGCGAATGTTTCAACTCGGCAAAACTCTTTCCAAGTGATCCAAGTTGGAGTGGCATGGACGTGTTCGATACAGTCATATGTCAGACATTGACACGGCGCATATTTCCAAGCTCTGATGGTTCTTGCTCTTCTTCTAACTCCTCAGATACTGACAAATTCTTAATCCCCCTGTTCGAGTGCGTCGGGCCATTCGGCCAACCTAGGCCATGGGGCACATTTTCACTATTTCGAGAGGATGGTCTGGATGACACGATTGAAACACTGTGTTAGGCTTGTGTGCAAGGGGATAACAGGAAGGGGGGCGAGGGTGACTTGGAAATATTTGTGGCGGTTATAGCTGAAAAATAATCAGCCAGCCGAGTATCTACTAGCATCAATTCCATCCATTGCATGAAACGCGTTGCAACGAAATCTATCATTTATCCATCCAACTTTTCTATGTCTATATCGCCGCTGTGGCTGCTTTAGCAGATGCGGCCTTCTTCCCCTGCACTTCTGACACAGCTTCGGCATAATCGGATTGAATCTCGGGATTGAAGCATGCTGTCAAATACCTGCATGCATTAGGATTCGTAAACGGACAGGTATCGGGACGACACTTTTCATCCTCAAAGTTACTGATGAGACATTCGTCCATCAATCCACAGAATGGCTCCAACTCTGCCACGCCCGAAAGAATATCTTGTTCTAATGTCGGCGATGCCAACATTTCTTCGATAGTTTGTCCTTGGGCTTCCAACTTTGTCACGAGGTCAAAGGCAACATCCTTGGATACTCGCTGGCAATAATCAAGTGACGTTTGCACGACGCAAGTAAACAAAATTAGATCTTCCGTCTTGTCATCGTCCTTCACGTTTGCCCAAACGTTATGTTCTTTCATGACAACGTAGGGATCCTTTTCAAGAGTACTACTCTTGACTGGGTTAAGCATAACATCCAAAAATGCATCTCCTCGTACTGCAAGCTTTTCCAACTGTTCTGAGTTCTTTGCCAAGGCTTCGACTTGCTGTTCCAAAGCTTTTGTTTTGGCGCTGTCCACACCAGATGCTTGGGCGCCTCCTCCTGCACTTGAACCACCTCCTCCAGCGGCTGCATTGGGAACACCCACGGGGAGGGGATTATTGGGAGTCTTATGGGGCAGCAGAAAGTTTCGGAGCCGCTTGCCAAACCCTTGCGTCGTCCATAGGTGCCAATTCGAGAGAGCTTGCATGGTTCGAATCCAATCCATAATAGCATCTCCGTACTTCCAGTTGCCCTGGAATTTGACGGTGTTGCTAACAGGTGCTTCACCCATTCTCCCAGCACTACGATTTTTTCCAAAGATTTTCTTGGTAATGGGATCCGTGTCATGGTATGGGCCAGATCCAACAAACATGAGGGTTGGATAGGCGTCGACATTCAAGGCCTTGCACAATTCAATGTGGGCATTGTTCATTTCGCAGTCAAAAAGTGCCATCACCAAGCGCGATCCAGTGTTTCCGGCGTCGAGAATTGTGGCGATTCGATCCCAGTATGGGGCCAAGGCATGAGAATTGTGATCCCATTGGGCATAAAACATAATGGCGACATCGTGACCTCGGTAGTCGTCCAAATAGTAGGCTAGGGTATCACTGTCCCAGTGATCCAAATTGCGTTCCCGGCGGACGGTGGTCGTCTTGGTCTCCACACTGTAACTTTGTTGATTTGCGCCGTATCCGAGAGCAGACACTGATGTCTGAAATATACAACAATAGGATGCTGCGAGGAAAGTCAATGCTAGTCTGTGATACATTTTGTGAATTGATTTGAGCTGGTTGGGATTCTATGGAGTTGCTGATTGAATATTATGTCGCCTTGTTGAGTCTTTTGTGGCTTGGTTTGTTGGTCTCTTTGCCTCTGCCAATCTGATACTGTATATCTTGTTGGTTTTCACTTGGATGTGGTTGTTGCGATGTTTTCTTCCACGTGGATTGATGTTTCGTGATTTGATTGAATTCGATTCCCAGGACTAATCCAGTCATGATAGGAGTTTAAGTCATGAATGGAAAGACAAACGTCATATATCCGGGTTGTGATTCCAAGTCAGCTACTTTCTTCAAAAGGAAAAATTTGAATCCAACACAACCAACCATAGCATCGTACATGTACGATACTGTCACTTGGACAATTGTAACAGCAATTACATTAAGAATTGAACCATAATCATCACATATTCGGAGCCATGGTGTCTATCAATGGTGTATCAGCATTGCTGCTAGTATTGCTCCATGTTTTCAATGTCGCGTCTGGGTTTTCATCGTGGTCTTCCAGCCCTCAGGTTGTTGGGATGAAAAGATCTAATCCAATCCCAAGGTTACCATGTCTCCAGACAACAGGATCAACGTTTTCCCCACTTCGGCAACAAATGTCAACCAGGAATGTCGGTGAGCTGGAAAGCGAAGGAGAAAATCCATCATCAAAGACACCAATGACACCCAAAGATGGTTCTGTCAACATGACCACAGAGAATGATTCGACACTGCCTTCCTATAGGAAACTAGCGGCATTCATTGGTACTACAGTTATCATTTGGCTTTCCGAACCATTGTTGAGCTTGGTGGATACCACGGTTGTCAGCATGACCAGTCAACCAGCGTCGGCCATTCTTCAAATCGCGGCACTCGGTCCGGCTACCATCCTTTACGATTCCGAAATTTACACTACCTACTTTTTGGCCATGTCTACAACTAATCTCCTGGCACCCATATTGGCAAACAAGGACTGGAGGCAACTGCGAAAAGCAACGTCGAATCTCTTGGGCTTATCTGCGCTCCTTGGAAGCTTGATTACGGTCATCAACTTTACAATGGGAAAAAGCATCCTTGCTGGAATGGTGGGAACAGTAGCCGAACCTGCGATGCTCCCACTGGCCACCAATTATGTATTGATTCGATCTCTTGTAGCCCCATGCGTCATCCTGCAGCACGTTTCTCAGGCCTTTTGCTTGACGACCATGAACACCAAAACTCCTGCCATCGCGGTTCTGGTGGCATCCATTGTCAACGTTGTTGGAGATTTATTGCTGTCCCCGAAACTAGGGATACAAGGGGCTGCTATTGCAACAGCGTTTGCTTCTCTGTCGTCATGTCTCATCTTGCTTGACCGAGTGCGCAAGGTAACCAACGAATGGAAACAAAACCAAGGAGCCGAAGAACAAGAAACATCACCTCTGGTAACATCATCCAACACTGAATCATCGTCAGACGATATCCCATTCTGGTCTCTGCCAGACAAGAAATCATTGAAGGATCTATTGCTACTTGCAGGGCCCATCTTTTTTGTAATGATGGGCAAAGTTGGCTGCTACTCGGCATTAACCTTACGAGCGACCGGCCTTAGCGTTATCAACTTGGCAACCCACAATATTATGATGCGCATATTCTTCTTCTTTTCTTGCTTTGGCGATTCACTTGGCCAGGCTGCTCAGTCATTCTTTCCGCAGGTGGCGAAAACTGACAGAAAGAAGCTGATTCAAAGATTACTTGGAGCAGCCACCATTGTTGGTCTCGCCAACTGCCTTTCGTCCAGCCTAATCTTGACTAGGTTTAATGGATTTTTGACCAAGGAAGTTGCGATGTCTCAACTCATGAAACAGTTTGCATCATACGTCTGTGTCACGGAATTGATGCACCCATTCGTCATGCTAATGGAAGGATTGGTCCTAGCGAAACGTGATTTGAAGTTTTTAGTGGCGCTCTATTTCTCCACTTCGGTCGCTCATCTTGGATTTGTCTTCTCCAAGTGGGGATCAAGTTTTGGTGGATTGTGGCAAGCCTTGCTATGCTTCCAAAGTCTTCGTTTTGGTCAGTTTGCAATTCGAGCGATACAACAATCGCGAAAAGAAAAGGTCGCCATGGAAGTTGTGTGATATGATGGTCCAGTTGCAATGTGATCATGGCAGTCCACCTTTCAGCATCTGGTCAATGTGGACACTCGAAATGCTCATCTTTTCGTTCAGATCAAAACACTTTCCAAATGTGAACCTATGATCCCTCACCCTTGACCCTGCATTGTTGGTGCGTGGAGCGTCATCTTTCAACGGCGCTTTCTTGAAGACCAATGCGATTTCTCCATCGTCCTTTTGTTCGACTGGCAACCCAAAATCCCGAGCGTGGTCCAAATTCCATTCGGTTGGATCTATTGATAACAGCCTTGGCACACTTGTTATTTGCTCCTCCTTGGCAAAGCTCTTGTTGTAATGCTGAATCGTCCTGTATCTCCAAAGAGATAGATTAGGTTCGATGCAACACTTGAATAAAATAGACATGGGTTGCGACGCGAGACCTGCTGTAATATTGTCCATCTTTTTCCATGCTGCATAGTATTCATAGCGAACGAGGTGAGACGAAAGGATTAATACTTGACTCCATAGTGAATGATGTGCGATCTTTCTCGTCGTGGAGAGTTTGGAAAAATCCAAAAGAATACTGTTGCAGCTCAAATCGTCGGCCTGGCCAATTCGTTTACCCACTTGTCGTTCCTGTTGTTGCGATACGTGCAGGAGAGCTGACCAACACAACATTTCATCGTCCATTCGTTCATGCAATTTTTCATCGGCATCAGATAGCCCCTCTAGCCCCTGCCCTTGACCCCAATACGACTCCATCGCAGTTCCAATCATGGTATTAATAGTTCGCTGAAGCCATGACGAATCACCATCCAGGGAATAGGTCCAATACCGAATCCAAATCAGCATTCGAACCAATTGAACGTGCCAATCCCTTGAAACACCAGCATTGCTCGAGGACAATCGTGTCGCATCTGCTTGAATTGCCCGCAAACGATCGACCAGAAATTCTGCCCAGTCTAAAAGATTGTTAATAGGTGGATGTTCTGGTGAAGCTTGATGGCGAGCACAGATTCGCTGAAGATGGGACAGGGTTCGTTCTAGGACTTGCGCTGGCTTGACGGTATGAGAGGTACCAGCTGCCGAGCGCTTGAATTTGGATACGGCTAGGCAAGGATCTAGTTTTCGTTGTGCTTGAGGTAACGAGCAGGTTTCCAGTGTTGCTTCCAACTCGTGTACTTGCTTCAGTTCCTGTCGTTCGTCGCATTCCTCTCTTGGGCAATATTGGTATGCTCCCATTAGTGCTTCGTCTTGATTTGATACATTTTTGCTAGTATCCATCCTTTCAGTTGATTCTTTTGGTTCTATTGTATAGGATCTGGAAGCAACGGATACATTTTGACGGTTGTCATTCTCTTGATGATTCCTCCCGCTTCGATTGTTCTTGTTTTGGGAGCGACCGCCACGTCCTCTTCCTCGACCGCCTCGTCCTCTACCACCCCTTCCCCTACCACGACCACCTCGTCCTGGACCTTTCTGAGAGCCACGACCACCAGTCGAACGGCCTTTGGAGTTGGAGTTCTCTGAAGATCCTCGGCCTTGGCTCATGCTCATGATGCTGTTCGTCTCTATAGTAGTTTCGAAGCTACAGGAGTCTGCAAAGTGATATCAGGGTCCTGTCATATCTCCTGTCGTTTCAGATGTCAATAAGCAATGCCATGAGGCGACTAGTCCGACCCCTATTGGAAATTGCATCTTTGGAAGTCTGATAACCACTATCCATTCACCACTTGCAGCCACGACAATGGTGGCCCTTCCAGACTGAATCAATTCGCGGCGGGAGCTCAAAGTCTCGAGACTTTTCATTTCTTGTCCCTCCTACCTGTTGCCTGAAAGAGAATAACTCGGACGTAAATTGATAGCTGAAACAACGAATGAACGACAAAAACGATTTACAATGATACAGTACAGTACAGTACTTTGAATAAGAATTGTATTCTATATTTTATCTTGTATTGTATTGTAACAGGTTTAGCTTCTAGAGATGGATGTGACGTGTGGGTTTAGTACTCAAAAAAGGCCAACATTCCACATGTGCGAACATGGTGAAAGAATCGATGATTGTGCGAGGCCAGTTTGTAATTATGTCCATAGAGCATCACTCCACCATGATAAGGTTTGCGGGGGGTAGTCCAGCAGGGATGGTAACGGATTCCAAGCAGAATATCGAACAACATGTCGGATTCTTCTGGGGCGTTCCGCCAGTTCTTGCCTTCATAGTACCTCTCGACACTGTTTCGCTTGGCATGGAGACCGATCTCAAAGCTGGAGCGCCACATTGCCCTGTGCTCTTCTTTGCTGTAGGAAGAGTGGTGCTGGATAAAGCAGACTCGGACGCTTTCGTTGAAATGAACTTTGCGTCTGCGCTTGGAACGACGAAGCCTTTTCGAAGGAGGAGCATCCGTCACACTGCTACAGCTCCGCTTCGCAATGTCGAGCATTGGAGCATCCATCGCACTACTACAGCTTCTCTTTAGGACGAAATCATTCGAATTTGCGAGCATCGGAGTATCCATTGCACTACTACAGCTCCTCTTCATCAGGAAATCAGTCGCATGAGCAAGCTTTTCCAAGTCATGGAAGAGTCCAGGGCGAACAACTCGGTTGGATTGAATGGCATTGGTTGTTCTGCTGTTATTGTTTCCCATTGTAAGCACTTGTCAGTTTGTTAAAGTAGATGGTGATATTCAGCAACAGAAAGTCCGCCGACTGGTTTGTGTGGGTGTGGGCTCAGCCATGATGGTTGAGGGTGCATCGTGTTGGAAACACGACGATGGGAAGAGGTGATTTTGATTTTGATGCGATTTTTGAAGTGGTTGATTTATTCGACTCCAAAAGGTTCCGAATTTTGGCGATGAAACGATGACGGTTTGCGTTTCTCACGTGGTTCTCGTTACTCGAGAAATGAAAACCGTTTTTACCACCACCAGGTTCTCCTTGATTTGAGTTGATACTATCATCGTTCTCCTACTCGTAGACGGAATCGAAACCAATAGAAAGAATGGGGAAGATGCCAATTGCATGGTTCATATTAAAATAAGATTGTCTTGGTTTGAAATGTTAGCAATCCTTGTAGGCTAGAAGTTTCATACCGTTCATAATGAAAGTCATACGGTTGATAATGAAAGGAAAAAGCAATTCAGTTGGTTCATAATTGTTCCCTAGGTTAAATTTACAAGTCTTCTCCTTGTGCAAAGTTCCCACCGATCTTAGCATGAGGCCGTCTCCTCGTAGTCAGAGGAATATTCGTCGTCAAAGGAATCCTCCTCATCATCATCAACCCAACATGGGTGGATCAACTGACCGGTCTCTTCATCCACGTACATATCGTCCTCCTCGACAACTTTTCGCCAATCTTCTCCCTCAGTGTAGAATTCCACATGATTGCGCTTTGCATTCATCTTAATCTCTTTCCTACCACGCCAGATACGACTTTTATCCTGGGATGAGTACTCGTGACGAGATGGGATTTCATAAACCTTGACTTCTTCTGAGAAACTGAGCTTGGCCCGTTTCGAACAGGTTTTGGTTCTCTTGCGACCCTTGAGGCATCCATGCGCCGATGGTTGGTGCCAAAGCTTCATTCTCTTTGATCTATTGATACAGTATGTGTTTTCAGAAGTTTCTTTCTTTTCAATGTAGTTGGATGCCATGCTGAGGAGCGCAAGATTGCAAAACGAGTCAGAGATGGTGTCAAAGACCTTGTTGATTTGGTTGGTGGATCTGTTGGTTTGGGTGTTCATGTTTGAGTAGCGATTTCGTGTTATAAAGAGTTGTGTGATGTTAGGAGGTGCAACCAAAAGTTATGACAATTTTTATGGCTGTGGAGGAACACATGATGATCGAAAGTGGCATCGTGTTTTCAACACGATCGGTTGTGTGATGTGTGATGGATTTAGATCAAGATCTCTCAAAACATCAAAAACGACGGTCCGTCCATCATCGGTAGCGGATCTTGCCTCATCCCGTCTGCCCTCACCCCCGTTGCCTCCGACCGTACCTGGTACCTCCAACGAGACAAGAGGAAGAAGAATCATGTTGTCATTCCAAAAGAGTCTACCCTAGATCACATAGCATGTCAAAGGTCAAGATATTACTGGTTGGTTCCGTCGGGGAGAACTTTAATGTGTTATCCAAGAAGGTTAACTCGTTGAACTCAAGCAAGGCTGGTCCATTCGACGTCTGCTTCTGTGTTGGTCCAATCCAAGTTCCAAAAGATTTGGATTCCGATCTACCGTTGCCAGTTTATCTGCAAGATTATCAGCCAGACAAAGACGCCGCACAAGAGAAATCGTCAAACGGTATTGTGTCGTTGGGTAAAAATCTGTGGACATTCCAAAGAACCAACGACAGCAAGTCATTCGAATCGTATGACGTTAAGTTATCCAACCACTCCCATCCTTTGATTGTTGCATCATGTTCCCGACACATCAGATCAGATGACCTATCCAACAAAGACCAACCGCAGTGTGATATATTACTGTCTTCGGATTGGCCACAGGGCATGGAAGATGTTGTGAATGTAGATACAGAACCTCTGAGTTTCGATTTGGCCCAGGTCGCATTGCTCCATCGACCAAGATATCATGTCGCTCCGTCGACCAAGTTCTACCATGCATCTCCTCCTTACAACTTTCCCAGTAGCACCCACGTTTGCCGATTTTTGGCGTTGGCACCAGTGATTCAAGAGAAACCTTCAAAGACAACGAAGTTTGTGCACGCGATTGGATTGGTGCCGCTGAAGGCCAATCCCCCACCTACAACCGCACCATCGACGCTTCCCTGTCCATTTATTTCGACGACAAGCCCCGTCATCACCAATAACAAAGCATCTACAAAGTTCAATACAAGCTCCAACTCAAATTCCAATGACTTTCGATTTAACCTTGGTGGAAACAAACGAGGTCGCAATGGTGAGGGTGGTGACGCTGAGGGCAACGCAGAAAACAACCTAGAACCACCGGATGATCCTGAGGTCAATACACTCTTCTTGTATGGGCTACACAGGGATGTCACTGGGGAGTTGCAATCTACAGAGTCATCAAAAGTCTTGACTGCCTTTTCCAAATATGGCGTCACCAGGGTTCGTCATCCCCCAAACAGCCGAACGACTACCTATTGCTTTTTGGAATTCGAAGACCAAAAGAAGGCTTTGGCGTGCATTTTGGATTGTAGCGGAAAGTATACTATTGATGGCGTGGAACTGACACTCAAATGGGCGACGCAAAACAACCGAAAGAAACAACGGCAAGAACCACAATATCACTTTGTCACACAAGCTGAGGCACCAAACTCGACAACTCTATACTTCCATCCACCAAAGAAAACAGATGACAATGAAGCTTTGGACGAATCCTTCTTCAAGGACGTGTGTACATACATGCAAAATACATTGGAGGACGCTTTGAACGAAGGGAACGAGGAAGATGATCGGGTCACTGCGGAAACTGAGCCGGCATTGAAAGTCGAGCTACGGCCGAAAGAAACCTTTGCGTTTTTGGAGTTCTCATCCCATGCGGCTGCAACAATGGCGCTAGCAGCTGTGACAAACAGCACAGATGGGGGGCTTCTTCTGGAGGAACCAACAAACGCTTCGAAACCAGCAGCAAATCTTGTTGGTACTACTCTCCGATGGGCCAAGGGGGAACCAAAGCAAACAGGACGGGAAAAGATATTGGAAGCTCTTGGCTTGGAACGACAGCACTATCCCGCAGATTCAAGAACTGATTGCTGGTTCTGCCTGTCTTCGCCAACGTGTGAGACACACCTCATTGTTGGTGTGTATCAGCAATGGTATGCAACCATGCCAAAAGGACCTCTACACCCTGGCCATGTTCTATTGGTACCGGTGGAGCATACAAACAGAGGGGCATGGAGTTTGGAAACAGACGAATGGATGGCTCTTGTGACCAAATTGAAACTTCATGCTGATCAGACATATGATATGGATCTCTTTATCTTTGAGCGTGCGATGGATACAAAAGGCGGATATCACAGCCACATTCAATGTGTTCCAATCCCAAAGACGTGTACGAGTAAGCTACGGGCCACCATGATGGCCCATTCTAAAGCGAGTGGATTCACTCTGAGACCTATTGAATCCGACTTGGGTATTGAAACTATGGTTTCTGCTGATGATTCCTATTTCTACGCAGAGATTGTTACGCAATCTCACAGCCATCGTTTCCTGTACAAGCACAATGACGATGCGCCGAGGTCGGCTGTCCCGCTTCAATTCGCTCGAGAAGTCTTGGCATCAGTTTTGAAGGAGCCAAAACTTGCTCACTGGAAGTCATGCGTTCTTGAGAAAGAAAAGGAAAGCGAAATGGCATCAGAACTCCGAAGCAGTTTCAGCCCAATGATGTCGTAGACCTGCATTTGACCATTCTACAACGTTGAATGGCAAGTTCTAATGTTTCGCTTGTGACGAATGTCATACAAAGGGGAAGGTGTAATAAGCTGATAGGGAACGCATGGGCAATTTAGAGATCTTCTACTTCAGGAGGTTCCTCCCGATGCGGTGAAGATGGCTGCTCTTGCAATTCTATATCTTCGTCTGATTCGTTGCCATCGGCAGCAGCTGCAGCAGCATTTGTTTGTTCTCGATTTGCTATCGACTCCATGTGACAGCTAGTAAAGATGAGTATACTGAGAATGAATGTTACCCAAGTAGCAAAGTACAGGTTTCCAACCGAGCTACCAGGTCCCTCTCCAGCAGTAACATAAGCTATCGCGAAACAAGAAATGACCACCATAACCAGAGCAGCATTCCATTCGTAAAGGAGTTTCAATGGTCCTGATTTCAATGTAATACCAGTCACCGCCCCTGCGAATATTGTACCCACTACTCCAGTAGCAATTGCTAGCTTTGTTTGAGTGCATTTTGGTGCCATACTCATGGAATCTGAATTACATGACTCGGCTAGGAAAGCGCGAACTGAAGCCGTCAGCACAATCATAGACGAGAATACCATCATGTACCACTTTCCTGCCCTTGTCTTCACAAGGGGCGACACCCGCCCTGCAATGTCAACACCGTACATTTCCTGACCTACTTTACCACACAGCAAGATCGAACACAGGAAAGCTCCCCAAGAAGCGAAATATATATTGGCATCGATTATTGAGCTGACTCCTACAGCGATGTTGTTATTCGGATTGTGAATTTGCCACATGCCTGTGAGCCACAAAAAGAGACAAAATCCAGACTTTTGCACCGAATAACAAGCGTGTGGATTTCATTAGAGATCAGCTTGGATAAGCAATTTAGAACGATCATGATGATTCGAATACAAGAAAAACTCACCAAGTATAGCTCCGGCATTTGCCCCATGAAAATTCCTCGCATCCTTATATATGCCATGTATCCAACAAATGAGCACATCAAAGACATTACAGTAACTGCAACACCCCAACCCCAAGCTCCAGTCCAAAGATGCCGAGGATGAAAAACCATGGAAAACATTGTCACACAACTGAAAACGAAAAGTGATATCCATATCGGAAAACGGCTTGATGTGTCTGTCACCTGTTGGCGAAAGGAGAATTCATTTACATCGGTACTCGTTTCACTTGCCATGATGGATAGTGGATGTTCAACCTCCAAGATGCCTTCGATTTTTATCCTTCCACATTGAAATATTCCATGGCGCACCTTTTCCTTCCTCCGGGTATTTAAGTTTTTCGAAACGGTCAGATTGGTCGTCTATTTGGCACAAGATCCTGACTCATAAAAAAAGCAAACGCATAGGCATAAAGAATAAATGTTTTATCTAGTTTCAAGTTGGTAGATCCCTATAACCCACTCTTTTAGACTACAACAAACGCACATATGATTGCCAACATTGTTCCCCAAACGCACAACATCTTTGCTTTTGCAGAACTACTATCGGCTGCGTTCACCGGCAGAGAAACAGTAACGGAAGGGGTAGGAGGCTCGGTCTGCTGTAGAGTAACCCCCGGATCACTTCCAGAAGGAGATCCTATTGGCACTGGTACCACAAAGAGTACTTCCTTGATACAGAAGTCGCTGTTCGAGGAATCATCTTCCCCACCAAGGCAACCCGGAACCTGCTCGTAAGCATTTCTTTGATAACATACAAGTCCGTCGCTACAATCGAAATCTGTGTCACATTCTCCCTCACAGAGCCCAAGAGGAAAGTCGTTGGTCTCATCCACTTCTTGAGGACCCGGTGGGAATACACAATAGTCAGTTAAACTCTCGACTGACTCCCCACAAGAACACCCCGGAACCGATTCGAAACTATCTCGTTGGAAGCAAACTAGACCATCTTGGCATTCCATCTTGATAGTAAAAAAGTAATGAGTGAGTGGGCTGCATCTGAAACCATTGACAAATGATCAAACGATTACACATACATCTGTATCGCAATCACCAAAACAGCGCTGCAAGGGAAAGTTGAAACTTTCCGACACACAGGGTAGGTCTGAAGAAGGTTGATCCGCTTGTCCACTTGGTCGAGTTGTTGGATCCGTTGTTGGCGTGCCTATGGGTGGCTTTGATGGAGACCTAGTAGGCGTTCCTATGGGAGGCTTTGATGGCAACCTGGTTGGCTGCTTTGAAGGAGAATCCGTTGGCGTTCCCGTTGGATCCTTTGCATAAACGTCTTTGACACAAAAGTCCGTGCTTGATGAAACGTCTTCACCACCAGAGCAACCTGGAACCGGATCGAAAGCGTTTCTTTGATAACATACGAGTCCAGGCTGACAATCCAGGGAAGTGTCGCAATCACCATGGCATAAAGCCAATGGCAGGTCGTTGGTCTCTGTCACTTCAGGCTCCGGTGCGGATATACAAAAGTCAGTCAAACTCTCTCTTGTCTCCCCACACGAGCATCCCGGAACCGATTCGAAACTATTTCTTTGGAAACAAATCAGTCCGTCTTGGCACTCCATCTTGACGTTCAAAACAACATGAGAGAGTGAGTCATATCACAAAACATAAGCATATGGTCAATCGAATAGACATACATCTGTATCGCAATCACCAAAACAGAGCCCGAATGGCAGGCTCGAACTTTCCGACACACAAGGTAGATTCGAAGAAGGTTGTGCCGCTTGTCCACTTGGACGATCTGTTGGGCTCGTTGTTGGAGTTCCTACAGGAGGGTTTGTTGGAGACCTAGTTGGAGGTCGTGTTGGTCCTCTTGTTGGCTCGCTTACTGGCCGTGGTATAGGTTGTCTAGTTGGATTTGGTGTGGGTTGTCTAGTTGGAGGCTGAGTTGGAATCGCTTCCTCATGACCGTACACACGAAGCTCCCAACGTACTAGCCTGTCTCTGAAGGAATCAGGATCGCTGTAGACGTTGCCACCTCCGGCAATGCAACAAGCATCCCACACCGTACGACCTTGATTGTCCTTAAGATCGAAACGCTCGTAGTAATCGCCCAAGCTTCCGTTGCTGCATACTTTCCAAAACTCTACCTCGCTGCACGTTTCATCTGCGCCGTCTTCGTCAGCGCAGCCTGATCCAGAGCCATTTCCACCTCCACAGACACAGCAAGCATCCATAATCTCTTTATCAGTAAAGAGAAATCTCAGCCAATCAGCCTCCTCTTGATCGTGAAGATCAGGAATCCGTTCAATCAAATTACAGTCATGCGTGTAGTAAGAGCCTTCGACTTGCCAGTCAAAAATGTCAACACATGAACTGACGTCTCCTTCTTTTGTATCCGCAACCGATAAGGACCAAGTTCCTTCGGCACTTTCACCCCATGATCGTACAGTTCTCAAGATCCAAGGTTGCCCATCTTGTCCATTCTCGGGGCGGGATCCTGGTGTCAATTCCGAGACAGTGCCGCGAGGGGACGTGAGGGTAATCTTTAGGTGTCCTCTTGATAAATGCCTGAGATAAACGTATACCTCCACATTTTCGACAAGGAAGTTGGAGTTACCTCGATCAGCGATAGATAGCTGCGCAAAAGTGGGGTCGTCAGGGTTGTCGCCGATGGTCAAGTCGATTACATTTGAACGTTCTGTAACTACAACTTCATCTCCGTATGATTCCCAATTTTGAGCGGCTGTTACCGCTGCTAGAGCATCAACAATACCGAAACCATATAGATGCGAATGTCTCAAACCAGCATCATTTACGACCTGTGATTCGTCGTCGTAGATAGAGTGCGTGACAGATCTCGAAGTAGTTGCAATAATCCCTTGAACGTCACGCCAACTTAAGCGCGGATTAGCATCAAGCATGAGTGCAATAACTCCAGAAACAATGGGAGCCGAGAAACTGGTTCCGGATCCGGTCGTTTGGCAACCTCCTCCAGCACGGGCTGTGACTATCGTCAAAGGGTCGTCCCGATCACCGATTGGTGCTACGACAAACAAGGAAGCCCCGGGAGTGGAGTACTGAGTATGTAGGCCATCTCTGCCTACAGATCCAACGTATATGATGAATCGTGATTGCCACCTTGCAGACAAGTTGGTGTCAGAGCCAAATGCGAGGTTGTTTCCTGATGAGAAAACGTATATAATTCCTTTTCCATCTCGTCCTCGTTCCGCACCCCGTTCCAGGGATCTAACTATTGTTTCATCTTCACTGAGAAACGAGCATTGACCACTTCTTGTTAGACCGTCCAAAAGGTTGATGCACGTGTCTCTGTCCCATTCGTAATACAAAGAACAATGGTCGTATATCGCCATTGCACAGCTGTCGGAAATGCTGTCCGAAGGGAAAGTGCAGACGTTGCATGGGTGATCAAAACTCATCTCCTCGCCACGGTAGATATATTCTTCAGGCCGGTCTGCGAATGGGCATTCGTCCACATCTTCAAACATGTCGGATATCGTGAAGGTTTCCGCACTGATGCAGGGAATGGTGCCGTAAGAATTGTTGGAAATATCCATGTCATCAAGTTTGTGCGAAAGCCAAGTCCCATCTTGTGCAGTTTCGTCTGTATTGGGAGTCGTTGTTGAGACGCACGATGACAAAGTAACTCCTGGAGCAACCCCAACCGAACATCCGTCATTATTCCCACCAGCACCTAATATTGATGCCACTTTAGTTCCATGTTGATAGAACTCTTGCTTTTCTTCGTCATATGGTGCTTCGTACAGACCACAGGATCCACCTACGTCAAAGCGACCGAAAAACTCATCATGACTCGAGTCAACGCCCTGATCATTCACTCGAACCCTAACGCCTTTCCCAAAAATCCCTTGTTCCCACACTCCTGCTATATTGATCGTGTCAAATATCCATTGTTGCCCCGAAACATCCGGATCACTGAAGACATCTGCAACCGCAGGCTTCGCAAGAAAGACGAAGGCATAAGCAGTAAAGCCCCATGCTGTAAGGGAGGAATAAAGGAGCATCTCGTCTATAAGACTATAGCTTCGATTGAACTGCACCTCTTCTTTTCGGCATTAGCTTCGATCGAACTGCACTTATAATGTTCCGATAAAATATCTGTGGCCGAAAAGAAAATGAGCGCATCATATTGAAAACTTGCTGGCGCGCCACCGCTGGCCGTTCAGAGTTTTTTAGCTTACTTGATTAATCTTGGACCAATCGACTACTTCGACTACCAAAGGTACTGCTAAAGCCTCCAAAACAAACAAACAAACAATACAAGAACAAGGATTGCCAAAACCACAAGCATGGTTGATATTGCAAGGCATGGCGGACAGAAACGACGAAAGGGACGAATTTATCAATGCATTTTGCTTGCAACGTTTACTGCGGGATTTGCAGTATTTAGCTCGTACGATGCTGAATTCCCCATCCCGATTGAGCATGAAATGTTCAGAGGCATCACCTATCTTTCCAAAGATCCTCGGTGCCGATACAATGGAAACTGTCCCACAGGACAAACCTGCCGAGGAGGAACATGTCGTCCTTACATGAATGAAACTATATTGACGCTCCGAAAACCTGTGCATAGTGAATGTGCAAGGGTATGTTTGGAAGAACTCAAGGCAGACGAATGGTGGTATCAAGAGTCCATACCAATTGTCCAAGGAGAGTATCCATGGGACGGTGGGTGCATAATACAATATCAGAGGCAAGGCAAAGATGAGTTTAGTCAGAAATGGAAGCCGCCATCATTAGAAGAATGGATGCAACAACGATACAGATATGTGTTGCGGGCCGATCCCTCACGACAACGTGGATTAGAGGCTCCTTCAAGCTGGTTTGCCCTCTGTGCACAGCCGTGTGAATCGAATCAAGATTGCCCCAGCGATATGAAGTGCTTGGGACGACCGAAATCTGATATCCCCCCTACCATCTCTGCTGAACCAAAGAGTTGCGGTTCTCCATCGCCTACTCGGTTCGCTGATGATCTAATGATTGTTTCTGGTTCCAACACAAGGTACTTTAATGCACTCGAGAACTTTGCGGCATCTTTAAAGTTTTGGGCCCCAAAGTCAAAGCTAGCCGTGTTCAATTTGGGAATGTCGGAAGAGCAACTATTACAAGTCCGGAAATGGCCAAACGTGCATCGGATACACTGGAGAAATGGTTTTCCTTCGCGATTTCCAGAACACATTGACAACCTGCACAACTATGCATGGAAATCCCTTGCGATAAACGAGTCAGTGCATGAATACAAATCAATGTTTTGGTTAGATGCTGGTGCAACCTTTTCGGGCCCGATTGATCCAATCAGGGAGATTATCCATCGAGACGGTATCTTTCTAGTCAAAGGACAAGATGCCCACATGAAGGATCTATCTGTTCCCGAAACCTACAAATGGTTCGGTTTTGAAAAAGATTCCTTCGTGGGTGGGCCACATTTTGCTGGCGGAATACAAGGTCATGTCCATCCCTCTAGATATATTGACACCATTGTTCTCCCCAACGCTGGTGAGTTTATGTATGATATGAGTTTGCATCGAAATTGAATGTTTGTGTCAACCATCACTAACAACTGTCAATGATACAGAGTGTGCCATGGACGCAAAGTGCATAGACCCCGAGGGAAGCAGTTTGGGGAATCATCGCTTTGACCAAACAAGTCTGAGCATACTTGCCTATCAATACCATGTCCGACCCCAACACCACACAGAGTATCTCGCCGCTGGTCGACATCGATTGAATGATGACATGAAGATTCCAAATCGAATCCGAATGTGGACGGCGAGAGGAAGTTGTTCTTTCTATTCGGAAATGAAATATCTGTTGGCTCCAAAATAATGAAACGGATAAAGTGGGGTTGCTCGTTCCAAAGAAGAGAACTGCAAATTGGATATACAGTATTGTTTTATAAAATGGTGCACTTATTCTTTGATTTTCTGGACATCCTCTACAACTCCATTGACTCTTCTTTCAACCAACTTGTCTTGAATATATCGGTCTTCTATCCTGTTTCCATTCTTTTCCATGGACTTTACTGTTACGGTTCTGCCTTGTCTATCAATGTATGTTGAACTCTTTTTGGCAGTATAGGTATTCTTTTGGCCCGTCGAATACGATGTCGCGGTTTGCCGCCCATTCACAGTCGAAACAGAAGTCATTTCAAATTGAATACCACATCGTCTCAGCAACCAAGGAACCCACCCTTCGGACGATGAAGAACCCCTCCCAGAAGAAGTTTGATTCTGAAACCGCGTTGCAAACTCGTCATCCAAATCCTTAAAGGCTTCTTGAAAGAATGGATCATTGCGGAATAAGTGATCAAACTGAGCGAATGGATCCACTGAAGGTCTATGGAATGGCGATGGCGATGAATTATATGGGACATTCGTTGGGGCATTGGTTGCTGTTTGGTGTGATTGTGTGGTACCATATTTCAATTGTGTGTCATAGTCTCTTCGTTTCGTTGCATCACTCAAACATTCGTAGGCTTCCCCAATTTGCTTGAATTTCTCGGTGGACTCTTTGCTGCCTTGATTCCGATCTGGGTGATGTTTCAGCGCCAACTTTCGGTAAGCTTTTTTTATTTCCAATGAAGTCGCATCCTTTGAGACCTCCAGTATCTCGTAGTATGTTGCTTTCGTCATTGTCTTGTTTGTGTGTTGTCGTTAGTTTTTTTATTGTTGTGGTCTTTCGACTTCCACGACTCAGTTTTCCCTCTATCATCTTCGACGGGTATCTTTGTAGTCAGGGTCCACTAGCTAGTGCACTACAATATTATTTGGATTACAGATACGTTTACATTCTATTGGTATCAATCCATCCACACATGAAAAATATAGACTCATTTACTTTTGAGCAAGTCTAGAGAGAAGGTCGGCGAAGAGACCTTGGGCTTGCATGGCCGACTGCTCGAGCTTTTCTTGCAGATTGGCACGGCGCTTTTCATTCTCCATGAGATGGAACTGAATGTCATCCTCTAGAGTAAAGCAAGTCTTTTCGTCCTGGTCATGGACGTCGACGGCCACTTGAATTATGGCTTCGACTTGGGCACGCAACCCAGCATGAATGTCGTCCAAATCTTGGGACAAGGCTTCGGCGGCATGTTGGAATTGCTCGCGAGCGGTCAGGAAGCCTCGAATCTTGTTGCGATTGGTAGGAGTGTCTCCCAAAGCTTCCCAATCAAGTTCACCATTGTCGTCTTGGAGATTGCTGTCATTGGCAGGAGAGGTTGGAGGCGACGATGATGATGCTGGTGGGGTCGTCTCGCCAGTTGTCTTGTTCATACTTTCATCCTGGCAAGTCAACCCAAGGAAGCATGTGAATTTGTGAGAACCAATAATGCCATGTATCAACAATAATAATAGAAGCAAATTACGAGGAATACAAGTGTACGTACCGTTGGACTCGCCTGCTCTGGAGGAGCAATCTTGTTGCAAACCTGCGAATATTGTCGGACCCAAGCTTGATTGGCCTGGTCCATTTGTTTGCGCATAATGTGCCGACGATTGTGATTGGATTTGAGAGTAGCAATCACGTCAGCTTCGTTACTATCCAGACGCTCCTCCATTTCGTTGTGAATGGCCACCACCGAGTGTTGGAGCAAATCGTCCATGGTTTGCGTCAAACCCTCAAAGTAGATTTCGATGGAGGTGAGAAATTGTTTCTTGGCATTTTCGCGCATCGACTTGGCTTCTAGATAGCTTTGAAGATTGGGAACCTTGTCATGATTCTCGTTGGACTGCTGGAAGTGGTTCCAGGCCGCATTGGCTGGATCCACCGTACTTTCCATCCGACAATGACAATCCGGATCCAAATCAGCATTTTCAATCGAGTTTTCACTAGGCGATCCCTGTGTGTGTTGGAACAAGTATCATTCATAAAAGGTTAGAAAGCAAAGAGGATGCTCTACAATCATCATGCTTTGACCATTTGCATTGACAAATAACTCACTGGGTTCTGGAGAGACGTGGCACCAGCAACGGTGCTTGCAATCGTCGTATCATCGCAGCTCGTATCTAATTTCGATTTTTTGGTGTCTGCATCTTCCAACAGGTCACAAGTGCGCTTGTGGCTCATAATCGTTGCATCATTGGTGCCAGGGCGGGCAGTACTTGTATTAGATTCGAATTCCATCATGGTGCCAAAAGAAAATCATGCGAAGATTTTCAATTTTGATGTCGTACTGTACATTTTTGATTTCAAACTCTGTGTTTAATCGAATTGATCCAATGTTGAGAGCGGGCCAAGAAATTTGTCGGTGGAAAACGAGCGGGAAGGAAATAATTGCAGCTACAGTAATAAGTGACAATGAAAAAATCTAGCTAGTACATCTAATTATTGCATTTTGGTAGTAAGACACGAATGAGTAGCAAATCTTCATTCCGAGCTCTCCGCTCCCTCTCTAATAACCTTCATCGCTGCTGCTGTCCACAGTCAGCATTTGGTTGTTGAAAGAGGGATGAAAGAATTCTCGTTCAATTGATGCAATGTTTTCCATCACGGCCAAGCTAGCAAATCGAGCTACCGTAAGTTTCCATTGCTGGCAAACCTTTCTCATATCATTGGAAGAAGTTGCTTCGAACAAGAATTCATGGTTTCCGGAGCTTGTTTTCAAGACAAAACAATTCTGCGATCGGGCAAGAGGATAAATGGAGCGATCCAACTTTCCCGATGCTGCAATACGGCATGTACTTAGTAGCCTCATGTTCCATGGCTTTTGCGTAGATTTGTTCAATTGATGTTTGCCATTCAAGAAAGGTTGGTAGGCATCTCTCCACATGATGGTGGGCTCGGCAACGTGTCCGTTTGGAAGTGCAGTTCCACGCTCAATCCAAATGTTGATACAGATGGGTCGATCGGAATCCAGTCCAAACTCCTTCACATTATGTGGATTTGGATGCCAAGTAAAGGTCCAAGTTTTGTTCAGTGTTTGCTGTGAATAGAAGGTGGAATGTTAGCAAATGACACGTATCATAAATCATAAATCAAAGTCTCATTGCATTGATACATACCTGAACAAGATCTTGAAGATACATGTCTTCGTCCATGGATGCCTTCATTTGAATGGTGTCCGCAGGAACCGATTGACGAGAGCGTGGAGTGTATTGGTTGGAAAGCACCTCTGGATCACTATCGTACCCATCGTAGTCAGGGACAATTGGGTCCATTCCCTTGCCAATGTACTGGGAGAGAGGATCGTGCTCATCGGACGTAGCAGAACGTTTCAAGATGCTGGGGTAGCCATAGCAACGCTTTCGTGAATGGGAAAGGGTGACACCATGGCGAGAAGAAGTTTGACTGCGATGAGCGCTGTTGCGAAGTTCTCGGATGCGTCGCAGTCTGTTCTTCAAGTTGGTACGAGTTGGTTTGGACAAATCCAACTTTTTATGCCAAATTTCTTCCCGTTCAAAGGTTCCAGGATCGGCGGCGCAACCCAACAAATCGAGGATGTCTGTGCTTAAGTTGACTCGATCGTCACATTGGTTGCGACGACTTCGTCTCGAGCTGCTCATTCTGGGGCGTGTGCAGTTCATTCGTTGACCGCAATCAGTAGGAACCGCGCAAGGACCGGAAGGGACGAACTCAGGAGTACAAAGGCCGTCCATGAACTTGTCTCCCAAAAAGGTGTGAAGGGAAAACTTTTTCGAGCTTTGGGTGGAAGAAGATCCTTTTGAAGCGTTTTCATCATCCGAAGTATCCATGGAGACTACTGTTAGGCTCTCAAAAAGGACACTCTTGACTTCCTCATCTTCCTCTTCGTCTCGGCTGATGTCCAAAATCGAGTTGTGAGTGTTGACGGTTTGCCGAGAAGTATTAAGGTTAGAAGAACAATGGTCACTATTGGAACTACGGCCTGTTCGGAGTTTTGCATCCTCATCAGATCGCATATCTACATCCAAGATCGCCATGGTTGATGATAGATTTGGATCGATTGAAGATCGCCTTTTGCCTTTTCACTATTCAATAAAAAGTGGTTGATTCATAGGTTTTTGCTTGATCCGATTTCAAAAACGTGAGCCAGAAACATTTCAGTTGAGCCTTAACCACATGGGTCAACGTAGTCATAAAGCGCCCACTCTTCCGTTCAAAAGTAGCAACGGAGAATATAAACCAAATCGTTAAGTACTCAGCAACAAAAATAACGACATACGGACTAAAAAAGACATTTTACTCCGATTTTGAAAATGGGTACCAGCATGCCGGCTAAATCAAAAGCCAATAGTTGAATCCCGATTAACATCAATTAGCTCAAATCCCGAATAGTTACCAGCGAAGAAATTTCCTGAGAAGAAGTGAGAAAGTCAAAGAGAATGAGAGGCTCCAACTGAATCCTGTACAGTAGCGATCAGAACTCTGAATTGTTGCGATGAGGGAAACGCCCACCATGTTCGTGTCAAAATGTTGAGGTTCCAAAGATTAAAAAAGGGAGTACTCGTACTCTACAAAGACTATAGAGTACCTGGTACTATACATTTGGTGTGACTTGAGAAAAATTTCGACAAAAACAAAGTGAATCAACTATTATAATAGCACTATCAGCACCCAATACAATTAGAACGTACTATCTATCAATCATAACAAAGGAGGAGGATCCTACTATTCTATTAAAATACATATTCAGCTAGTGGTCGGTCTTGGTGATGTATCGAAAGGCCTCAATTCCAAACATTATTGCTTTCAATGTTTGAAACTGATAGTTGTACTTCGCACGGCAAGTCCCAGCTGCTTGCGGCGTTCCCGATGTACAATTCAAAGCCTGCAGTAAAAGGACCTGGAATGGTAAAGGAGAAGGCTCCTTCTGGATTCTCGGTGCAATATCTTCGATACTGGGTATAAGGAATGCGGAAGCGGCATTCAGCGGTGCATGCATTCTCATCGAATGTTAGCATTCCAATACTAGTTGCAGCAGTCTGACCACCTCGACACGGAAAAGTCGTTTGGATCTCGGTATCTGCTGCTCCCGCTGTCACAACTTTGAACGAATTTTCGCTGTCTTCGAAATATCCAAAAACTCCAGAGGTGCTCGTCCAAATCTGCAAGTTGTTGAAGTCACAACCACTCCCAAACGTACAACGAAGCTCCATTTCGGCCTTGGTGCAGAGCCGCGCCCCAATACTGGAACATAGTCCCACTGCCTCTTGGTAGACTACTTCTTTATAACACTGACCATCGATTGAGGAACCAGCGAACGGGCACGTGGGTTCCTCCGCAAACTGTTTAAAGTTTGGCAACTGTGTATTGGAACAACAGCGGACAGCAAGTTCAACGCCATTGGGATTACCTGCAATTCGGACATTGTTGGAAGGCTCCAAGAAAATCCCAGTGCATCGATTGCTCATTATATCACCACAGACAGTCCACTGACAGGTTGAAATGGATGCAGTGGCTCTTGAAGGTGACTGGGATGCTTGGATAATGGGAGCTGGACTTGGTGGCGGCTGTAGTGATACACTCGGTCTAGCACTGGGCTCTTCGATCGGACTAGGACTTGGATTCTGGATCGGACTAGGACTGGGATTCTGGACCGGACTAGGACTTGGATTCTGGACAGTCGGGGGCGGTGTGGACGGCCTCATGGTAGGCCTTCCCGGTCCACTGGGTCCTTGAGTCAATGGAGGTCCCGAAAACAATGATGGTGCAGGCTGGGGAGGGCTTGCAGAGAAGAGGTAATGGACGGGGCGAATTGGGTAGAAATCATAAGCTTGTACCGGTGCCTGCCTATACATAAATAAAGGATCGACAGAACGCTTGGATTGCTTCTTTGACGACTTGCTCGAGCTTGACTTTCCCTTGTAATAGGATTCCCCGATTCCTTTCCCCCCCTTCGCCTTTTCTGATCCTCGTGGTGAATTTGGCGAGATGTAGCTATAACCAAAATCCTTTCCAGATCCATCAGGCAGCGGAACCCTACTAAATAGTAAAATGAAGCTGTCTGAAGTCACATAAACTGACATTTAGCAAAAGGATGAAAAGTAAGAAACAAGCAGTCTAGGTCTCAATAACGTACCGAAGCTGTTGTGGTGCTCAGAGTTGAGCACTTCTGTCTCTGAGTTCAACATAGTCTGCGAGTGCAGCTCATACGCTTCGCGTGAATGATTGAATACTTTGGTCAATAGACTCTGCCGCCAAAGTGTGCCAGGTTTAGTCGGCATACTGCTGGTAGTGTATTCGTGATTTGTCGGTATAGTGGAATCGACGATGGTGTGAAACCTCTTGCTTGCTGAATCCATGGTGTAGGATCCACGTGAGCTTTTGGATTCATATGAATGTAGTCCTCTCTTCTGTCGTATCTGCTTTCTAGCATTGGTATTGTCGATTGCATCCCGAAGCAAAATGTCGTGTATTGTGTTGTTGGAGAAGCTGGTTGTTGTTGTTGGCACTTCTGAAGATGCCTTTAGAAGAGAAAGCTCCAACAGCAGAATTGATAGCCATTTTGAACCCCCTACCCCCATTCTTGTTATATGGTGTGTTTTATCTGCTATTCTCGGAGCTGAACATTGTTCAACTGCGCTGTGCATCACGATATCATTTGAAATTGGCGATAGAAGGTTTTTTAGTCACGTCAAGTGCGAGTCCCGAATATTCGAATGTAATGTCAGTCCCGTCATTCTATGTGAGTCCCGATCCTCCAACTAATGTGAAGTACTGTAATTTACAGTATTGTTCTGCTATCTAAGAAAATTCGACCGAGTATTTTATCTTTCAGTTGCTATCGAAGTGTTGAGGTGGTGAAGCATGTCTGTGATTGTAGAGCGTTTGATGGAAAGCCATGTTCTTGATATCGTTTCTTAGTCACACCCGCCTGATACTAGTACTATGTCGATCTTATTTGACTATTGAAATAGTGAGCAGACGAATGCTTTGAATTGATTAATACCAATGCCCTTCAACATCACCAAAAGTCGTTGTCAGCTCGTATAGAGAGAAGCCATTTGCTGGCTCCATGTTTGCTTCATTGACACATCCCATACAGTTCAACTGTTCGCCGTTCAGACCAACTGAGAACTTGGAGCAATTTGTCGTTGTGCGACAGGCGTTATAGCATTCATCAATGTTCGCAACATTATCAATCTTGAAGAGACGATCAACGGTCCCAACTGGGCATTTTAAGTTTTTTCCAATTTCCTTATAGGCGAGGTCTGGGTTTGCGATTGAAATCGATAGTTGCTCTTCACACTCCAGTTCGAAACTGTCTGCCACATTCCCAATGTACAATTCCGTGTCCGCTTCAAACGGACCAGGGACTGTAAAAAGGAAAAGTCCGTCTGGGTTTACCGTGCAAAAGTTTTTAAACTCGGTGAAAGGAACCGAAAAGAGGCATGCGGCAGAGCATTCATCTTCGTCGAATGTCAATATTCCAAGGTCCGAAGTTATTCCTTCCCGACACGAGAAAGTATCCTGGATTTTTTGATCATCCTGGCTCGGTGTCACTATTTTGAACGAGTTGTCGCCAGAATCGAAATATCCAGAAGCACCTGAGGTACTCGACCAAACGGGGTAGTCGTTATGACCACAGCCAGTTCCAACTGTACATCTACGCTCCAACTCGTCCTTTGTGCAAAGACGAGCCTCAACGCTTGCACATAGGCTCACCGCCTGTTGGAAATTTACAGATCGATAACACTCGCCATTAATTTGTGTGTCGGCAAAGGGACACGTATCATCACCGGCCCCAACTTGAGAAAAGTCCGGTAGCTCCGTGTCAGAACAGCATCGAACAGCAATTTCCTGGCCATCGGGATCGCCTCCACGACGAATGTTATTGGAAAGCTCCAAGGCAAGTCCACTGCACTGATCGCTAGCTGGGTTGCCACAAACTGTCCATTGACAGGTCGAAATGGACGGGTTTTGTGAAGGCACTTGAGACGGTGGAGTACTGACAACCATGCTTGGAATAAAACTGGGCTGCGGAGAGGCTGAGGGCAGTATGGATGGCATCGCGGTAGAACTTATGGATTTGCTGGGTGATTGAGTCACTGGGGGCACGGAAACAGATGGTGTTGAATAGGGAGGGCGTACAGGGAAGACGTAATGGACGGGACGAATTGGGTAGAAATCATAAACTTGTACCGGGGTCTGCCTATACCTGAATGAATCGATGGAACGCTTTGAAAACTTTTTCGATGACTTGCTCAAGCTTGACTTTCCCTTGTGGTATCCCCCCTTTCCTTTTCCTTTTCCTTTTCCTTTTCCCGTGCTCCTTGGCAAAGCTGATGAGCTGTAGCTATAACCAAAAACATTTTCACGTCCATCAGGCAGTGGAACACTGCTGAAAAGAATGATGAAACTGTCTACAATGACAGAAAAAATCAATGAGAATGTGGGTAAATATTCTCCCGATTGCGGTGTGTACATTAGATCCTCAACTTACCGAAGCTGTTGTGATAGCCAGAGTTAAGCACTTCTGTCTCTGAGTGCAGGTGCAACTCTTCGCTTCCATGTCGGAAGACTTTGTTCAATAGGTTATGCCGCCAGAATGTGCCAGGCGTGGTTGGAATGGTGGGCTCGAGATTGGTGTAATAGGACCTCTTGCTTGCTGAATCCATGGTGAACGATCCACGTGAGCTTGGGGAAGTCTGTGGATGTAGTCTTCTCTTCTGTCGTATCTGCTTTCTATCATTGCTGTTGTCGATTTCATCTCGAAGTAAGATCTCGTGTATTGTGCTGTTGTAGAAGCTGGCAGATGTTTTCGTTACTTCTGAAGATGCCTTCAGTAGAGAAAGCTCAAACAGTAGAAGTGATAGCCATTTTGAACCCCGTTTCCCCATTTTTGTTATATACACGTTGGTACTATCATTCAACCCATTGGATATACTCTGGGTCGTATGTTTGGAGTTGATGACCTGGTTGTCAGTTGCCTTGCCGTACCCTATTGAACCTCATTCTGGGCTTTTGGCGATAGATTTTTAACCGCTAAACCGTTGAAAATTTCATTACTAAACGCAAAAATAGATCACTGTGTTCAACTCATTCATCATTCTGTTTGAATGAAGCGACAACCATGTTGAGCCATTTCTCACGCGTGTTTTGATGCTACTACATACGCACTGTGTTGGCTTTATTTACGTAGTAGCATTGACTTGGTCTATCTTTTGGTCAGAGGAAAAAAATACAATAATCCATACATCATCATGGAGGAAACTGGCTATTTTACAGCAACATTATGGCGTTAACAATAGCTTAGTCCTTATAAGACTTCAATAGAGCTAGCAATACACCCCCTTCTTTATCCACTCGATCCAAGTAATTGTCTTTTGAACCAAAACGAACAGACAATTGACAAGGATTCCCCTCGTTCAGATTGCGAAAGACATATTCTCGCATTACTGGCTGCACGGAAGTTTCTGAAGCAGCGACATAGTCTTGCTGACCTTTCTGCTGCTGCTGAACCCCCTTCAAAATGCTCTGTCGTCCGTTCGGGTCTGTCAATGGAACTTGCACACCATCCGGCAAGCGCAGCAAATCTTGGACAAGTGTGTACTGACCAGGAAACTTGTGCAACAAAGAGGTAGCTCGAGATACCATCGTCTCAGCTATACCTAATGCATCGCATGCGTCTTCGCACGCTTTCAGAGCCTCGACAGAAACGAATCTATTGGCTATCGAAGTTGTTGATGCGTGACTGACACTGGCACTATCTCTCTTGCTCGCCTTCTTGACACTGAGCATTGACTCGCCCAGGGAGTCTTTCGATAAAATTTTCAGCGCTTTGTCCGTCTTGTACCTGAGCTTTTCCATGGCAGCCTTTACCAACCGAACATCTTGACAGGCTTCAGCTGCCGACATCAGCGTAAAATAAGCGGACGACAAGTTGACAGCCATGACTTGATTTACCAAGCTCACAGGGTGCATCTGTCCGAGAAAATCAATAACCATCTCTACGGTCATTGCATAGTCGAACAGCGGTTCCTGCTCGGAAGCTGGGATAGGCTTTGCAGACTCCCAGGTCTTGGTCCAAAACGAGCGAGTTGATGTCAATATTCGCATTGCTTCTGAAGCCCTATCCAGTTTGGTCCCAGCCGAGCGATTAATCATCTTCTGCATATTAGGTGGCCGACTATGCTGTTGATTAGTGTAGTCGCTCAATGGGTCTGCAGGATTTCCGTACCATTTTGCAAAGTCATCCAGTTTGGAGCCTGGATTTGCTGCTTTAAAAGCGCACATATCACTGTATAATTTCGGTTTTTGTAACCGCTGCGCTATATCCAGTCGACTCAGTAGTGCCGCCTGTCTCTTCTTCTCGCTCTTTTCTCCTCGATCAGCCAGCATAGTTCTGCGCTCAACTACAATATCGTCCGTCAAAGGACTCGGTCGCTGTAAGTAGGGCGCGTAAATTTGATCCCCACTGTCGGCAATCATCGCACCCTGTACAGGACATCGAGCACCTGGTCGACGGACGGTGTCAGCAGGCATGACGCCTGTATCAAGATCAAGATAGCCATTCCTCATTGAAAAGATGCTTCCAGCCTCTGCAGCGTCAAAAAATTGGATGGTGGAACCAAGCGATGCCTCGTCGCTGGAGGGAAGCCTATCGACTTGTTTTTGCATATTCAATTGCAGGGGCTGGGCTTTGAAATCCAGGGTATCGTCATACGACTCGAGCATCGATGGCTTGTGGTTTACACTAGAGAAATCAAGAGGGTCGTCATTTCCAATCTCCGAAGCCTTATGGACGCGGTCAAAAGCCTCGTCCATTTGAGCATGATGTCCTGGCTCGTCCATAACCCAAAACTCCAGGTCGGCGTTGATGATCGGAGGCCCGTAATTCCGTTTTCCGTCGGTGGCACCTTGTACACCATCTTTCGACATCCACTGCTGTCCTGGAATCTCAACCTCCAAATCATCAATAGATACGTCTGGCTTGTTCTGATTCTCAATTGCAGACGGCCTGTGGCGATCCTCATAAGCAGCAGATGAGGGAACCTTGCCACTGTCAAGGAACTTTTCCATTGCTTCGTTTTCGATTAGTTCGGATGCAACTATACATTCTACTCCAAGGTTGAACACTTGTAGCTTTTGTCCAATCAAGCAATTGTAGTCGTCAGGGTCTGGTTCGCTGCAATTGAGAAATGCTGCTAAATCTGCTTTCAGTGCAATCGATGAAAATTTGCGATCCTCGCACATTTTCGACGGATGGGGATCGAGCCCTGGCACATATTGCATATTTGGTAATGATTCTCTCATTTCCCATCTTCTCCTCAATTCGTCCACGAAAACCCCCCAAACAAGCGCCATGGAGGATAACGCTCTGAGTTTGGCCATTTCAGCAAATAAAACAGAAACCAAACGCCCAAAAGGGGCTGATTTCTTGAAAGGTGTGTACATGTCATCGGTTTCAACGAAAGAATCAGGCGAATCAGGAAACGCTGCTGTCAATCGGCCATTCATCACCGTGTGAACAATTGCCTCTGCTTCGCGGATGCTTATCATATCCTCGATCAGGCTAGACCATTCCATTACTTCAACGAGCTGCCTCGTAGCATTGCCAAGTTTGGCTTTCTCTACAAGCTTGCTTGCCACCACGGTACCTGCGTTGTCGTCCCAACATGCTACCAATTCTTCCTCTGTTAAATGCTGAAGAAGGGTTTCTCCAGGCAGGGTTGCTGCTCGAACCAGTGCAGCAAGAACACATCGTTGATTTGCTGCAAGTGTCGCAACACTAGTCTCGCGGTCGAAATATACCTGCACTGTGAATCTTGTGGGTGAGAGAGGATCAAGGACTGCCTTCTCCATCGATTCTTCCATGTCAAGGTAGTCCCGTTTTGACATTTCTCTTTTTGACCGTATTCTCAACGGGAATGCAAGAATGGAGTCTTGCACACCATTGTCATTTTTAGCAGAGCCATTCCACGTCGTTGTGACATAGACACTGGCAACAGGGTCATCAATGGGCCCAAACATGGGTACATTTCGGTCTTTGCTACCCCAAGCATCATCCAGCACATCCAAAGCATGAGCTCGACAGTGTTGTCGATATGCCTCTTCCTCTGATCTATTTGAATCAGCATCAAATACAAATTCTGATGCTTGTCGCCACGCCTGCGATTCCTTTTCGAGAAGTATATCTTGATAGCTCCGAAACAGGTTGCGTTTCTTCAAGTGACTCAGCCGAGGTTTGAACCATCCGAACACATGTCGGGCTCCGCACAAAATTACTGTGGGATCATCGCATTGCTCCAAGAGAATGCTTGCCCAAATCGATAGTCTAGATCTCTTTGCAATTTTACTTTGATGGCTGGATGAGACGACAGATATTGACATGGTCGCAGAAGTCGCTGGTTGTTCCAGTCTACTTCCTGGTCGAATAACAGTTCCAGTAATCACTGGCGGTATGAACCTTGAATTCCAAAAAGCTTGTGCCTTCTGTTTGTACTTGCGTCCAACAGTTGGAAGGGTAACTCGTCGCACACCGTCGATCCATTTTGGAAAAATGTTAACACCTTCTGCAGCCGAGTTAGATGCTTGTGTGTGAATAGTTTTCCCTAGTAGCATATCCGTGGAATCGGATACATAACTTTGATTGCTATCCATGGCCCTTCGAGACGAATTTGTGATGCTCTGATTGCTACTACCGGGACCTAACGAATTCCTTCGATTCAAATATTGTGGTAGGAGTACGTTGGGTCGGTATTCTCCCCAGATTCCAAAGGCAGGAATACAGCATTGGCAGTTTGAAACTGCACAATTTAGAGCCGTTTGAAGCCAGCCTGACAAGGTGCTGGCCAAAACCCAAGATATCGTATTCGTGTCGTCATGTCTTTGCAAAAGAGTAGATCCCAAGTATTCCGAGAGGTTTGACGGCATTGGTTCTGTTTGGATGGGTGATAATGAAATGTGTTGTCCGATTCCAAACAGTGTTGAAAAATTATCAAACAAGTAATCATGTGACGACATTGTCGCAAAAGGGGACCGCCTTAATGATCGAACCAATGTTGACATCTCCTTTTCTTCTGATTCATCCGTCACCATGATATCTCCTGGAGTATCCCATAGACATAACTCTAGATCCATTGTTACAGAAGATCGCCCTCCAGCTTTATCTGTCACGCTAAAGTTCCAAATAATGGTGTTGCTTCGTATCAGTTTCGAACTGAGATCATCTGACTGTCGTGTCAGTTGTGCATGACTTCTTGACGATGAGAAGTTTGTGACATGGCGGTCACTCCCTCGATCAACATGCCATGTTCGGAGAATGGTTTCCACATCTCTACTCAGTCCCTCCAGCGCAGTCGAACAAGAGTAGTCCGTATATTCCTCCTCGTTGGTTGTGTTCATCCTCACCACTTGTGATCGCGCAGAAATAGAAGTTTCGATCGTACTTTGATTATAACCTTTAGGGCTTCTTTCAGAGGGCTGTTGATGTGCTAATATAGCAAGGGTCCCTGTTGAACTGCTGTTGCTAGCAATGCGGTGATGGATAATGGTATCGTAGGAATTATACAGGTACAACACCTTGTGAAGCGTGCAATTCAAATCAAACTTGAGATCGAAGGAGTCGGCATTGCTGAAAACCTGTGCTTACTCTCGTACTCTCACAACATACTTTGAACCAACCACAATAGAGCACAGGTCATCTCTTCCCGATGTGAATGTTTTTTAATACATCGACGCCTGATTTCTATGACCAGTTCCAAGCAGCAGTTGGGCTTATGATAATACATTTTGAAACATAACACTGCATGCTTTGACTGCTTCCGTTTCAGCGTTATTTCAAAGAGGCCTAAATATGTACCTCACATCCATCATTTTTCACCCTCTCCCACCCACCAAGAAGAAAGAATCATTTTCCAAGAAATGTCACTCAAGAGTGAAGAGACATCCACAAGCTCCGATGTATTCGTTGAGATCCGCAAACCACAGGCGGAGGAACGACCTCGTACTGTTACTGCATTCATGATGTCAATAGAGCCAAAGCAATGTAGCAAAATCGTCAAGCAACTGGCTCAAGTACTCCCTTTGCCCGAATCACTCGCACATCTCAAGCGAGTTCGGAATCCTCAAAAGATGAAGAAGCAAGCTGAATCTTTACCCAACAATAACGACGAAAGTGAAAAGAAAAAACCAAAAATGATGCTTCAGGTACTGATTGGACACGACAAATCGGTGTCCTTGTCATCATTCTTGTCGTTCGAGCCAACCTTGGAAGAAGTTACGGTTCCAGGTCGACCACCAAAATCCGATGCCGAGTGGAAAGAATTCAATCATATTTGGCCTACCACATTCCTACCGTTGCGAAGTGAAGAGCACCATGAAAAATTGTTGGCTCTGAATCCTGACGAAATTGAGCAAATGACAAACATTATGGAGGAACAGGTAAGGTCCAAAATGCAGGTCGTGGTGGTAGATCCTACCGACGGTCGGGTGATTTCCAAATCCAAAGACGAATATGCTCTACAGAGAGCCGTTGGTGACATAGACAACAATCCATTGGCCACTCCAGTTCTACTGGCGTTGCAAGGCGTCAGTCGAATGGAACGACAAGCGGCTTCCAAAAAGTCCAAGGATGAGTTTTCCAAGGGCCAGTATCTGTGCACAGGTTACGACCTGTACGCACCCTATGAGCCAACAATCTTTGAAGCCATGAGTTGTCTACATCATCGATTACGACGCTTGGTCTACTGGGACGGAACAGAAAACCCCAACACGGTATGGAGAAATGGTTTGTCCAGGCACTACATCCACTCATTACCAGGCACCAATCATCGGTATAGGTCCTTTCAGTACTTTCCTGGTTCCACGGACTAAAAGGTCGGAGAGGATAAAGAATGAATGAATGAAGCATGTATGGAAATAAAAAATCTCTAATCTATCAAAATCAAGCTACTGCCGAAGCGGGCATCATCATCATCATCAATGCAGATATTCCAGATTGATACAAAACTCGTGAGTACTATAGGTATCTTCATCACCATATCCAAGAATAAATAAATAATATTTTTCATTCTTGGTACTTGAAAAGGTGACGTTATTCTCCCGATTGTCCAAGGCTGTCAATCCCGAACCATCCTCGTCGCATTCTCCCGAATAGACCCATATCCGTTTGGGTGTGGCCGTCTTTTTGGATCCACCCAAGGCTGCCGGATAATCACTTGTGAAAGTCTCGGATATCTCATACGATACTCGAATATCACCACCCGTTCCAAGTAAGGTGTGCCAAATATAGATGGACCGACCCACATGGGTTGGATAGCAACGCGCAGTAGAACTCGCAAATTCTTCTTTTTCGTCAATCACCACACTGGGTATTGTGATGGGTTCGGCTTGATCACAAACGGAATTGGCCGGCCGAGGATGCTCGTCCACCCATGTTTCCAGTCGATGGTCCAGAATCAAGACGGTTGTCATGAGAATGATCCCAATGAAAAAGGTTATCAAAATTCCGATCAAAACAGCCTTCGCTCCAAATGAAAGGGATTGAAACGTATCGCAAATGGTCTTATCTCTTCGATGGGGAAGTTTTGTTGGACCCATGTTGAATTGATTCTGTTGTACATGTATGTTGCGGAATGTGTGTTGTGAGTACCTGCTGGTAAATCATGTCTGCTTTCTATTCCGTTTTTGGTTCTGTGCAACGACTCGAGCGACTCCATATGACACTAAAATAGTCGTGTGATCCAATTCAATTGATTGGTATTTTAAAGTACGTGTACTTATAGGCCGCCGCCAAATTTTTGAATGTTTAATAAAGATGGGTCACATTCAACCCAACCAAGATAGTTTTGTTATGATTGCGAAAATAATCGAATGACCTCAGTCATTTGTTCCTAAGTACGAGGTAAATTGCTCGAAAAATGCAGCTCTCGGTTTTCGGACGATTTTCATCAGAAGTTCAGTCATTATCACGTAGAACACGTAGAATTAGTACCAATCTGAAGCCGACAGCCAGCAGATCTTGA